GGATGTAATTTGGACGTTTCCATTCTGTACAGAAGTGATTCTTCGGTTTTGCGGACCCAGGCAGCGCTCATTTTCCCCTGCAACGCACTTAAATTAAATCGAATTCTACTGCCGGAGGAAACAATGTTGTAAAAATGAATGCCAGGCTTTTTAAAGGCATTTTCATCTCCTTGTGCCTTATGCGAGCTCCTCTGGCCACGAATTTGGCTGAAAATGGACAAGGCAACGATGAGCCGACGCCCAAGGGCGAAGAAACTAAAACCCCCGTAAGGTTGTGACACCAATCGAGAGAGGACTTCTTCGCGAACACAACGATACCACAATCATGCCTTAAGACCCTCTGGCTTATGAGTTACAAACCTTTTTTCCAAGGTGGAAAGAAAATTTTGTCATCCGGGTTTTTGCCTTTTTTGGAAAAAGGGCATGTAAAGTGCATCAAATGATATGATTTTTTGGGCATGGTGTTAGACTGTCCTAGGATGTTTCTATGCCGAATTTGGAGGTTCTAGGCCCATCGGTTCCCGAGATACGAGGTGGAAAGAAAATTTTGTCAACCAGTATAGGTGATGTATAATAACAAAACTTTGAATTGATAAAAAATTTCAAAAAAAATTTCTACACTTAAAAATGGTATGGTATGTTTAAAAATTGCAGTATATTTTTGCTTGTGCGTAATTTTTTTTTGATATTTTTTTGTAAAATACGCTGGATACTTCCTCCAATAACTTTCTTATAAAATAAGCAGTGCTCTATAAAACTATGCTGCGTTAAAATTACAGTAAGACTTTATTTGTATAATTATTACACGAACCACATTTAACGGCATCTTCAACTCCCGCCAAATGCAACATATGTGGGCAATTAATTTTGACAGAGGCGTTAAGTGATTGCGCAACGCTCAATCTCGACATGCATTCGCGATTAATCGGTGCGATCAAAAATTAGAAAGGAATACGGTGAGATTTGGGAAACCTTAATAAAAAAGAATTGAATTATCAGCCAAAAAGTCATCAAAATGAAAAGAAAAATCGACACATGAGTTGTCAAAGAGGCAAAATAAATAATTTAAAAAATATTTAAGCTTTTCCAATTTCAAAGATCATTAAAAATTGCATACGAACTTCGGAGGACTCTTTGAATTTCGTGCCAACAGCTTGTTAAGACTGGTCTAGGTGGAAAACAAAATATGATGAAATTAAAAATTCGGTAAATTACATTCGGACCTCTCAGAAAGCAACTGATTTACTCGGGTCTTTTCCTTTACGCAATAGAATGTACGAGTTCAGTCATCAAGGCAAAGGAAATAAACGACTGATCTTTTAGTCATCTGCATTTCAACGGGATGTTCTTCATGTTTGAACGCTCCAACGGCGATATGAGAGCCGGCTCGAATCCTGTTCGCTCAGCTACCGTAACATAGCATAGTCGTCAGCTTTTACAACTTATTTAAGAAACATTGAAATTTTTCCTCAGTGCTCGATGTAAGGCGTTCATATTTGCTTCAAATTCTACATTTGTCATAAGCAAATTTGCAGAAAAAATTGTGCTTGTTATAATACAAAACGTAGGTCGATTTTCTTTGAAAGCAAAATTGCCAAAAATTAATCTCAATAAGTTCTTTAAAGCACCAGCTAAAACTCCTCCAAACACCATAGAAAGCCGTTATCTTAATGTCTCCCACGTCCCATCAAAATCAAAACTTCACACCCTGGTTGTCAACTCTTGAAACATGCAAATTTTCCCCCTAAGCCCTTTCCTTAAGTCCTTCGCCCCATGGAACAACAACATATTGCACAACGCGCACTTGTAATCCTGAGATTTTTAATTCGTCCGCTTCTCTCTCGGCGCTCTCTCAAATCCGCCAGCCCTCTCGTGCATTTTTCATAACCATTAATTTGTCTCTTGAAGAGATTGGTTCATTACGAGAAGAGCTGTAAAGAGTGTGCCGAAAAGACGAATTTCGAGTCCTTATAGCGCACCCTCCAAATACTTGAGAGGGAAATAGTTTTTCCGATCAAGTGGTGACCATCTTTCGAGTCCCCTGCTCCCGACGAACACGGAGAGACGCTGCGGAATCAGCAACTTGACATTCTGGACCTCGGCGACAAATCAGGATCGAGCATTTTGGTGGGGAAACTGGGGCAGAATGTGCTGTGCTGTTGCGTAGTAGACAGATTAAGGGTCCACATAAAGAAGCTATGTGGACCGAAATTACAGCCAAACCTCGGCACAATGGCCTTACAGAAACAAAAAACTCATGTGAAAAATCTTGTTATATGGAGGTTCAATTGAAACCTCTAAAGTTGTTCGTTATAGACAGATTTTTTTCATGCATTAGTTCCAATGTACAAAAATGGCAAAAATGATGACTTTAGCAAAAAAAAGATTTCTAATTTCACAATTACTATAAAACATCGACTTTGTATTCTGTTCAAACTTTAGTTGCATATTCTAAAAACGCCACCAGTTATTGGTCAAAAATCTTAGCTCATGCTTTGCATTCTCAGCCAAGATATCAATCTTCTAGAAGACATACACAATGAAGGGGGTTGGGCATACAAAAAACAGCTTTTAGCTTCTAACCCAAATCGCGGAAAACACAAATTTTGGCCCTATAGTCGTCGTATAGCGATCTGCTTTACGAATATGAAAACTTTGATAGTTATAAAATACGGTTATCAAAAAAAAGCCAACTTCAAAAATTAAAAAAAACTTAAAAATTCCATTTACATCCCGAAATCCCGAAAAGTTGCGCAATTTCATTTGCACTTCTCGCAGCATGTGGTCCCATCAAAAAACCTGATCTCTAATGTAATTTGCTTTTCTCGACGAATCAACTGTTGCGTAATAAGCGCAAAAACGGATTAAAGGCGGATCCGCCTAATTTGAACGCTGCTGGAGAACAAAGGGGTCGGGATTTGGGCCAGATGAAGGAGATATGGATAACAATTTTGGAAAGAAATATTTCGCAAACATACTGTAGAGATTTGGTAATGACCTAAAGAGTTTAAATATACAATAGAAACTTTGAATCTCTAGCATCGGCTATAATCATCATTTTTTGCCAATTTCAACGATTGCTCAAAGAGGAATTGCTGGATAGCCTTGAAATTGGGTGGAAATAATCTAAATAAGATGCTGACTAATTCCTAAAATCTTCAGCTTCTGTTTTGCAACATTAGCTGAGACATTAAGCCAAGAACCTCATATATTGAGATAAAAAATCTCAATAATTTGAACACCTTACTGCGAAATTTTGACATCGTCACAGTAATCCCAACCCTGAAAAAACAAGCTTATTGTCCCTTCTAATTGCTCAAGCTCAAACCTCAACCCGCAAATTCCGCCGAACAACGCTTCAAAAGCAATTTTTTTATTTTTCTTTAAGTTCAAGCCCATTAGCACCATTTTTGATCACTGCCCAACAAAAAATCATCGCCCGCTTTCCGCCCACTTTGCCGCGTTTTTGCTTGACGTCAATGTGGCATACGAAAATAATCGGGCCGTGCCAGAGCGTCTGCTTCGTGCCGGCGACCGAGACCGCGCGGCGTCGTCACATCAACCGGCCCGCACAATGGGAAAAAACTTTCCGCACAAGGGTTATGGATTTTTATGGGAATATCAAAAAACCCGAGAAGGAATCGGATCGCACATTTCGACCATTAAACTGCGAACATGGTCAAAGGGCAGGCGAGGCAAAAAAGTATGTCAACTAGAGTTTTTGCAAGACTGTGACAATTTTTTTGGAACTTTTGGATACGGTAGAACAGCCTGCGATTTCAAAAATTTGAAGCTACATTTAGGGAGGTCAAAATGCAACATCTCTATTTTTTGTATGCATTTATATATATTATAGATGACATGTCAATTTTCTCCCTTTTCTCTCGCAGTTCCCGTTCTCTCTCGTCCAAAAAAAAGATCGTTGAATATGGCGGCATCTTCTGCAAAACGCGAGCTAAAGCTCTCAGGGAATTGGTGTTTGCCCTATCAGACCCACCATTATCAAATTTAAATTTATTCATTTCTTCGATTATTAGCAATGTCAATACTATTTCACACGACAAAAGGCATAGTTTAAAAAAATAATTATAACAAAACTTGACTAAAATCAACACAAAATAATTTGATATATACAGGAGATGCTATATAAAAAACGAGTGGTTATGAAACATGGCAGTTTGGGGGGAGAGTAAAAAATGCAAAAATAATGGAAAGGATTCAATGGAAAGGGTGAAAATACAATTTCACAATAGTATACCGAGTCGAGGGCTTTTTAACTAGACTTCAAGTACGGCGTTATAAACAGGGTCCAAAAATTCTTCACACATTTTTAGAGACTATTTGGAGGGGAAGATCTCTCAAAACGTGCAAGAGAATCTGGGGCACAATATAACCCAGCAAAAATTTTAAAAAATAAAAAAAACGTCAACAAAAAAAAGAAAAAAATGCAAAATATTTGCATAGAAGACTTTTAAATTACACAATCCGTCAATAACCAACAATTTTAGCGGTCGAAAACAAGTTTTTTCGACCAAAACTTTGCATCTTTATCGGGCAGATTCCAGTCAACAAAAAGGCCAAAAAACCTAAAATCAATGCCAAATTTAATATCAAAACTTTCAATTTTGTTACAGCTTGTTTTAATGAAGCTTGGCAGTGCCAAATAGCGTCTCGCCATACAGTTCCCGACTAGTTTCAGTCCATAAAAAAGCCGGAAAAGACCAAATCAAGTCCAAAATTTTAAATTTTAGACTCACTTGCTATTTTCAGCCTGTTTATCGATTAAAACCTTTCTGGAATTGCATGAACAGAGAATATTAGGCATTACCACCAAACCACACAACACTCAAAAAAATTTTGATACTAAATTCGGCCTTAATTTTCGATTTTTTGACCTTCTTGTTGACTGATAACGGCCCGGAAAAGATGCAAACTTTGTGGTGTAAAAAACTCATTCCGCACCACCAAAATAAATCGGCTCAAGAAGACAACATCGTGAGTTAATGGGTTTTGAGGAACTCGTCCAACTGTTGGCCAGGTTTGATCGAAATTGGGCCGTACGCCTCCAGCTGGTCGATGTCGATTACATGCGCCTTGTGGAGCTCGAGAAGTGCGTAGAACTTTTGTGCGCGCGTTTTTGTAGTCGCCTTGTTGGAGAGGAGGTCATCCAAGATTATCTAAAAAATTTTCCGATAAATTTCGTCATCGTGACTCAATTTTTGGATTTTTTCACAAGGAAAGTACTTCTATGGGGTATGGAGTTACAGGTCGAGACATACATCAAACAAATCGCAAAATTTATCTAACTCAGAATATGTAAAAGCTAGATGCCTAATTTTGGTCTGTAAAGGTGAAAAAATCCTCAGAACTTTTCTCGCAATACCACGCAAAAGCCCTTTTTTAAATTGGAGCAACTGATTAAGGTTTATCATTAATCGAATTTGATATTGTAAGGCTTTTCAAGATACCAAGGTTTACTTTAGCTCAAAACAAAGCTTTTGATTTGACAAAAACTTAGCGAAAAAGGCATAATTTCTTGCAATACCACGCAAATGCCTTTCTGACCAAGTTTTTACCAAATCGGAGGCTTTGTTTGGAGCTAAAGTAAACCCTGGCATCTTGACAAGCCTTAAATATCAAACTTGAGTAATACTACACCTTAATTAGTAGTTCCAATATAAAAAGGGGAATTTGTGCGGTGTTGCGAGAAAAGTTCTGAGGTTTTTTTCACCCATACAAACCAAAATTGGGCACCTAATTTTTACATATTCTGAATCAGAAAAATTTTGCAATTTTTTGTTTGATATACGTCTTGACCTGTAACTGCATACCCCATAAAAGTACTTTCCTTGCCAGGCATAACAATTGTCTCATTTTACATTTTTAAATCCACTATTTTGCGCAAGCGCTCTTAAACTTGATCCTGCTTTTTTTTGATTTACAGTGCTTGATGAAAACCCAATTTCTTACTATTACTAATACCAAAACGTTACTTTACTATTACTAATATCGAAATTTTTCCGTTACGGTTGCTGAGTCAGGGCTACAGTACCAATCGAGTCGGCATTTGAACCAATTTTTGAATGCGAAACTCCGTTACTTTCACACATACAATGGGACTACGGTTTTGGGGGGGATTCGATTTGAATTCAACAATGGCCGAAGCGTAATGTTTTTTCAAGTCACATCTGACTCAGAGGGCAAGTGGTTTCGACTACTGTAGCCGGGGTACTCTGATCTTATTATACCGTAGACGGAAGTTGCAAAAAAAAATATTTTTTTTTTGATTCAAGACCAAAAATCACTAAAATTTTTCACTTATTCGTACACGATTTCCCCCCAATTCTTGGTGACCCAGGGTAATCGGAATGCGCAATCAGGGGGGTTTCCGCTAATCCGGGCCGTAAAAACGCATCCAGGCATAAATAATAAACATTCTCGGGAAAACGAGTAAAATTAGCCGGATCTGCGAGCAAAAATCAGGGGATAATGACACCAGCAACATCTGGAAATTGTGGTATGGTATCTGAGGGGGTCATGGAGAGCTTAGCAGCACTTTAGGACCCCAAAACTTTGGAAAACAATAGTAAAATTATAAATTTCAAATTTTTACAATAAGGAAAGTACTTCTATGGGGTGTGGAGTTACAGGCCGAGACATATATCAAAAAAATCGCAAAATTTTTCTGATTCAGAATATGTAAAGATTAGCTGCCTAATTTTGGTTTGTATGGGTGAAAAAAAATCCTCAGAACTTGCTCGCAACACCACGCAAATGCCTTTTTCACCAAGTTTTTATCAAATCAAATGGTTTGTTTTGAGCAAAAGTAAACCTTGGTATCTTGACAAGCCTTACAATATTAAATTCGATTAATAATAAACCTTAATCAGTAGCTCCAATTTAAAAAAGGGCTTTTTTAAGGCTTGTCAAGATGCCAGGGTTTACTTTAGCTCCAAACAAAGCCTCCGATTTGGCAAAAACTTGGTCAGAGTTTCCGTGGTGTTGCAAGAAAATTTCTGAGGGTTTTTTTCACCCTTGCAACCCAAAATTAGGCAGTTAATTTTCACATATTCTGAATCAGAAAAATTTTGCGATTTTTTTTTGATATATATGTCGATCTGTAACTCCATACCCCATAGAAGGTACTTTCCTTGTAAAGGAATTCCAACAGCAACATAAAGAAGCTAACTCCTCTTCAAAGCCATGTAAATGGACCAAAAATCATTTGAAACCTCAAATTACAGTACTCCCAGTCCCAGTGCATCCTCCAAAATGTCTCATTTCGGATTCAGATTTTTCATTTTTTCATTCGGATCCCAATTTTCCCGCGCACTTTCCCATGGATTGGGAAACTATTGTTCCAAAAAAAATGAATCAGGGACGGGACCGCAAAAGTCTCGGGCCCACTTTCTAATATTCCCATTATGACAGTCGGATATTCGTCACAAACACCCGCACTTATATTCGAATATGTCGTTCCCAGGGAGCACGGGATCGGGAAAAGCGGAAGGAATTTGAATATTAAATTTTTTTGAGGAAGGAATTTGAATATTCAAAAAAAATCCATGATCACAAATTTAGTTTCGTGTCAAAAAATATATTTTTAACTAAAAAAATATTGCTTTCAAAAATTTGCATAACAAATTTCAAAATCTGAATATTCAAATCAGAGATTAGTAGACTTACATGATTATCATTAGTCTTGAATTTCGTTGAGATGCTGCTCAGTACACCCAGTGTTCGTTTACTAAAGACTTGATCGTCATTATCCACGGCGTGATCTTCTTCATCATCTTCTTCCTCTTCATATCTCTGAAAATTTTAAAAAATTAGCAAAACATGGCAAAAAATTTAAAAAAAAATGAAATTATCTGTTGGTCCGTTGCTTCAAAACTCAACGTTATATACCTAAATGACTAACAAAACTTCCCGTAGTCCCAAAAATAGAAGCCGTTTTTCCTACCATAACCCCAAAAATCCAAAAAAAATCTTTTATATCCAATTATTCAAATTACCCAATCCATTAATAATATTTGTGTTCAATTGCGCAACACTCTCGCCAGCTTATTACTCATTGTTGTTTTCATGGATGCCGACATCGGAGTCGTAATATCCGCTCGCTTTTGTTTTCGGTTTTTATGAATCGGAAATGCCGACAAAATCAGGTCCAAAAAACCGGGATCGCAAGTCGGGAGGGGGGCTAAATGGTTGGGAAACAGGGTCAAGCCGGCCATAAAAATTAGACGTTGTGGACATTAAATCATTTTAGATATCAAAAAATTATGTAAAAACTTTAAAAAATCAAAAAAAAAATCAAAAGAAAAATACAAATTTTTGCCTCCTAGATGGTTCATTTCTGAGTCCGAAAACTAATGAAAAATTAAATTTTCAAAAAAAAATTAAAAACACAGTTTTGTAGAGGAGAAAAACCTGTATCAAATAAATATATTCTCTTTGCAGAACAAACAATCCTTGTAAAACAAAGAAATAAAAAAAACGAACGAACTTTCTGGACCACCTATATTCCCTTCAAAACCCTCAAATTTAAATCCCAATCGCCTTCCAGAACTCTTACAAAAGCTTCACAGAATCCAATATAAACTTACTTTTTTCGGTGAGGACTTTCCGTTCGTCTCGGGGACTCCATTTTCTCGGGGCTCATCGTCTTCCGGGTAGTCTTCTAGGCCTTGATCCAAGGAATTCTCTTCGAAAACGGCTGGAAGATCGGAGTGGCTTGATTCGTCAACCTGAAAATGAACGGTAAAATACTCAAACACCGAAAAAAATAAAATTTTCAAAAAAAAAATTCTTAATTTCTAATTGTAAAATGCCTAAAAAGATCAAGAATACATTCTAAAATACGAAAAAAAATCTTTTTTTAACTTTCAGCAACATGTTTTACTACCGTAATTTGCATAAATTTCCGGTAAAACAAACAAAAAATTGTCCAAAAAATCCGTTGCGCAATTATGTGAATGAAAGTGTGGAAATGACCGGGTAATGGGCATATTGCATTTCCGGTTCATTATTCCCAACACATGTAATTGGGTCAACAAAATCTCGCCATATTATTACATTATTCATGGTGTTGCGCAATTTTCAGCCCCATTATAAAAAATTTCTGGGAAACAAATTTCTCCCGGCCCTCTGAATTAGATGTCAACCTACATTATCATCATCATCGATGGCGTCGCTCATCCCGAGCTGAGTGCGGATATCAAACGCTGTCTGTTCACCGTTATCTCGGAGTTTGGGGACCAAATGACGTTGATACATCTGAAAATGGGAAATTAGAAGGCGCCATTTCAGTTCTCCGGAAATTCTTACAATCACATCATCCAATTTAGCCCCTAAAATCCAAGAAACAAAACAAAACCTTCACCTACTTTGTTCAAATTTTTGTTGAGGTAGATATCAGTGGCGGGGTACGAATAAATATGCTCCATAACACCAATCTCCTTAATCTTCATCAATCGCTTGGTCGGTGGTGCCAATTCCAGCGGTTGCATCGTATCACTGTAATCCGACAAACAGTCGCGGATCTCTTCCGCCGATATTACATTAGCATCGTCCCAGACCAGCTTCCTCCTCCGCTTTTGACGTTGCGGCTCTTTTTCCGGTGTGTGATTAGTCAACGGGGCCAATACAAGGTCGTCCTCAACTCTGGGCTGGTCTACTTCCATCACATCGCCACTATCGTAATCATCAAACTCATTATCAATATGATTTTCGTTTTCATCCGATGCCGCAACCGAGCCGTCTTTATGGATGCTGGCGGCGGCCTCTGATTGCACGTCATGGTCGCTAAGGAAGGATACGGAACGACGCGAAAGTTCAATATCTAAAAATCAACAAAATTCTAACAAAAAGCTCACCGTCAGACACATTTTTGTTCAAAAGTTCGTAATTCTTCTTTGTCCGTTCGAATTCTTCATCAAAATTGCTTGCGCAATCATCAAACTCGTCGTCCATAAGGTCTTCATTTATCAACCCACCACCTCCGAGTTCAAAATTATCTTCCTGAAGGGTAATATCGTCTATCCGACTCTGCTGCATGGGTGCCGGCGCGTAATCAAACTCACTGATATCCGGCATTATCACATCCATTTCGTCTATGAGCTAAAATCGGACATATTTTGGGTAATTTTTACTTTACATTCTTGGACTTACATCAAGTTCTGAGGTATTTCGATCCTTTCTAACCGCATTTTGAAGCATGGCCAACTCAGCACTGCCCGGCTGGAAGGCTTGTTTGATCCTTACGAAGGCTTCGTTACAATCTGCGAGGACGTATTTTGTCTTTTTCGAGAATATCCGCACAATTCCGAGCAGAAGATGACCGGTCGTTCGAAGAGACATTTTTGACTGAAAATTTTTGCTCATAAGAAAACTATGTTTTTTGACTGATCATACATCAGAAAAGCTCTATTAAAACTCGTATCCAATGCATAAGTCAATATTCAACGTTTTTATACAAATTTCCCTTTGGTATTACCTAAAACAAGAACAAAAAGTGCTAAAAACTTACTTTTGGTTGTAAAATTTCGTTGACTGCATTCGAGACATCAGTTTCGAAGACCTGAGCCTTTGACAACTTCCTTTCCATGTGCGCTGCCAGCCATATCTGCGACAACGCCGACTTCTTGGCTAACACAAATTGAGCGTAAAACATGGCTAAAATAACGTCGTTTAGGTATTTAAAATTATAAAAGACAGCGTATTAACAATGAAAACAGGAAAGATCGAAGGAGCGTTAGCATTGCGTAAGTTCTGGGGAAAATTATCTTCTCCTTGATGGCAAGGTCAAGGATAAGGTCAAAAAATGGTAAAAACAGCAAAAATCAGTCGCATTCCGTAATAGAATCAAAAAGAGTTAAAATTCGAATAAATAAGGAAAGGAAGTTCTAGGCGGCCGAAAAACTTTGATAACCTTGAAAATCCTCTAAAATTCAGCGAAGAATTAACAACGAATATCCAAATCCATCTACCATCCAAAATCCCTTGAAACTTTGCAAAATTTCGACAAAAATCAGTAAAAAATTTTATTTTTGGCATCGGAGAAAAACAAAGTGCGGTTTTGCCCCACCTTTCTCTCTGTTCTCCTCTTCCCCCGCACTCTCTCGCTGTCATACGCCCGAGCGCGCTTGTGTCTTTGGCAGTACGCACAGAAAGACTCTCCAATTCTTGTGTGCTGTCTCGGCTGTCAATTTTCGGACGCCGACTCAATTGTCGAGTGAAGGTCGAAGAGAGAGCGTGAAAGAAGGAAGAGACAAGAGAGAAGAGAAATGAGTGAGAGGTATGTACGCACAAGAAAATGAGGCTGGAGCTCGGTCATAATGACCAATTGAGGAAATAAAAGTTGAATAAATTGAAAATGCATCAAAGTTAATGAGAAAGAACTAAAAAATTTCGAAAAATCACCGCTCTTATAACCCTTTGAGCCCTTCTCCTGTTTCAAACATCAAACCTTTTGTTGCAAAATTTTCACTTCCCATTCGGAAAATTAGCCTTATTTTCTTTCAAAAAAACAGAAAACAACAACAATTTTCGCATATTTCATGCACATTTTCTCTTCGAGAGGCCATTTTTCATGTGTGTTTTGACGTGTAATGGTATATTTGTGCCTCAGATGGTAGTCATAAACCCGATCTAACTCCGAGTTTTATGATCTTTTTTCAGCCCCAAAACTATTAATCTCTTCAGTTTTAATCCAGAGGCAGTGATTCATGAGAGTAATCCAGTGAAATCAAATGCACATATAAATTGGACTGACGGTTGGTTTTGGTTTCAAAACTTGCTTAGGGGATTTGCGTAGCGAATTTCAAGGCAGTCGAGATTTCGTGATTCAAATTTCGACAAATTCGGCACTGTTTTGCGAATTTCCGCCTGTCGGGAAAATAGCGTCTGCAACGAGGCGCGACATCTTGCTGCGACCATCATTTTTTCCACATTATTTTCCCGACAGGTTTATAGATAGACGGCAATACAGCTGGTGTTTTCAACGATCTCGCAGACAACGGTAGAGCTGCAAAACTTTCTTAGGGATGGCCACAATGACGTGTTTCGGGCCTTTATTACTTTTATACAGTGAAGGACCTGATCCTGTGGCAAAAAACGTATCATTTTGCATCCGGGAAGTATCAAAAAATGCAGCAAATGCCTCCCTCTCCAGGTGAAAAAACTTCGTTTTGAAGGGCGCCCATTTACTCACAATAAGAGCGGGCGCGCTTTTAAAATCGGAGTTTTTTCACTTGGAGAGGGATGTATTTAGCAACATTTTGTGATACTTCATGGATGCAAAATGATACATTTCTTGCCACTGGATCAGGGCCTCCATTCTATCATCCAGTTTCCTAATGATCCATTATTTTTGCGATTTTGCATTTTTTTGTTGATTTTGAAAATGCGGCCATTAGTCTTCTGGCCGAAAAATATCAACGTAAAAAATTTTCTTGCTCGAATTCTACCGCAAACACATTTCAACAACTTTATAGATTAAATACAGCTGTTTTATAGGTCAGTTCGCACAAATAATCACAATGTCTTTCGTCTAGTGCAAGTCTGAAAAGTTGAACCCAAAAATTTGTACTCTAATTTTTTATGGAATTGAAAAGTTAAATTTTTTCTCACAACTTTGAAATCGCCGTACATTTGGAGTAGATATTCATCCTCTTAATTGTGCAAGCCATGTTTTTTTTGACCGCCGTAATTCAATACAGTTCTATAAAAAAGCTTCGGGTATTTTTGTCAGAGACTTTGTGGAGGTGGTAAAAAAAATAGAGCAAGAACGAGGAGTTTGTAAGGTCCGCGGGGCTTTCGAATACGACCTTATGTTCATCTTACTGATGGATTTGAGGCAAATCCGTTTAATACGTCAGAAGATACTATCCTTTTTATAGAAATCGGACCTTTGTGATCAAAGCTGTTTATAGCGACTGTACAAAATAACAATATTTTTAGAATAGCAATGCTCTATAGTTCTATAGAGCATCCACTGACGTGTTGTCCGCATGGAAAATTGATGAAAACAGGTGTGAAAGTAATTGTTAACTTCGGTTTCAGTCAGATTAAAAAACAATTTTTTTTTGTTCGAGCTAACCTTAATTCTGTAACCCCTAAAGTTTTTGTTTGCGCTGTCCTTGCAAAAAAACACGCAAAAAGAGGCGAGTAGGCCAGACTATTTTTTGTCCATAACTTTGTTTTTCCCTCGGAACATAAAAGTCTGAGGTCTTGTTGAAGTGCTGTAATGCGTCATCTATGAGCTAGATGCAAAATATTTCCAAACATTTGAAGCAAATTGTAAATTTTTTTGACAAGGTCGGACTACATAATTTACAGAATTCTAAAGAGCGCGAGTTTCAAATATCTTCACATGACTTAAAAACGTATGCTCTAAATTTTGCCTTTTATCTAGTTTTGTTCCATCTACGTCAAGGAAATTTTTGCTACCAAATTCTACATTCTTCTGCTTTCATTTTTTGTTTTTTGCCACAGCAACTTTTAGTACCACTTTGAAAACCCGTCACTTTTCTTTACCGAGCATTTTGTTTTTGTGTTTTTTTCACTCCCACCCGACCCGCATCGGGCATTAGGTAATCACATTTATTTATCCTGAAATATCACCCGTGGCAACGCCTCTCTCTCTCGATTACGGAAACTCGTCTGCAAGGTATTATATCCGAAAGACGAGGGAGAAATATTTTTAATCGGCAAAAGTCAAATTAACGCGAGTTTCGGCCGTTTTCCTCTGACTGAAGAGATTTTTTGCAGTAACTTTTTCCTGCTTGCCAAAGACAGATTAGATTAAAAGTTTTATTACTGGGTTTAACGTCTTTTTTTTGGAGTTGACATGCCATAAAAGCTTTTGGCAGGGCGTTCGCTAGTCGTATTTTTCCAGACAAACAAAAATTTATGTATACCTTTTCATTGCACCCTCGCTACCTTAATTACAACCGTCTCCACAGTAATTTTTGGAATCGTATTTGCCGACTTTTGAACTGAATTTGCTCCACTAATTAATCAGGTCAAAATACAGTTCTGGCTAGCATAATTGTAGTCTATGTTTGTGAGTGCGGAACTTTGCCGGCCCTGGCATTTCGATTACACGCGTTTTGTTTAAAAAATTGCTCGTTTATTTTGAAATTTCACATTTTGTAAAATTATTTTTCCGTATTAGTTTTACAGTTGCCACATTAGGATTAAAATCCAGCATCGGCACGCACGAAATTTTCCGGGAAGCTTGTGCGGGTGTTGCAGTCCTTGTTTTCTGATTACAGAAATCCCTGATATCACTCCCCTTTTCTATGTACTCATTTAGAATCTGAGTTATAAAAATATCCTGCGGATTTTTTTAGTTCCTGGAAAAATTTTGTTATGCGCGATGAGATGTTTTTGACGTCTTTTTTAGTATACGAATGACGTCATTATCATTTAGGTATCAATCTAAGTGAGAATATATTGTCAGAGGATGTAATGTCAGAAATTTCAACATCTGTAAATGCACTAACCCTCGACTTTCCCCTTTCACAGGGCTAAGCAGCCCCTGTTTTGTTGATAAGTGGGGGAGTACGGCCTTCTCACATGAAGGTCCAAAAAAGTTACTGAACTTTAGAATGTTTTATGAATTGCTCTTGAGGCAAACGTTGGCTAAAAATTCGTTAGAAGTTTCATCGTGTTTTTCCTGAACGCATGTTGTTTCGGCTGATAGATGAGTAGACGGTGGACTAGTTGCCGTCGACAAAGGGGTTGCAAAAAGATTATTATGTGTCCAAACTTGATATTAAGAAGTAGATACAGACCTGATTGTGAAAAAGCTATTATCATTTTTTTAATGATATTACAAAGGCTTCGAGATTTATCTCAACAGCCTCTTTGGTATTGCGACACGTGCGAATAAACTGCTTGCGGGAAACGACTTTCCGAGAAGGAGCAACATTTAAAAGCAGAATAGGCATTTGCGGGAATGCAAGCTGACAAACTGTGAACCGCCATTCTAAGACTAGGCTTGCTTAGGCTTAGGCTTGCTTGTGCTGAGGCTTGCTTAGGCTTAGGCTTGCTTAAGCTTAGGCTTACTTGTGCTTAGGCTTGGTAACGCTGAGGCTTGCTTAGGCTTGCATAGGCTTAGGCTTACTTTTGCTTTTGCTTGCTAACGCCGAGGTTTGCTTAGGTTGCTTAGGCTTAGGCTTTCTTTGGCTTAGGCTTGTTTAGGCTTGCTTAAGCTTATTTGTGCTTAGGCTCGCTAACGCTGAGGCTTGCTTAGGGTTGCTTAGGCTTAGGCTTTCTTAGGCTTAGGCTTGCTTAGGCTTGGGTTTCCTTAGCTGCATGAGATTAAGTCAGTTGTCAGCTCCGAGTTCTTTCATATGTCAGGCAAATTTCTTCTGTCCGCAGATGTCGGTGTTGGTTTTAGCATTCATTTATACCCGTAAATATCGTCTGCCTGCAACATGGAATGCTGATTCCCGCCGCTACCTCTTCAAAGCTACTTTTAATATCTTTTTATGCTGTTTCATACCTTATGGCCATAAATTTGCTCCAAAGCGTTCAAGAATAGCGTTTGATCCCACAGTAATCGAGTTCTTACTTGGTTTAATTGTACTTCCTCTTCTTATATTACAGCCAAATACGGCCACACTTCATAGTTATAGATGACATTTCTCAGCTCTGACGCACGTTGTTTTCGTGCTATTTTTATTTTGAAAAAACGTCGCAGTGAAAAAACATTTTGATTTCGAGTAAAATGCCGTTCTATTTTTTCAGTTCCCTTCCGTCTCATTAGAAGCGCCATTGTTATAAAAAAAGATTCTTGGGGAATTCAAAAAAAATTCGAGGAGCGGGAAAGAAAGCAGATGTGACGTTAATTGTGGCATATGCCCATGGTATATCGTCTAAATTGAGGCATGAGTTTGTAGTTGAGGCACGCTAAGCAAAGGGAAAAAGGTGAAGTGGATAGGGCTGTTTGCAGAGAAGGTGATAGACATGGGGAAAGACTTACATCAAGATGTTCTTTAAATTTTCCCAGGTTTCTGGCGGGTCATACTTTTTTTTCTTTTCAAAGGCTTTCTGCCGCGACGGTACTTCTCCTGTTAGTCCGAAACAAAGATTTGAATGTCAAATCTTTGGACTTTCATCTCGCCTAAACAACCTTGACTGTGTAGGAGGTAAGCAGCCGGGTTCGGTAGGATTCATAAAACAGCTTCATTATGAGGTTGAATTAAGTCCACAAAGTCCAAATTTAAACAATGTTCCGGCTTGAAATCTCGGTTTTAGCCTCAAACTATGGCCTAAGACTTATATTAACATAATATTTGTCCTGCAAAATGAATAAAATTGTTGCCCTTTTCCTTCGTTATAGTTCGTCATCCGTGTCTACATTTCCTTCATTATCAATCTTCATTTTCAACATAAAAATTCTTTTGAATCATGATGACAAATCCCACAAAAATATGTACTTTCGCTTTTTCTCATTCTTTAGTTCAATATTCGTAGGCCAAATAATCGAATTCAACTTCAAATTCCGCACTAATTACCATTTAGACTACTGGTAATGCCCTCTTTCAGACATTTTTTTATTTTTGAATACTTTTTTCTAGCTAAAATCCTCTTTTTCCAAGTCTTTTTTGGGACGCAGTTTCTGAGCCCGGAGGCGGTTTTTCGATAAGGGGCAAATTTTAACCGACTCTTTTTAAAAGAACACCCGTTTGTGGCATTTGGGGTTAAAATTAAGTGGAGGACTCAGAAGGAATGATAAGGAAAAGGTGTTCTTTTCGCGTTTGGTCGGGGTTTTTTGAATTTCCCTTCGCCGGGAATCGTGAAAAATGACGGCTTTTGGCCAGAGATCAGTCAAGGTTTGACGGGAAAAAATTGATTTTTTTGAAGAGAAAATTCATGTTGATTTTGCAAAGCACGTGCTAAACTTTTTTCAAGTTTCTTAGAAATGCTCGTCAGAAACTTCACAACGCATTTTCTCCACTTTTTTTATAATTTTCACCTTTTGTTTACCCAAATTTTATTATCCTTCATAAAAGCCTTTATGACTCTTGCTCACTCCAACATTCCGACGTGATTAACCATCCAAATGTGTATTTACTGACCGCTTCCCTAATTAGTCACGCATTTCACCGTTGAAATGGCCGTTAACCACGGTGGCGGCATAAATACAGGGTTTAGCATTCATCTAGACCATGCAAATATAATTTGTTGATGGCACGGCAAGGGATTCTTTTTCTGACTTCGGTACTATTTTGTGCCCAGAGCAAGAAGTCAATTGGCGGTAAAGTCGGTCTGTACAATGCTATTGCTATTTAGAATGCGGGGAAATGTTTTGGCGGAATTTTTAGGCATTTTTCAATAAGGAATTGTCTGAACGCGGTGCAAAGTGTTTGATGGAAATTGCCACTTCTTTGGATTTATTTTTTAAAGACCGGCCGCGGCGGTTGAAGAACAATGAACAATGATTGACTTGACCATCGTTGGGTCAAATAAAATGATTTTTTCGCTTCTTTTTGCCGAAACCATGCTTTGTTAGCCCATCCTATAAAACTTTGTTTACACACAGTGACGGACCTGATCCAGTGGCAAAAAACTTACCATTTTGCATCCGGGAAGCGTCAAAAATGTGGTAAAATGCCTCCCTCTCCAAGTAAAAAAACTTCGTTTTGAAGGAAGTTTTTTCCCTTTTCCCTCACAGAAAGAGCGGGCGCGCTTTTGAAATAGGGATTTTTTCACTTGGAGAGGGAAGCATTTTGCCACATTTTTGATACTTCCCAGATGCAAAATGTTACGTTTTTTTGCACTGGATCAGATCCCTCACTGTACCGTATAGTCTCTTTCATCCTGACATGCCTTTACTTTAACCGTACAGCCTCTGAAACAGTGAACAGTTTATTGTCTCAACGGTAATGCAAAAAAAGTACGAGCTAAAACTTTCTAAAATCGATAAACGCCTTATGCCCGAGGTGTAGCAAAAATTGAAGCAAATCGAGGCGTCACACTCCGAACACTTCTTTTGCAAATTTCTTAAGGATGGTATCTTTTCATTTTCAATAGTCCTATGACATTTGAAATTCGCCTATGAATTGCCTTGTGATTCTTCACTTGTTTCAGTAAACTTTTCACCGTGTGATTCATCTATTTGTTTTGTTCAATTATTTATAATCAAAAATTACAAAATTTTCTGCTTTTGTACGCGTCTTTAAGTTACATCCGTCTTTCCAAAAGCACTTATTTTTCCCTTTTTTCCCACATGTTCTGCGTGCCAAATCCCAAGATCTTAACTAATCCTTGTCAACGTTATTTATTTATAAACACCTTTTCCCCCGTTTAACGCTCTTGGACTTTGAATTGGCAATTGTTTTGTTTTTCAATTTCTTTTTATTTGGCCTATTACTCATCCTGCTCCGAACGAAAGGCCAAGGAAGACGGATTGGGTTCGTTTTTTTTGAGGTTGACTTGGGTTGTTTTTGCAAGGATTGTTTCTTAACTCCGTTTTTTCAACGTTTTTTTAAACGACAAAAAACCGTTACATATAATATTTTACCACGTTGTAAAAAGCAAAAAATGTGGGTTTTATGGCTGTTGATGAGAAGTCACACATTGTACAGATATTTTGGTCACTTTCCATCTATAATCCCTTTGTTTATCTGGTAATTGCGGGTGTAATCTTGAAATTGGCTATTCAATTATTTGCTGGTCAAAATACCTTTTCTCATTTCTTCCCATTTTGCGGTCTAGAAGTTTTTAAAGTTATCGGTTTCCAGTTAATACAATCGGCAATGAACGACACATCAGGTCTCACGGAACTAGACCTTTGGACACCAAACTTATACAGTGAGTTTTACGACCATTATTGTTGCTTTTACGGGCAGAGGGAACTTGTGGACAACGAACACAAGTTCTCTTCAGAGCTAACGGCTTCCAAAGCCTGTTGAGGATCAGTATCTCAGGGAAATAATGAGCACCATGTCGCTGTGCCAATGCTGAAATGAAGAGTATTTGTTCTTGCCGCAACACAATTCATTTTCTTGGCGGCGATGCAATTTCACAATGTGCTCATTTGTCGCCATGCAACAAGTCAAAGGCTTAGCTCATAAAAATTGCACGAAAATCTTTTTTTATAATTTCAAAAATCGCCGTTTCGCTGTCTTTCTAGAGGTGGCAATCGGACCCTGACCGAGCCAGCCTTGCCACCTCTATGTCTCTCTAACTTTATCTCAACTTTTTGACAAAATTTTTTTTTACAGATATCCACACCTACGCCTCCACATCAATATGTGCTCTTGGAATCATGTTGAACGTCATCTTTCTCCATTGCATCACAACGGCGGATTTTGAGCAATCCGTTGGAATGAAGGTTCCTCTCACAATAAAATGCATTCTTGATCTCGTGTGTGCTGGCAGCAGATTTTTCTTGGAGCAGGTAAAAATTCAGGAAATAAAAGATTAAAAAATTTTTTTGAGTGAATATCTGTTTACCATACACATCGTATTTTACAAATTTCAGACGACAATAGTGCACGCCGGATATTATTTACAAGTCAACGACGGGTTCTCGATGATTGGAGAGACCGGAACCTTCTCCATGACTTATTTGTTAAATTTGTTCCAAGATTTGAGCCTCGGATTCACGGTAGTGCTCTATGCAATCCGAGTGAATACAACTAAAATGTAAGCTGATGTCCCCCGTACGCGGAATTTCCAGGTCGTGCCCTGCCTATATCCTAAAATTATATTTAGGTTCAAAATCGAGGCCCTTCTGTTTGACATCCTAAAAAACATGTTAGTTAATCGATATGGCCATAAAAATAAAACAAATTGGAGAGAAAAAAACGGAGATTTTTTTAGGCCAAGAATTGTTAGGCTACACCCAAATATTTTCGCGTCAGGATCAATGAAAAAAGTTGCATTTTTTGTCACCCTGTAATCTTTCAGGGCCGGTGCTTCCAACCCTCTGCATTACCTCGTTTACTCATTATTCTACTTACTTCTCCTCATACTCACAGTGTTGCATGTCTACTGGTTTACTTTCAACATCAAAACGCAGCATTTGTCTTCAAATTTGACCATTTTCGACGAATTGTTTGAATATGGATGTTATTTCAATCATTCCTACATTAACTACCAGAAAAGCGATATTTTCCAGTTTGATAACTTGCTGTTCTACAATTTCATGCTATTTGTTTTTGTGATTTTATTGACTTTCTTGTGCCTTCGACGGATTTCTGGCAATATGGACAAACTGAAGTTGTTACTGGATAAGGATTTATTGAAGATGCATGAAGAAGTAAACTACTCGGTTAATTTGGCGGTAAGTGTAAATAACCAAAATTTATCACATTTGAGCATTGTAAAAATGCAACCAGTCAAAAAATTTTACAATTTTTCTATTTCAGACCGCGATTTACACACTGATATTTGGTTGTAATTTGCTGGTTTACCTCTACACTGCCGTCAACCTGAATCGCTTTTCCCCCACACAATTTGCCCCCTCAATTTTGTACGCCCTGCTTCCGTGTATAATGCCTTTGGTGGTGATGAGTGTGTGCACCGTGTACCGGCGATTACTCCTCGGAATGTTCAGCTGTGATCATAAGAAGAGCCTTTTCTGGCCGCAGAAACAACGGGTTACCCGGGTCTACTCGATTCAGGATTCGAGTATTGGCCCGAACAAATTGGATTGCTATTCGAAAAATGTGCAATTGAGAATTTGAAATTTGAGATTTTACGTTTTTCATTGCTGATTTTTATGTATATAATAAAAATTTTGTGCTCTCTTGTTTTGATGAAATTTGGCAAAAAGCTGTACGGTAAATTATTAAAATGTGATGCTTGCAATTGTTAGATTCTCTTTAAATGTTAGACATCTTCTCTAGCACTTCACTCCCCTTGCTGAAAGCAATTTACATTTATGATACATCCGGATTTATACGCACGTATTTTACCAGCCCCTCCAATCTCATTGTTAATTATTTCCTTTCGCCCAACAAAACACGCATCTTCAAGCATGATCTATAATATATTCCTTCAAAAAAAGTAAAAACCGATATCCTATTGTCGGAAAGAGCCCTCCGGTAAGTACCACTCTTCGGTCGGAGCAATTTCCGCTGGGCCGACAAAAGAGTTGTTGAGGATGTGTAAATCTCTCATCGGTAATTGCAGGAAACCCGTGCCAGAACCCCAGCGTCGTGCATGCCCTAGAGAGTCCGAAACCGGAGTCTTAAGAGGGCCACTGGGAGATCTGGAATGGTTGTTGACAATGGACAGTCTTGAGGGCAGTCTTGACTAAAGACGTTGGGGAGGACTGTGTAATTTGTTTGCAAGGGTGGTGTTTGAAGCTCCGACTTTACAGATTTACAAACTGTTAGTCACAGCTTGTACTTTGGCCACAAATCAATCCTTAAAAATTTCAGCTCGCGTTTTATGGGAATTTTGCTTGGATTTGCTTTTATACCGACAAAAAAAATAAAAATCCACAACCCGAAATTGTCTGACCGTTTCTCATAGCATTCTGTAGTCTCCCTTCTGAAAAGATCGTTGAATATCTCTGCTGTTCCTGTAAGCCGTAAGCTAAAATTTTCAGGAATTAATATGCTCTCTATACAGCTCAAGTAGTCAGAAATTTCAATAAAATCTCCGTTTGCTGGATAGAGTAATTTCAGATTTAATTTTTCTCATTCCTCATACCGTTCTTCGTTTTTTAAAAGCTTCTGCAAAATCCTCCTGCAGTTCAACTGCGCATATAAAGACCACATTTTGTGCTATAGTCTGCCCTCGCATTTCCGTCCGAGTATCCATTTCCGTTGAACGCAGCGTCGGCGAACTGTCATTTTCAGGCGCATCGTCACTTACACCCGTCGCCACGTTCAAAGCCGCCTTCCCCGAAACCATGGGTAAGTGGCAGTATAAATAAGCCAAAGTGCGTCAATGCAAGGACGAATTTTGCTCGAAATTTCGGCCGAATTTTTCGGGATTTTTGAGATCTTTTCGATCTTTTTGCACTGTGCACTATGCATTTACTGTAACAATATGCTTATTGTAATGTAAAATTAATTATTTGTGTGTATTTCGAATCGTCAATCTCAGATCGTCATGTGACAAAAATTAGAGATAATTTAGATATTTTCATAATTTTGAACAATTTGAAGAAGTTTCAAAAATTGCGAATTTTACTTTTTTTAACTATTTGAATGTCTACGTTTCGTAAAAATTTTTGAATACAGTGTGAATTCAGACTTCGAACTTTCAGAAAACTTTCAAATCTTACAGATTGCTTTTTGTTGTTGTTATTGCACTTTAATTCGCTGACAAATGCCCACAAAGCCGAAGAATTGTGTGCCAATCAACACGAATGCGGAGAGGAATCTGTTCCGACATATCCCCTTGAATTCGAAGCTCATCGAGAACATGAACATGGGTTTGTCTTTTTGCACTGTGCAGTGATTTTTGTGAGCACAAAACAAGGTGATTCTATACCAAAAAGTGGAACTTAAATTTCAAGCACTTCACAACCAAACATAGACCGAAATTCTAGTTGTTGTAAAATTTTTTTCCACAAAAACTTCTAAACACACTCAACTTCCCCGAAAATAAGGTAAATCTCGTATAACTTTTGATTTTAGCTCTCTTCCAAGAAGTGAAGGCCCGCCAAGAAGAGTTCATGCAAGCCTTCAACGCCGGCGATGCGCACAAGGCCGCCCAGGTCTACGACAAGGACGGTTACTTCATGCCGAACGGGCATTCCCCGGTGAAAGGGCGCGAAGGAATCGAAAAATATTTCAAACAAGACATGGCTGATGGCGTCACCTCTGCTCAAGTAGGTCCTATGGTAACTATAGAACACTGCAGTGACTTGATAGACATTAAACATACTTTAACTCTGACGTTTTGGCTAAAAATTATATTACTCTAGATCATCACCGAAGAGGTGAACGGAAGCGGTGATTGGGCCTTCGAACGCGGAAGCTATCACCTGGACGGGAGTCGTGGGACCGAATCCGGCGCCTATCTCCAAATCTGGAAGAAGATTGACGGTGTTTGGTTCATCCACAACGATTGTTTCAACGTCATCAAAGCCGCGGAATAATGGCTCGGAATAACCCATCAAAACGCACAAGACTTCCCGCTTTAATAGTCCAATTCGTTACTTGAAGTGTGGTAAATGTTGCCAAATAAAGTTTTCTAGCAGAAACCGTGTACATTCCTGCCATTTACAGCAATGTTTATGGTCCCACCACGTGAAATTGAGACGCCAAAACATTCTTGGCATTCTGTTGCAAGCAAAAAAATATTGTTGAGCTCGTGAGATTTATTTGCGACGAGGAGGTTTGACCCCGAAATGACATTTGAGGGCTCAAAAAAATGACCGACGAAGTATCTACAACAAGAAGGTTTTTATACGAACTTCAGAACGATTGGGGCAAAGGAGATTTGTACAGAGATACTCCAATTCGATTTCTCGGTAAGGAGTTCATCTTTTTTGTTGTTTTTTAGACTTCATTGAGAGCTCAAACAATTTTTGTCTCATCTCAAAAAGGCGGTTCTCGACAGTTTTTTCCTTTTTTCACCTACTACAATATTGCAGGCTATGCAAATGAGATTGGAGAAGCCTTTAGAGCATGGATTCCGGTCGCAGCTGTCAAAGCGACGTACGTAGTTGCCTCGAGCTACGTCATAGCGGATGCGTTTGATAAAACACACAAAGTTTACAAAGTAAGAAGCATATTTTGATCAGGGATTATATTGCTAATGATTGATAATGGAAATGACAAAATTCGGGTTCCAATATAATCAAGAGAGAGAAAAAAACTATGTAAATTATTTTAGAAGCCTTTTCAAAGCAAAGTGGAGCGGCATAAACAACTGGGGATCACTTTATTGGATACCTTGGCTTGGCAAACCTTCGCCTCCGTAATAATCCCTGGAATGACAATAAATCGACTAGTCGCAACGAGCACATTCGGCCTAAAAAAGTGAGATCGCCTCTTATTGTTGCTCTTGAGCCGTTTTTAGACATACTTCGACATAATTTTACATGGAGTTTTTAGGTTTTCACGGCTTGCGCCCACTTCGATAAAATTAGTCTCGACTGGACTTGGATTGGTCACCATACCCTTTATTGTCCGGCCAATTGACGCGTTTGTGGAAGTCGGCATGGAGCATAGTCTCAGAAAACTATATAGCAATTAATTTTAGTCAATAAAAGATTCTCGGGTATAGTGCAGTAGAGATCGGGTACAATTAGAAGAAAAGTGATGCTTTCCAAAATTTTAAAGGACGAGATGGAGTTATTACGATAAAGCCAGGCCTGATGCAAGACTTACAAGGGATCGGCAAATAGTTGCACCCTGCTTTCTTAAGGCAACCTATATCATTTGAAAGAGCATTAAAAATAGTGCACATCGCAAAAAAAATTAGCTGCCCAATATATGTTTGAGCAAAGTTATGGCCAAAATACAGATTTTAGCCTAATTTCCGCCTCACTTTATAAGCTCTCGGAATTGCAACGGAGTTGTGTCCAGTTGGCCGAGTGGTAGTAACCCCACTTCCGGCGCAACAAGTCGTGGTTTTGAATCCGGGTTCCGCAAATTCTTTGCATTTCGTCTCGTATATGCTACAAAACCATGGTATGTTGATATTTCAAAGTAATTTTTGTTCCTTCGCGGACAAAATCCGTATTTACGGGATTTTTCTGAGTTTTTGGTTTTTTTGAAACGACCACAAATTTGATGGTGATGAGGATGGGGATGCCACTGTCGTATAATTACAAAGGTATCATGCCAGTAGCCTGACTGATTATGATTGCTGGGCGATAATTCAATTTATAAGGGCCTATAAATATACATTTTTTCGAAAAAATACGAAGACAAAATTGTAAAATCGGCCAAAGACACTATTGTTGACACAGTGGACCAACCATTGGTAAGGCTAGGACATAAGAAATTTTCGATTTTGAGATTTCGCTTGTGAATGACCACGACAATCATATAAATGTATTTCGAAAACTTTTTGCTCCAATTTTCCCATTAACCTAGTTTTATATACAATTTTTTGCCACTAGCAGTAATGTCTAATAACTCACAATCAAGGATTCGTAAAGCCATAAAACGTCCGTCATAGACGTTTTGGGATACTAGGAAATCAATGGAGACGATTTCAAGCCTCCAGGATTACTGTAACATCAGAAACCGGCGTTTTGGCCACATATAACCCCTTTCATAAAACGGCCATAACTTTGCCAAAACATATATTGGGCAGCTAATTTTTTTTGCGTTGTACACTATTTTTAATGCTCTTTCAAACGATATATGTTTCGTTAAGAAAGCAGGGTGCAACTATTTGCCGATCCCTTGTTACATGCCCTCGCTACTTTTTTGCACCTTCAAAATGAAGCAAAAAATATCGAATTTCTTCATTTCTATGCAAATTTCTGGTTATTTTGCCCTCATTTTTACGAGATTTCGTTTTTGAAGTCTTCCCGAAGACAGAACGCGGTCCACCAGCTTCCTGAAATAATGATGAGTAACCTGCGAAGCAGTGAGTCGTCTTGTTACAGCACCACCTTCTCGGAATCGACCTACGAGAGCCATGGAAGCGAGGAGCCAATATCTTACGGTAAGGTTGTTGCAAAAAGTTCCGTTTTTTCCTTTTATTCTAGCTGAATTTATACTACTAGGCGGGCCAAAAAGTCTTGACATGTTTTCGCACCGTGCGGGCGCATGAATTCGGTGTCGCGACGAGGTGTCGCGCGATAAAAATTTGGCGGGGTGCGAATGAAGAACGCACTGTGCGTTGTTTACCCTTTTTCAAAACAATCTTTTTGCACTGTGCGGTGTCGCATTGCACCGTAAATTTTTCTTGTCGCCGCGCGACAAATTTCATGCACGACGGCGCACTGCACGGCAACCCAGGGAGTCTCCCGCCTCGTTTCGGCGCTTCGCCCACCTAGTATCGGTTGAATTCAAACGAAATGTCAAAAATGAATTTTCGTGTGGTTTTCCGACCGAAAAATATTTTTCTCGGAATTATTTTATTTCTTTTGTGAATTTTGACACTTCGTTTGGACGAAATTCAAAAGTGGGCGGGAGACATTTTTGTTCTATTTTGGGTTGCCGTGCACTGTGTAGACCGGAGTTGGACGATTGGGGAAAAAGACGATTGGGGAAAAGTACGATTGGGGAAACCGAAAAGTATTATTTTCTTCGATGCAAATGTCGAAATTAGGATAATCGAGGGTGCTGATTTCGAAAATGACATTCATTTTTTTTGATTGTAACTTTTTTTCTTAAGTAGTACTGTAAAGTAGTAATTTTTTGAATTTTTATCATAAATACTCGATTTAGGGGTTTTCGAGGGTGCTGATTTCGAAAATCGTGTTAGCTTTCTTCTTTATAGTACTATCTGGTACTATATAGTACGAGGTGAAAATATGGCTTTTGGCGTTAATGGTGTTGTTTTGATGCTTGGTACTCCTCAAAAACACGTTTTAAATAATTGGTACTGTTTAGTACTGTCTGGTACTATGTAGGACAAGGTAAAAATGTGGCCTTTAGGGGTTAATGGTGTTGTTCTGTTCCTTAGTACTCCTATTTTCACCTTGTACTAAATAGCACCAGACAGTACTAAACAGTACCAGTTATTTAAAACGTGTTTTTGAGGAGTACCAAGCATCAAAACAACACCATTAACGCCAAAAGCCATATTTTCACCTCGTACTATATAGTACCAGATAGTACTATAAAGAAGAAAGCTAACATGATTTTCGAAATCAGCACCCTCGAAAACCCCTAAATCAAGTATTTATGATAAATATTCAAAAAATTACTACTTTACAGTACTACTTAAGAAAAAAAGTAACAATCAAAAAAATGAATGTGATTTTTGAAATCAGCACCCTCGATTATCCTAATTTCGACATTTGCACCGAAGAAAATAATACTTTTCGGTTTCCCCAATCGTACTTTTCCCCAATCGTCTTTTTCCCCAATCGTCCCAGTTCCTGTGTAGACATGTCAAGACTTTTTGGTCCGCCTAGGATTTTTTTGACTGATTTTTTATCTCGTTTTGTAGATTCCGAACTGACTTCGGATGAGATCCAGCTGAAAGGCAAGGAGAAGAGCGAATTGGCTGCTGAAAAATTGCAGAATCTCAAGATTACTGTCCCGTAAGTGCCCAGTGCAATATAAAAGTTTGTGAATTTATGCTAAGTTTTGGAAAATTTTATCCTTTTCTGGTATTGTAGGATAAATTAGGCGGTTTTATTTCATTCACGATCTCTTGGTACACCAAGGGCAGAGTTTTCATAGATTAATGTAAGCTGAAGCATTATTTTAGGTAATAAAGTTCAGATTTCATAATTTTCGCCAATAATTTCTCGTATTTTAGCGAACAGAATCCTCAGACCGCTCAGATTCTGCGCAAATATTTCCTCGGATTTTGCACTCCGTCCAGAGCTGAATCTTTGGTCCGTGAAAATAGCGACTTCCGCCTTTATATGAGAAACTCCGCTGATCTGACTGGATTAAAGGATTGGGACTTTCCTGAAATTGCTGACAAGATCCAACTCACCATGATTCATCGCCATTTCAATGGAGTGTACAGGTGAGGAGACAAAATTTTCGAAATTAGTACAACTTTAGTCATGGATAATATAAAAAGTTGCTGGAAATGAGCTAAGATTGACTTTATTTGACATTTTTGACTCGCTAAGATATTCGAAACTTATTTGCCGACATTTTCCACCTTTTAGAACAGAATGCCAAAAATGGCGGGAAATTTTTAATTCAAAAATTTTTGACTTGATTTGGTGACTTTCAGCCATTATCCGATCGAACAAGCGGATGTAAATGGTAACAAGCGATTCTACGTCGATTATGGAGGCCAAATTGATCAAGTTTTCCCAACGATCTTGTCCCTGATCAAGTTTTATAAAGCCAATTACATCCTGGCCAGGGATTTCTGCGATGTTTTCCCCAAGCCCGAACAGCTCAGTTCTGTCTCCAGCAGCGAATAGAGAGTCATTAGACGAGCTTAGATTTGAAATTTAATTGTATTTTTTGAGGAAATAAAAACATTTTTTATTTCGGAGTTTTTTCGTTTTGCACTTTTTTATTTTCATATTATTTTTCACTCTGAAATTTGCCCATTCTGGTCGATTTTCGTACATACGCACGGTCCTCAAATGGTGGTTCTCGACAACTTCTCATTGGGTTTACTTCTCAATGTGATGGTCCGGTTTTTCAACACCCATTTTGATTGTCCCGATTGCGGCGTGTATGTGACGACTTTTGGTGAGTTTTGTGCACGGTGCGGCCGACGACAAGAAGTCTACGGATTTTTAAAAAATTCGGCCAGATCGATTCGGCGACTGTTCACTTGAGAGTTTCTCAGCCGTCGCTAGGCCAGAAGCCGTATTTTGGGATCTGCGGTTATGTCTCAATCTGCGATTATCTCATCGCCCCTATACCATATGCTATGACTCGGCTCAGCGGGTCAAGTATCTCGGCTGAGGGCACAAGTACAGTGGGGGACCTAATCCAGTGGCAAAAAACGTACCATTTTGTAATCGGGAACTATCTAAAATGTTTCAAAATGCTTCCCTCTCCAATTGGAAAAAGTCCGATTTCAAAAGCGCACCCGCTCTTTTCGTGACAAGGGATCGGCAAAACCGCGCATCCTGGTTTTTTCTTGAAACATACACCATTTGAAAGAGCGTAAAAAACTGGTCTAGGATCACCTTTTATTAGCTGCTATTTTTGCTCTACGCCCTAGCTAGCGAGCATTTTTTAAAAATTCCCAGTTGGATTTCACGACTCTTTGTTTTTGAGAGGCTAAAGAGATTGAAGAATTACTTGTCATATGTCTTATACCTACCTATGACATCCAACGCTTCACCCAATGCCAAAAAATACATACTTTTTTCGGACCTTGAGATACCCAAGTCGATGTTCACAATGTGTGATCACGCGATCTTTTAGGTACTGTAACCCAATGCAAAATAGCAGGTAAAAAACACAGAAACCGTTTTTAGAGTCAATTTTAACGTACTTTCCGTTACCGGGCTTTACTCGTAAAAATCTTGAAGCCGTTGAAAGTTTCAGCCATAGAAGATACCCACTAGTGGCCAATTCAAGGGCAAGGACTACAAATTCGAAAAAATAAAGAATAAATCTTTTTTTTCTTAAAAAACGGGTCCCGTTATACTACAAATATCTATACGAAACTCAAAAACTACTTCCAGATTTTAATTTGGTTTGTAATATTGAAAAAATCAAAAAAAAATCAAAAGAGGTTTCGAACCCGGTCCGCAGGTTCGCCTCGTTCAGCGCCTTACCCCCACTAGGCCACCGAAGCACTGCTGCGCCTTGCTTTGGAAACCGTTCGGATTTGTTTCCTCGGAAAAAGGGTGAGATAAGCCTAGAACTAAGGAGTGCTCGCTAGCTAAGGCGTAAAGCAAAAATAGCAGCTAATAAAATGTGACCCTAGACCAGTTTTTTACGCTTTTTCAAATGGTGTATGTCTCAAGAAAAAACCAGGATGCGCGATTTTGCCGATCCCTTGTGAGGGAAAGACGCGCCCTTCAAAACGAAGTTTTTTACTTGGAGAAGGAAGCATTTTGCCGCATTTTTGTTACTTCCCGGATGCAAAATGGTACATTCTTTGCCATTGGATCAGGTCCCCCACTGTACAAACTCTCAAGCCCGGTTCAGCCAGAAAGTCTCGCAATTCTCTATCGCCTCAGGGCGAAAGTATTTGTCTGCCTAATAATGCTTAGGCGGAATCTGAATGTTGGGCCGGGCCTGCCTCCCAACTGAGATTTCTAAGGCGAGTTATGGTCCTATATGACCCCACAAATACAAGGCCAGGTGCTGGCCCGGGCCTACCTGGCGGCTCCGGCAACCCGAGCGCCTGCGACTTGACTGTGTCAAAACTTTTTGTCCCGCCTGACAGCCAACAAAAATTTGAAGAGAGATACTATTCCAAATAGAGAAATACATATAGACAAAGAAAAATGAAATGATGATTTCTTCATTTTTTCAATTTTTTTTCAGTTATCCATCGTGGTGAATTATCCTTTGCCGACTATAATTTGCATCGCGTCGCCGACCAACCAGTAACTTCAGTCCGAGAAGGGGCATTTGCGATTAATCTTGGTTGTGAAGATTACAAGCCTTCCGAATCTGTAAGCACGGACATCTCGTCTTATCATGACTATTCTGTTCATGAACTGCTCTTTCAGTACGATATGTAAGAATTCGAAAGTACATTCTTTTTTTTGTTTTTTTTTATTCTTACCGGTTTTTAGTGAGCGTAAGCAGTATTGTCGTTTAAAATTCCCGTGGCCTATTGAAACGGACAACCCACCGAAGGCTGAAACAGGCAACTCAACAAAAGCGGAAGGCAAAACGACAAAGGTTGACGGTGTGATGTCGATACGAAATTATATAAGTGTAAGTCTGATTTTATTCGGGTTTAGTGTGAAAAGCATATTGTAATATATCGAATTTTGTCTTTAGGGGACTTCAAACATCGCAATCGCTCAAAGTGTTCCATCCGAATCGGGGTTTGGTAAGTGTGGCATTTCGTTATTGGTTTTTTCTTGAGAAGTTTTTTTGAAGTGGGCACATGTAAAATACATCAAAATAGATGATAGGCTATCATCGGTATTATTTCGTTGCCCACTAATTGCTAAAAACAAAAAATTGACGGAATGTCACAAATTTTATCCGATTTTTTAGATCATCAATCAGAAATTCGCTTGCCATTTTCCGGCGGCTTCCTTGATCAGTGCAGCGGGAAAGTGATAAGGTCTTTTGGAGGTATTCAATGGGTAAGTTTGTTGAATCTTTTGGCTTCAAATTTTTCGAAATTTTCAGGCCGGTTCGATTTACAGTCGGAAGGTGGAACAGTTGAAGAAACATAAGATGAAAATGTGTTTTAACGATGGGAATAGAATCCAATACTCGCAAGTGTTTGATATTGTAAGCTTTCTTTTAACCTTTTTGAAACTGTACGCAAAATCAGGAGAGCCGGTTAGAGAAAAAAAGGGATTTTTACCTACTAAATTCACGAAAATCCTCGACGCGGAAATCATGTTTTTTTGTCTAGATTTGTCTCGAGCCTCAGTAGGAACATTTTGAAAATCGTATGCTAGGCTTATCCCCACTTTTTTCAGTATCAAATGAACGCCCTTTTGAATTACGCCCATTCCGAAACGATCCAAAAAATCCAAGAGAAATTCCCGGAATCGCGGATCACCATGGTCGCCCGGTTCCATCGAGGCCAGGGAGAAGGGGGAGGAGAGAACCCGTTCGTCCATTACTGTCATCATTTTCTCCTCGAACTCGAGAACGTGGAGATATTCGTCATGATCGGCCTGTTGATCCTGATTTTATTTGGCGGCCTGATAATCAATGGGACGTTGTTTATGATTACATTGGATCATATGTTCTTGGACTTGAAGAGAACGTCCGGGAAAATGGAATCGAACGAGGAGTAAGCGTTTGAAGGTTTCCGTGGTGGGACCCAATGTTTGGTTTTTTGGTTCCTTTCTGTATTGCAGGAGCTTCAAAGGGCATTAGACATGTCTTAAGATCACTTCCCAAGCAAAATCTTGATTCTTCAGGGTTTCGTGGTGGGACCGAAGTTTTTCGCAAAAGGGTATTTCTGAAAGTTAAAAATTATATGAAGATACATATTTGTCAAATTTTTGGACTGTAGTAGTTTTTTTAGACCCTCCGACTTTCCATCAGTTTACAACGCTAACACACAGGATATGACTATGTTGACGGAAGCTCAAAGTGACGTTGAAGGGCCTACTGTAGTGGGCGGGAAAACCGTAAATCAGGATTATACAGTAACCAAGGACACTCATCCTCCCACTAAAATCGAAGGAGACCCGACAGACGACAATTATGAGGCAGATCTGACTTCTACTAATTAATTTGTGCGAAAAGTTGGATTTGAATAAAAATTTCTGCTGGAACTTTTGAAAAATTGATTTTTTATCAGTCTGTCGGAAAAATAACGGCGGATAGTCGCGCCTCGGAATCGTCCATCATCGCGACTGAAAGCCGCGTCTGGGGATTTGGTGCGCGATAGCGGCAAGGCGAGACATTCTGCTGCGACAATCCGCCGTTATTTTCCCGACAGACTGATATGAGGTTTGGGAAAATAGGGTCTTAGAAAAGATTAATTTAAAATTGTGCCCGGTTTCTTTAAAATCTGGGCGCTGCACTTGGAGTACAAGTTCACAAATTTATTTTGAATTAAAAAAAAATTTTTTTTATATTTTTAGCTTTCCGTTTCTCTCCACTTTGGTCAATTTTCACTTTACAAAGCGGTCGATTGTCGGATGGCCTTGGATCCTCGTTCATTGAGCTTTCTGTTCGATCTGATTTTGAGCTTTTTCAAGCAGGAGTTTGACTGTTCGGACTGCGGGGCTTTTATGACCACTTTCGGTGAGTGTTGGGCTCTAATTCGCACGACTTTCTCAACGTGTGATGATCTCATCCAGCTGTTGCTTACGCCATTTTTGAGGAAAGTCTGAGACATAGATTTGAGCAATTTCCCTGAAAAGTCAGCCTTATTTCAGTTGTAAACAACATGACATTGGAATACGCTGATTACGCCTTTCCTAAACTTGAGGAATCGTTTTTAAAGGTGCCAATCCGAGAAGATTCGTTTGAAATTCCGATGTGTGAGAAACTTGCAGACATGAAAGCTATTGACTTTGCAATGGTCCCGTACCACGACAACAACGCCCAGCAAATGATTTTGCAATTCAAGAGGTGAGCGTTGATCCCAAACTTTTTCAACCCAATGACGTCCGTTTTAGTGGCATTGGTAGACTGTGCCAATTGAAATTCCCTTGGCCCATTGTGGACGACAATCTGCCAAGAGAAATTAATGTGTAAGTTGGCATGTGTGTAAAAGTAAAATATTCGGTTTGAAGGGCTTCGGTGCAATTTTAAAGTTTTCGCGCCGGGAAACTGTTAAATAAAAGTTTCCGGAGATTAGTTAGTGAAAAAATCGTAAACAAGTCATATCCATCGTTGTTTAACCTAACGGTCATCATTCCGTCGCAAACTAAAACAACAAAGGTTTTCGTGGTGAGACCCAAAAGTTGAAAGAATGGGACCAAAACTATCGCTTAATAACATACGGCTAACGAATGTCGCTAGGACTCGTTTAAAGCAACTTCCTATAGCCGTCTTTGAACAGTCAGAGGTTTTCGTGACGGGACCCATAGTTGGACAGCAGTTTTTATGTATTCGGCGGAAGATCATTGTGGTACTCGTTTCAGCGGCGCTAACCTGGTCCGTGTAGACGGTGTCCTCTCGAATAAGCAATCAGTGTTAGTAAGTTGTGTAATTACGGCATGAACAAGTTTTTTTTCCAATTTTGTAATATTTTTACGACTCTTGCAGGAAAAAAATTTCGACAATATTGTTAAGGCCTCCAGTCTACCATCTGAAGACTTTTGTAAGTAAAAATGACGCATTTTCAAAGGTTTGCAGCCCCAGAAACAGAACTGTACTTGCCGTTTCGAAACGACATTATGATTGATCAATGCAGTTTGGAGATGATTTTGCCTCGTAACGGTTTTTTATGGGCAAGTTACCATATAAATAGTATTTACATGATAAATTTGCAAAATTTGCTATTATCATATTCCGGAAATTTATCCGTTCTCCGGCACTTGCAACAGATGGCCAGAGTGTAAAAATTTTTGGCGGGAAGCTGAAATTTCAAATATTCTGGCTAATTTTTTTGTTGTAATCTTTTGATGTTTCTACTTTTTTTGGGATTTTCGCCCTTTTGGAGGGAAGAATATAATTGAATTTTTTGTGCCTTTGAGGCATTTTCTTGAATTTTATTTCTGTTTTTACGTTTGTTGAGTCACTTGCAACAGAAAGCCAAGATTTAATTTTTTGGCGGGCAAATAAAAATTTGAAAATTTAATTTTTTCGTACTTTTTAGGAGGGCGGGAAATTGCCTAGAATTGCTTCTGCGAGATTTTTCGATCGTCTCCACACTCTTATTTCGCCGCTTTTACAGTGCCTTTATCATTTTCAGTCGGGTTCGATCTACAGCCGAAACGTCGAACTGTTGAAGCGAAGGAGGAAGAAATTGTGTTTGACCGGAGAGAATGGGACCCGATACTCACAGGTGTACGACATGGCAAGTCTTGCAATTTGATTTAAAAAGTTTTTTGACCGCTTTGTGAAATGTTTTCTTTAGCACCAAATGAACGCCTTTTTAAAATTCGATTACGATGATGACATCCAAAGAATTCAAAAGAGATATCCGAATTCCCAAGTCTTAATGGTCGTCCGTTTCCACAGACGCCCCAAAAATCCCAATGGAACGGCTTCGATCAACGAGAGGGAAGAGTATTTCAACACGTGTCATTACTTCTGGCTTGCACAGGAATATGTGGAGGTCTTTTGTGTGATGGCGATTTTGGTCTTGGTTTTGATCGGCGGGTTGATGGCTGCGTTGGCGTTGTTTGTGATGACTTTGGACAACATGCTCAAGGAGCTCAGATTATTGGCGGAGGGTGCTCAGAAAGAGTAAGTTTGTGGAGGGTTTTGTGGTGTGACCCTAAATGGTGAAAGCGATGGAAAAATGGGTAAAAAATTAAAACCAGCGAAGCATGTGATATGAAAAGGTCACTTTACGTCTATTAGCGTAGTTCTCACACTAGAAGTCGACAACTAATGTTTTCGTGGCGGGACCCAAATTTTCGAGTAGTTCATTGAGAATTGCGTAAAGCGAAGCCGTAATAGTGGCTGTTGTAGTTACTAGAAGGCATTCAGAACAATGAAGCGCTTTTCTAGCACTTTGAACGATTATCTTTATGCTACAACTTCGCATTGGACTAAAATTGAAAATCTGTCTGCCGTTATAAAAATGTTATTGTTTGCCCCGATTTGAGTGTTTTTTGTTTCAGTTCTTTCCCCAGTTTCCGATCGCCCAATATCAGCCTGAAGGCTGAAGCTCAGAGCCCGGCCTACACCCCAGCAGGAGGCGGCCGAACCCTGAGGGAGAGAAGCTTCTCGAGAGACACTCACGAACCCACCATGATTGAAGGAGACCCTACCGATGATAATGAGACGGCTAACGAAGACACGGATCTGAAAACTTTGCAATTTTCCAGGAAAAGATGACCGAACTTTGATTTGAATAAAAATTTGAAGCTCTTTGTATCAACAAGGCTGACTTTGGCATCAGAAACTGCCACTCTGTTATATCAGTTTGTCGGGAAAATAATCAGTGTAATATCGCAGTGCCAGCGCTGAAGTTAAATTCAAATTTCCCACATCACAATTCATTTTCTCACCGCCGATGAGACTTTTGTTTGATTCGCCAGTGCCATTTTCCCGACCGATTGGCTATTTATACCATGCAAAGAGAAGTTTTCACAACAAAAAGGCTTTTATCCACTCAAAACGAGCAAAGTATATAGCATAAAACTCATAGTATACGATCTCTAAACTGCTACAAATTTGGAACTTTTTGAAACTGGGTTCTAAAACGACTTTCAAGGGCTCTTGAATATGTCGCCGATTTAAAGTCCACTTCTTCAACGAAATCATCGATGGCCTTCTGCTGTTGAAAGGCCTATTTAAGGAGGCCAGAGACCCAATTGTCAAAAACAGGTTAAATTTTTATTGGATTTTTCCTCCAAAGTCGCTGTCAACCGTAGTTAAATTGTTGAATCTGATTAGGCCTATGACTTATGGCTTTTAAAAGTGCTGTAAACAAACTTCAATTCACATCATTTGTGCGTTTCCTAATCTTTGATACTTCTTTTTTTCAGTACTTTTTTTCAACTCCTCTTCTGCCTTGTATGTTACGGCAAATTTTGGATTATGGTCTCAAACACGCAAGTTGTGCTGTATTTTAAAGCTCAAATTGTCATAGAACCACGGCGGTTTAATGAAGCGATAAAAGTCTTGAACCCATAATTTAGCGATAAAAGTCTTGAACCCGTGACGTAAATTTCAAATTACTGAGACGGCAAAACTTTCCTGGATGTGCTACAAGAGTCACAGCAAACCCCAAGCGCGACGTACAGAAGTACGAATCCTTCCGGAAGGTCTCACTCTAACTGAAATCGGCCACATGTTCTGTGAAAAAAGTCCGGAAGAACTAGTGGCTCCTCCGTGAGCCTTCCCGGAAGGACTAGTGCATCCCTCTGTTAGGTCAAATTACAGTCCTTTTCTTAATCCTTTTGGTACGCTTTATTGGCAATGACATGTTTCGTGTGCATTGTAAGAGTAGTAGAGCTCATTGCTAGGCTTTATGCTCTTTCTTTTGTTAAATTTTTTTAATTACATTTCGCGTTAAAGACTGTCATTCGACTCCTTTCACAATATAATAAGCTGTTTTTGTGTATTATGCGGCGGATTATCTTGACCACAATATTAGCTTGCAGACCTCTCTGTCCGAGTAATTGCACGGCACAGCAAACGTTCTTATTAGGGAAGTGCGTCTCGAAAATTTTTTCATCAGATTCGTCTGGACTGGAGAACGTCAGACTAGTCATTATTACTCCTTTAATAAAGTGGCTGGAGTGATCTCTACGGCCGGCACTGTGGAAAAACAAAAGTTCACTCTGAACTGTGTAATTTTCGGTTTTTTGCGCCGTGCAATGCGCTTTTTTGGGCTGTCGCTCGCACCCTGTCTTTTTCTGTGCAGTACATGTCGCCGCAGTCATTCCAGCGACTTAGCGAACGGCCTAGTACGGTTTTGAATGTGTAGGTGTAGCTGGCGTGAAGTGGTTTGAGAGAGCGCGAAAGACAAGCTTTATGTTTACCAGTATCAAGTACTAGGTGGGCTAAAAGTGCGTAGACTTTTTGTCGTAAGCTTTGCTGTGTAGTCGACCGTTTGCATCGTGGAATTGAAAAATCGCAATGTTTTTTACATGTGTTATAGGTCATAATGATAGGCTGAAGGTACGATACTCACGCAGATTTTTCTCAAATTTTGGGTACCCGCTCATTCGAGGATATCAATTCCTAAAGATTTTATCGATTTTATCCCCAAATTTGTAATCGGCCTAGGCAGCCAACAATTTTTCGATGTTTTGCGGAACAAATTTGTTTATTGCGTCATCGAACCACTTACCTGTGCCGGCCCTAACTTTCCAGGCCCGTGGTAACAAAAACGGGTGAATTGCGCCACTTTTTACTCTCCCACCCATACAAAAAATCTATTTTTGTTGAGAGAATACAGCACTGAAAACGTGTTACTGTGCATGTGCGGCTTTGTTGTATGATACATGGTGTTGAAATTGTCAACTCCAATTTCAAATTGTTGAACGCTCACAAGTGCGTTCTTGATTCATTAGTGCAGTTTATGTACATTCTCTTTCTCGTTGGCAGCCGTGAGAACTTCGAGAATTTGGTCCCTTACATCGCGGGGGTTCAAACATTTATTTAGGGTTTGGTCCTTCAAACCGCTATTTAATAAAACCGCAGGGTCCATTTTTTGCAGATCCTAATTCTACCACATTATGGAGCTCTTCCTTCTGAATCCGGTCGAGTACGACCGTCTCTACAACTGCTCCTTGTATCAACAAGGATACTTTGAGAATGTCAAAGTGCCAAGCAAACTGATCGGCTCACTGTACATCGGTTGTGGGATCGTCTACGAAAGCCTGTATCTTCCAATTTTGTATGTGATGGCGCAACGCAAATTCCGAAGATTTTCCTGCTACAAAATAATGTTGTTTTTGGGTAAGAAACCAACACTTTTGAAGGGAATACCGGACCAAAAAAAAGATGGATGACTGCATTTGGGATGCATTTCAGGTATAATCGATGTAATTTGTCTGGCATTCTTGACCATTTTATACGGAATTTTCGCCTTCCGCGGGATGGTCTTCTGCGACTCACCGCGACTTTTCTATATTAGTGGATGCATCGCCACCTGTAAGTTGGATGACCGACTTTTTACAGGATCAACCACTTTTGTTGGATATCTTTTGCAGTGGCGGACCTGATCTATTGGCAAAACACGTAACATTTTGCATCCGTTTAGTATCAAAAAATGCAGCAAAACACTGCCCTCTCCAAGTGAAAAAATACCGATTTCAAAAGCGCACCCGCTGTTTTTGTGAGGGAAAGGGCGCGCCCTTCAAAACCATGTTTTTTCACTTGGAAAGGGAGACATTTTGCTACATTTTTTGATACCTCCCGGATACAAAATTGAACATTTTTTTCCATTTGATCAGGTCCCTCACTGTACCCAAAAACGCAGACAGAAATTGTGTTTAAAGCAACATTGAACCTTTTTTCAGCGCTGTGGACATCAACTTGTTTGACAGTAATAATCTTGGCGTTTAACCGGCTCTGCGATCTGATAAGCAATAATTTATCGAATACGTTGTTTTCGGGCGCTCGGGTTTACATCTGGATCGCAATTCCCATTTGCTACTTCTTATGGTTTGTCTGGTATGCGCCCGTCCTGCTTTTCACGTCCACATATTACTCGGAATTCAGCAATCCGTACGTTGGGACGATCTTCGAAGAGCAGGCGGAGGAGCAGGTAATTTCGAGCAATTAGATTTTGATGAAACTTGGCACAAACTTAGATCAATTTTTTTAAGATCTGCGGGACGTCTACAGTGGAGGACCTAATAGAGTGACAAAAAACGTACCATTTTGCATCCAGGAAGAATCAAAAATGTGGCGAAATGCTTCCCTCTCCAAGTGAAAAAACTTCGTTTTGAAGGGCGTGCCCTTTTTTCTCACAAAAAGAGCGGGCGCGCTTTTGAAACCCGAGTTTTTTTCTCTTAGAAAGGGAGGCATTTTGCCACATTCTTCAATGCTTCCTGGATGCAAATGGTACGTTTTTTGCCACTGGATTAGGTCCCCCAATGTAGCTCGAGCTTGACGTAAACGACCGAGAATTTTAGGTCGAAAGCTGAAATAATGCGGCACCTTTTTTGCCAATTTTGGCTTGAAAAGTTTAATGCATATTTCCACCGTATTTTCACAGAATTTTTTTTTCGCGCGTAACTGGCAAAGTTACGGGGAAAAAATCTTTCTCTCTCGGACCGCGTGCGAACTTTAATAACTTATTCGCCAAATGAAATCAAACCTGAGATTTCAGTACATCAGTTGGCCAATGATCGCTAATGACACTGCAACGCCGTTGATAATGGTATTCCTATACACCATAATCTGTATTGTAATCGTTGTTCGGAGTTACCGACTGAAGCGGGCGGCGCGCGCAAGCTCGGCGTTGACTGATTTTCAGAAGACTGTAAGTTGACAATACTTTTAAAAGAGGATGACATCAAAAGTCGGGCTACCATATTCCCGATTGTTCATGTCAAAAATAGCCTAAACTCTACCGGGCATGTTGTAAAAATTGGATGTGGTATTTTAATAAGTAGACTGGTCAATTCCGACCACTCAAATTGCAATCTGTAAATTCAAAAAAGTGCTTTTCAGACAGTAATCCAATCGTGCCTTATCTGCTGTTTGTTTGTGCTTTGTGGCGCCATCTACAATTATATGGACTATTGCGGTGCTCCTTTAGCATTGGTAACGCTGTCTACGATTATTTGGCAGGCTTGTCATGGTAACTTCATTTTTTTGCCTTCCTTTTTTCCGTTTCCGCCGCTGAACCGACACTTTCAGGTGGCACCGTTATCATCTATCTTATTTTCAACAAAACTCTTCGCAGAGAAATCCTGCGGCTGTTCGGGAAGCGGCACGTCATCTTCTCAACGGTCTCACTTTACACCAATGATGGAAAAACCCTGGGCAAAAACTCAATTATCCAGTAGCATTGAGATTTCGCTAAATTAACTATGATTTTACCATTCTTCATGTCTAATATAGTTTTTAAAATAAAAAATGACACTGTTCTCAACTGAAATACAGATGTCACTTATTGCATTATACATCAACTTTCATCAACAGGATTTTACAATGACGGACCTGATCCAGTGGCAAAAAATGCACCATTTTGCTTCCAGGAAGCATCAAAAATGTGGCAAAATGCTTCCCTCTCCAAGTGAAAACACTTCGTTTTGAAGGGCCTTTCCCTCACAAAAAGAGCGGGCGCGCTTTAGAAATCGGAGTTTTTCCACTTGTGGAGAGAAGCATTTTTCCACATTTTTGATACTTCCTGGATGCAAAATGGTACGGTTTTTGCCACTGGATCAGGTTCGCCACTGTAAATACCGAAATTTTTTCCTAAAGGTCGAAAATTTTTAAAAAAAACCCTGTTTTCTTTTATAGTTCGTTTAGAACAAAAGCGACTCTATTTTTTGTAAAACACAGATGTCACAGTGGCCTATTCTGCCACCAGAAACCTTCAAAAACTTGAGCTCCAATCTTTACAATTTATCAATACTAATATGAAACCTGCAAACATAATACCTTAGGATCTATCAATTGCCGATTATGAATAATTATTTAGCTGGCAGTCCAGTTGGCCTTCCTCTTTTCGGCAAAGGCGGTCATTCCTTCTTTGCGGTCGTTGGTGCCGAAAGTGACGTGGAAGAAGCGACGTTCGAACAGAAGGCCTTCTTGAAGAGTGGTTTCGAAGGCCCGGTTCACCGACTCCTTGGCCAATTGGACAATCAGAGGGGAGTTGGCCGCGATTTTCTCGGCTAATTCGATGGTTTTGGGGACAAGTTGATCAACTGGGAACACCTGATAATTTTTTCAAATTATTTAACGGTTTATGTAAATTTTAAATTTTTGGGAAGATTTTTGATGAATAACATGTTTCGTTTCATAAACCTCACTTCCTTTCTAATAAAATTTCAGGATTTTCCAAAATTTTCCCAATCGCAACCAAAACCTTCATTTTTCTTCAAAAAAATCAAAACCTCCACTCTTCGAAACACCATCCCTTCCCCTTCCAACAACCTACTTTTGAGACCAATCCTCTCTTCAGCGCTTCTTCGGCACTGATCTGATCTCCAGTCAGACACAGCTCCATGGCCAAACTCTTTCCCACGGCTCTGGTCAATCGTTGGGTGCCTCCAGCGCCGGGAATGGTTCCGATCAGGATCTCGGGCTGTCCAAAACGGGCCTTCTCTCCAGCATAGATGATGTCACAGGTCATGGCCAATTCGCAGCCTCCTCCCAGCGCGTACCCATTGACGGCCGCGATGATTGGCTTGCGAAGTTTGCCGACCTGCGCCCAATTCTCGAGGAAACTTTCTTGGAAACAGTTGGCCATGGTGTTGGGGATCATTTCCTTGATGTCAGCGCCGGCTGGAACGAAAACATCGTAACAAATTTAAAACAAACAAAACTTTTGTCAAAATTCGAGCTAAAAGTCAAAACATTTCTGTAAACCAAAGCAAAATACGACACCTAATATCAACTGGAAGATTTAACTCACCAGCAAAAGCCTTCTCCGATCCGGTCAGGACAATAGCTCCAACGGATTTGTCATTATCAAACTCAACAACTTGCTCGGCTATCTAAAATAAGGTAAACAAATTTCGTAACTCTCTTCTCTCAAAACGCTTTTCAAAACTTCTACAAGACTAAACACCACCTAAGCATCATCCACTTCCATTTTCAATTCAAAAAAACAAACCAAAAAGATCAATTACATTACACTTGACTTTACCCTTGCTTACCTCGTTCATAAGTCCTCGATTCAGAGCATTCAAGGCCTTAGGGCGGTTCAGGGTGATGAGTCCGACATTTTTCTTCTCTCCCACCTTCTCGACCTTGATGAATTCGCGGGTTCCTGAAGAAATATTCAATTTTTGTCCAATTTCCGACGAAACTTCTTGTCCAACGCTCATTTTTTCAAAATTATGTGCTTCTTCAGCACCTTCGACAATAAACTACTAAAGACAAAGCAAAATGACCAGTTTCGAGAGCGGAATCGTTAAGATTTGAGGTCCCTCTGAAGGCTCTTATCAGTTTTCTTCGCGAACATGCTATACTCGTTCGATTTACGGGGATTTTATGGCGCAAAAAGACTGTAGAATTATCAATAATTACCGAAACGACCTCCTACTTGAACTAATACTTCAAAATCCTGATAAAAAGCGCAAAAACTCATAAATTTTTGCGCTTTTTATCAGGATTTTCGAAAATCTTCCAAAGCTGATACTCTTACATTAATTTTTTCTCTCAAATTGACAAAAACCAAAACAAAAATAGAAAAAAAGCATACCCGAGGAAGCGAAGGCGACTTGGTTGTATACGAAGCCGTTCTGGAAGCCACGGCCAACCAGCTGGGAGACGCGGAACACTTTGTTGGAGAGCATCTGAAAGACAAAAAATCAAGGATAATATTAGCAAAACCACGGGGAATGAACAGTCACGGAGGTTGAAGATAACGTAATTTACCATAATAATAGCAATAAAGTCCAATCTACTTAAAAAGTCGACTCAACGCCACCAGATTTTCCCAAAATATCAGGGAATTCCCACAAAATTGAAAAAAAATCTAGATCCATGCAAATTCGAGCAAAAAATTATCCCAAAAAGGGCAATACTCAAAAATGTTTCCAAAACCTCCTTCAACAAGTCGATTTCTACTCGAAAATGCGATCAAAAAGTGCCCGTTCATCTAACGGGCGGGCGCAAAAAACCTTTGGACCTTTGACCATCAAACACTCGCTGCTCGGCTCTTCGCTTTCTGCCACCGCATTTTCAGTGATATTTTCCCCCATCAAAACAGTGGGGGGAGAAAAAGAAAAGGGAATTTGTTGTTTATTCGACAGGAAAATGTTGTAAACATGTTATTTTAGGTTGCAAACTCAAGAAAACTTGATGTAATTTATGAATCGAAGGGAAAATTGTTACATCATCTGTGATAAAAGATAGATTACAGCTTACGCTACGAGTTGTGCCTTGAATTTACCTAAAACTACGCACGTTTCTTTAAGAACACCACAAACTTCCCCCGGTCTACCATTAAAAATACGTCAAAAAGAAACCGCATTTTACCTTCCTATGAAAACTCCAACCCTTCTAATTCCCATAATACACCACCCTCAGGAAACATGTTTGAGTGTCCAATATTTCTTTCAAAGTTCGGAACAAACAACGTTCGGCAAAAACGTGATCTGTACCTTGTACTAAAATTTTTTCCCATCTCAAGAAATCGGTCAAAACAAGACGAAAACCGCTCAAGATAAGGGCTGATTGATGGTACCCCACTAAGGAGAGGGTGCACAGGGCATAAAAGTATACCGGTATAGGGCATAAAACTTTTAAAACTCGATATATGACTTGACATTCACCATGCCCCAAATTGAAGCCTAAAACAACAAAAATCGAAATGAAAACAGTAAAACTCACAAGGATCCAACTTTTTGTGGCATTCAGGGCACGCATGTCCCATGCTCCAAAAAATATTCGAACTCAACTCAGGACCATTGGCGCGCTTCCGTAATATCTTATCAAATGTGTACTTGGCGGTAATAAAACAGGACGGGGAACCTCACAAGACATTGCCTAACTAAATCTCTCCCCCTGCGCGTTATCACCGGGAATAAACGAGAAATAATCAGTCAACAAACCTGAATATTCCAGAAAAACGTGAGTTTTCGGGCACCACAGTGTGAAAAGGGGGTCTTTGGGTAAAATACGACATCTGAGGGTCGTAAAATTTTTATAACTATATACTAAAATAATAACATTCAGCAAGTTCGTTCGTCCTAGACACTCAACCGCGGCATAAACCGGCAAAAAAGTGATTCATGGAGAAGGCTTTGCAGATTTTCGTTTTTATCTAGAAAATTGTCATCATGACGGATTTTCCGGACCTGACAATAACTGACTCATTTTACAGATGACAAAGCTTTGGTCTCGTCGAAAGCACCAAATCAGCCCGTTGATCGAAGACCAAGAAACTGCTTGGCTTCTGGGATCAAAAATGAGCACCGGGTCCAAGAGTCCAGCCTTCGGCCAAATGGGGAGGAGATCAGGTATGATACTTTAATTTTTCCTATGTTTTCCTAAATTTAGGTCTTGTTCTTGCAATAAATTACTGTTTTCGCCTAAAATACACTCTAAGCCCGCAAGCCAGGGTCAGCATCTCCTCGATTTCACGTGCATTGCAGCAAATCTTACACAATTTCTCGGGAAATTACCTAATTTATGCTGAATTCGTCGTTTATCGGGGGCCTTGCAAAATTGCATGGTTTATCAAGTCGTAAACGCTGGAATACTTACTATGCAATTTCTGTAAAGGTTCTCTGTGTTCGTAATCAGCCATTTTTTTATGGTTTTAGAACAGTTTGTTTCGTTGTACGTTGGTGATAAGGACAGTCTGGAGAAGGTCGGAATCAGTATGAAACTCAAGTTTCGTTACGAATAATTCGATTGATAACCGGGCTGCGGGTCCAATGCACGCGTTTGCAAGAGGTTTTTGGTATGGTTTCGATATGATTCTGTAGTTTTCGGACCTATATATTTATGCCTGCTGGGTTATATCGCTTAGGTGGTCTGGCGATAAAATTGGGCTCTTATCAGGCACTCCTACTTTCTTTATTGGATTAGGACGCCGACGGGAGTTAATTTCTCAGGTTTTGCAGAGAAAGAGTTGAATTTTTTGAAGATTATATTATCTATGATGGTTTTGACCTCAAAATAGACATAGATTCGCGAATTTTGAAGATGTTCCAATGCGTAATAAGTTTTTTTCAGGGTCGATGTTCAAATGCACATACTATCTGAGCGTGTTGGCAGTCACAATCGGGGCTAGCACCCAATTTTACTCCTATGGAATTGTAAACCCAGAGCAAGAACTGATCATGAAATGGATCAACGAGACCTATGCAGTCCGCTGGAACACGACGGGTCTAACCGAGACCGAATTGAACGTTTTTTGGTCGTTTGTGGTCTCATCCATTGCGATTGGAGCAATCCTTGGTGCCCTTTTGGTTCGAGTGTTGGCCGAAAAGGTCGGACGCCGCAACGGTTTGATCCTAAATGGAGCTTTCAACGTATTCGCTGCGTTTTTGGAGTTTGCGGCCAAGCCGCTGGCCTCTCCGGAGTTGCTGATTGTCGGAAGATTGATTTTGGGGGCGAATATGGGCTTGACCTCAGGATTGGTGCCAATGTATTTGATGGAGATCACGCCGGTCTATTGGAGAGGAGCTGCTGGGACGCTACATCAGGTTAGTTCCGTTTTTCTTTTGTTTTTCTTGGCTTTAGGCAACTGTTTGGACAATTTTTCAATTCAATCTTCATGTGTAATATCGGGGATGTCCAATTTTTCAAGATCTTGCCAAAATTCTTAGTACCAGGAACTTTTGACCTACAAAACCCTCTTCTTTCAGGTAGCTGTCGCCTTTTCGGACTGGTTTTCGCTATTCATTGGGCTTCCGGAGATCCTCGGAAGCGAGAATTTGTGGCCGATCGCATTTGGATTCCCAGGACTATTAGCCCTATTTTTAGTAATAGTATTGCCTTTCTGTCCAGAAAGTCCCAAGTACTTGTTGGTGAGTCGAGGAAAACGCGAAGACGCGCGAGATGTTCTTCGGAGACTTGTTGTTGAAGAAGAAGCTGAAAGAATGTTCCAGGAGCTGATGAGTGAGAGTGTAACCAATGAAGTAAGTGGGTTACGTCATTAATTAAGCCTTTCCCTTGTTCATCGTTTTGATTTCGAGGATTTCCAGGACGGACTAGGTTCATTCCGCGAGCTTTTTACCAGACCGGACCTTCGCATCCCGTTGGCTGTCTCTGTTGTGGCGATGCTGGCCCAACAATTTACTGGATGCTCCACGGTCTTTGCTTACTCCACGGACATGTTCTTGAACGCCAAGTTGTCCCCGGAAGCGGCACGTCTAAGCACATTGGCAGTGGGTATCGCCTACTTTTTATTCGCCCTATCAGCTCCTCTCTTGATCGAGAGAATCGGCAGAAGAAAGTTGGCCCTCTTCCAGTTGTCGATGGTCACGGTGTCCTTGACGATGATGTCGACGTTCACCTACATCCAGAGTACGAATAGTCAAGAATGGGCGACGTACGGGACCATCTTCTCCTTGGTCTTCTACATGTGTGTGTACGGAGTTGGGTCGCCGATTCCGTGGATGATAACCAGCGAATTGTTTGAAACCAAGGTAAAACAAATCGTAAATTGAACAGTGAATAGAATTTTGGCAAATACCAATCTTTCTTTCGCCATAGAATATTGGCCTTGATGTTTTTCTTCGATTTTGCCCCAATTCTTGAAGTAAAATCAATAATTTTCAGTTTCGTTCGGCCGCCGTGACCCTGGCAGTATTTGTAGCCTGGTTCTTGGCCTTTGTGATCTCGACGGTATACCTGCCCTTCCAACAGGTAAGAAATCATTTCAAAATTATGCTATATTTGATACTGTTTGACATATACAGTGGGGGAACTGATCCAGTGGCAAAAAACGTACCATTTTGTGTCCGGGAAGTATCAAAAATGTGGCAAAATGCTTCCCCGTCCAAGTGAAAAAACTTCGTTTGAAGGGCGAAAGAGTGGGCGCGCTTTTGAAACCTGAGTTTTTTCACTTGGAGAGGGAGGTATTTTGCCGCATTTTTTGATGTTTCCTGGATGCAAAATGATATGTTTTTTACCACTGGATCAGGTCCCCCACTGTAGTTTGAATTATTCTAATTTAGCTGGTTGGAATCTCCCTAAGTTATGTCCCATTCATCGTGTTCAGTGGGATATTTACTGTCGCCCTGTATTTCCTGTTGCCCGAGACCCAACACAAACCAAAAGTGGAAGTCATCGAGGAATTCAGATACCGCGCCCAATCCGTCACCACTGGGCACCCATTCCGATCAGTGCCGCCTTCTCTGACCGACGAAACGCAGTCTCTCGTACAGTCAGAGCAGGACGATCGGCTCTCCTACCATCGATACATGAGCATCACTGGTTAGTTTGGATATTATACTAGACGTTTCGATGTGTAAGGGGCACAACTGAAAATTTAGCGGTCTGTTTATAGATTGACCAAATCTTTTTGACACTGCGAGATCCCCATTGTCGTTTTGTTTTCTATCACCGATCTTTGCGCAGAAATGCGTTTAAAAATCGGGGTTTTTTTTCAATTTTTAAGATCTACAGTGACCTGATGCAGTGGCAAAAAACGTACCATTTTGCGTCCGAGAAGTTTCAGAAATGTGGCAAAATGCTTCCCTCTCCAAGTGAAAAAACTCCGATTTCAAAAGCGCGTCCTTCAAAACAAAGTTTTTTTTCACTTGGAGAGGGAGGCATTTTGCAACATTTTTGATACTTCCCGGATGCAAAATGGTACGTTTTTTGCCACTGGATCAGGTCCGTCACTGTATTTTTGACCCTAAAACAAAACCCATTTTTCCCATGTATATACTACCCTAATGTTTGTCCAAAATATTTTTCCCAGGAGCCCGTCCCGTCCTCCATCAATCCCCACAAAGCACGTGCTCATCTGTTTTCGGCTCACCATCCCGTTTTTTCTAACCCCTATGTCACAGTACGGATTTTCATAGCTTTTCAATATTTGAAATAGGATTTTCTAACGAATAAATAAAATAGAACACGCAAAGGATATGTGATGGATGAAACCAAGGGAAAATATTTGAAATTATTAGCGATTTTATTCAAAAATAATTTAATTTTTATGATATGTCATGCAGTGAAAATGTAGAATATGGCAGGCCGCATCTCCCATCATTCGTCTACAAGTCGCCCGATCGATCATTTCCTTTCATCCCCTTGTTTTGGCGTTTCGCATACCCACTTCCAAATTGCATTGCGCGTTTTGGCGTGTCCGTCAGATGGGGTGGAAGCCCCAGGAGCCTCAGCGCAACTCTGAGCAGCTTCTTCTCGCCGATTCCTCGAGGTTCACGGAAATCAACGCGATAGGGAAGCGGAATCGTAGCCATCCATTCAACAAATCGATCATGCATAAATGGGGCACTGAAATTTTGATTGCTGATTTCCTCATTCTCTGCCGTAATTTGGACAGACAGCAAAATAAAATCGCAGACCATACTCTATCTTTTACAGTGGGGGACCTGATCCAGTGGCAAAAAACGTACCATTTTGCATCCGGGAAGTATCAAAAAATATGGCAAAATACCTCCCTCTCCAAGTGAAAAAACTCAGATTTCAAAAGCGCTCCCGCAATTTTGTGAGGAAAAAGAACGCGCCCTTCAAAACGAAGTTTTTTCACTTGAAGAGGGAAGCATTTGCCACATTTTTGATACTTCCCGGAAGCAAAATGATACGTTTTTTCCCACTGGATCAAGTCCCCCACTGTCACTCTCTCTTTTTGACCATTACCTCCCGTTTAAAATCAACCTACATTAGACTAACCCCATTGGAAACGGTAATTCGATCATCCCGGCCAAAATTTCTCGCTCCTATCCGGCCTATTTCCATCTCCAAGCCTTCTAGGAGTTCCGGCCACCCTCCTTTTTCAAAATAGGTGCGATGTCGGGCGTATCCGCCAAGCAATTCGTCAGATCCACTTCCACAAAAGGCAAAACTTGATGGTTTACTGAAAAAATGAATACTGAGTGTCTAGAAACCAAAAAAAGCCAAATCTTACAATTCGAGGCCTTTCTGGTCTTTATAAAAGACCTGTTTCCCCTTTCCTCTGGATCCAAACCAAACAACCGAAGCCAACGACTCATCTAGGATTGTAAAATTTGGCAACATTGCTCGTTCTATCTTGCTTCGGCATTCCTGGACCTCACTGTGCGAAACATTCACTTCAATCATCGAAAACCGCGGGCCAAAACTAAAAAAATTATATTATCCATGACAATATCAGGTCAAAAACAAAATTCAATGAGAAGCACGTATTTTTAAGACTTAAAAATCAAAAAATTGGGTCGTAAATTTAACTAGAAACCCTTTACTCACTGTTCAGATAGCCATTCAAAAGCTTCCCGGCCTTTTATCCGATCAGAAGCCGAGTTAAAATCATTTTCGGTCTTTCCAAAGACTGTGTTGACAAGGTTGAACTGCTTAACCTCGTCCAAAACGGTCGCAGCTACGACTGTGACAAACAAACTGTCAACTCCACCAGAAAAAGAGACTGTTACTTGTTCAGGGATCTCTGAAGAGCCGTTTAGATGATTTGACGGCTAAAATATGCAAGTCAGAGTGGATAGGGCTGTAAGACAAGCTGTAAAATTTCGGCAGTTCCATCAAAATTCTTTATTTCAGCTGTATTTGCAGTAAGGAAACCAAATCCTTAGGTTTTCACCATTATCGAAACATCCAGGCCCACCAAGTACAACACAACTTACCACCAAAAGTTTCGGTTGAAAAATCTCTTTTATCGCCTTCTTAACTTCCACAATTAATCTACTCGCTGTTGGCTCAAATTTTCGCTCGGAGTCTCCCGCTGAAACATCTGAATTGGGCTAAAATCAGAATGCTATCAAGAACAATGTAACTCACTTTTAAATACCTCGAAGCATCCAACTTTTTGACCTGAATCGTCTTAAAAAAACTAAGGAGAGGTTGTTCCGGCTCTAAGTCGTAATATGTAGTGATTTCCAGCTCGGTAGGAGCTATATCATGAGGTGAAAGTTTGAAGACAAATGAGGTATCGGTAATTGTAGGTGCCGGAAATTTTTTGAAGTGAAAAATCGATCCGACAGGGATTTCAAACGAGTCAATCACCTAGAAAAGAAGGATAACATCTTTCTGAGGCTTCAGAAGGTAAATCTTTCATTGAATTCGACAAAAACATGAAATTTCGGCAATTATCTTTATCTACCTTCCGTTCAAAGAACCCATTGGTAAGTTCGAGCCGAATCTCCTCTCCATCCTGAGAAATATTGCCGACCAGCGACTTTCTTCCAAATATATCCCGTCCGAATACTAGTTCTCCATCCTAAACATCGAATAAACGGAGAAAATTGTAAATTTTACCTTATAAAAAATGAATCCATAATCAGAACCGCAATGTAGAAGAAAATCTTTGACTTCGTTAGGAGTAAGTGCTTCCGCCGCTTCATTCTGAAGAACTTTTGATGTCGAAAACTGAGATTGTGTTAGCCATAATGCCATTCTATCCGAAAGATGTCAAATTTCTTCCACATTTTATTTTTTATTTATTTTTGGAGCTATTCAATAGTGGTGTGACGAAATGTCACAATTGAATGTCTGAGGAATCCAGGGGTGGCAAACGGGCCTCTTTTTCCAAATTTCAGGCCCGGGGCCCGGCCCGGCAAAATCCCAGGCCCGGCCCGGCCCGGTTCAAAATTTTGCAGGCCCGGCCCGGCCCGGCCCGGTAGAAATCAGGCCCGGCCCGGCCCGGCCCTGTAAAAGCCCGGTTAGGGCGCGAGCTGGAAATTTTCCTTTGATCTTACCGCCTCTGTAGTGTGCTAAAATCTGCTAAGAACTATCGTATATGTATTATATGTTCTAATTTGGACCTTATATTATAACATATATGCAAAAAAGTACTATAAAGTAATAAACTATTGTAGAACTTGATATACTAAAAATACAAACCTATCCAAAAATTTTTCCGGCGCGAAAACATTGAATGCCAAACGCTTGGCATTTCGACAAAACCGGGCCGGGCCGGGCCTGAAAATGGCTCAGGCCCGCGGCCCGGCCCGGTAAAAAGCAGGCCCGGCCCGGCCCGTTTCAAAATTTGCCAGGCCCGGCCCGTTTAGGCCCGATCGGGCCGGGCTTCGCCGGGCCGGGCCGGCCCGGCCCGGTGGCCACCCCTGGAGGAATCAGATTCCGGAAAGTGGCGAAGATAAATTTAAAAATGCTGATTGTAACCTGTTATAAGCTACTTCTCCACTTTGATGGATTTTTTGACGCTTTTTTATATTATTCTCAGTACTAATCTGAAATGTTTCAAAACTTTCACTGTAATCAAAAGGCTTTGCTTTGAATACGATAAGAAACCCCTCTAAAATCTTTCAGTTGCCGATTTTTCTGATGAAAAAAGTTAGTTTTGTTGTGAGACGTTCACCTGCGCTGTTTTGTCCGATTATCGGTGCTTATCACCGTCAAAATTACCGTCTCATCTGCGAGAAGAGAGCTCCGCCTTTGTAATGCCAGACTGTTGACCACAGAGGCCGCTTACAACATAACAGTTAACATTTCAGTGCGACCACAGTTTCGAAAAAAGAGAAAAAATGAGAAATGAGGGGAGCTTGCTGTTGCAAATGTTACTTTTACACGAAATTTTTGACTTGTAGTATAAAATGGAACGCAACTAATTGTAAGAGATGTGCCATGATGAAAATACGCTTGTGAAATCTTTTTTGCGGAGTTCCGGTATTTTTGTAAAAGTACTTTCCTGCTTGCAAAGCCGTAAAGATCTGTTGATAAATGGGTCCGCCGTTTAGTCGTCTTTTCCGTATTACTGTATGAGATAAGTCAGCGCGTATGCTCTTTTGTTTATAAGAGAAAAACAAAGTGATCACGTTGCAAAATATTGAGTTGTTCAGAAAGTTCCGTCGTTTTTTTATTCTTTTGGTTTACAAGACTTTGTTTATTGTTGGGCTACGTGAATATACAGGGTCTTTCAAGAAATGTGCTGGAAAGTAGGAGGCTATAACTTTCGGCGGAGGCGGCGCAGAGAGTTCGTTTTTGGAATATGTATTTTTCAGTGACATTATTTTTTGCCTACGAAATAACAAGCCTTTAGAGTGCAAACTGAGGTCGCTACGACATTCTGAAGTAAAGGCATCTCTACCCCGAAAACCAGGTTTTTTCGGTTGAAAATGATCGAGAAATTTCGGTCTTTTTCGGTTGAAAATCACCAAGAAATGTCGGATTTTTTCAGGGGTTCCGATAGAGTTGACGTTGAAAAAAGGGAAGGATGTTGCCAACACGTTGGAAATTTAGCAAATATTCGGCTAGCCTCAACTTGGGGCAGATTTCGAGTTTATTTTTCGGTATCTTCCGCGTAAAAGCGTGACATCATTTAGGGATTTGAGGAACCTGGAATCGGCTAGCCAAGGCACCAGAATGGCTGTGAAGTCTTATAAAAAATAGTCAAAGGGTGTAATGGGCGTCAAAGGGCAGGAATGACAACCAAACTTTTAAACTGCTAACAAAAACTGGTCGGCTAGCCAAAGTGTCAGAATGAATAGCAGCCGAATATTTGCTTAATTTTCAACGTGTTCGCAATTCCCTTCCCTGTTTTCAACGTCAGCTCTATCGAAACCCCCCAAAAAACCCGACATTTCTCGGTGATTTTCGACCGAAAAACTCTGAAATTTCTCGATCATTTTCAACCGAAAAACCCTGGTTTTCGGGGTAGAGATGCCTTTACTTCAGAAGGTCGTAGCGACCTCAGTTTGCACTCGAAAAGCTTGTTATTTCGTAGGCAAAAAATAATGTCACTGAAAAATACATATTCCAAAAACGAACTCTCTGCGCCGCCTCCGCCGAAAGTTATAGCCTCCTACTTTCCTGCACATTTCTTGAAAGACCCTGTATTTATTTGATACAGCTTTTTCTCCTCTACAAAATTGTGCTTTTACAGGGGAAGTACTCCAAGTGCGACGCTCAGATTTTTATGAAACTGGGCACAAATTTAGAATAATTTTTTCTAAGATATATGCGAGAATTCTAGCTCGCGCTTTGCAGAAACAACCGAGATTTTTAGACCGAAAGTCGGCGAAAATTTTGGACTTTTTGCCGAATTTCGGCACGAAAAGTTTCATGCCTATTTCTACCGTAAAGGATAATGTTTCTACAAAAAATCAAATTTTTCCGCTCAAAACTGCCAAAGTTATGGCCAAAAAACGCTTTTCTCTCTGACCGCTTTCTACGTTTAGCGTGCTCTCTCGGCGGCAAAAATCGTTCGATATCTCGGCGGTTCCCGCAAAGCGCGAGCTAAAACTTTCAGGAATTGATATTTAGTCCATACCCAAGGTGTGTGCAAAATTTAAAGAAAATCTGAGCGTCGCACTTGGAGTACTTCCCCTGTTAGTTTTTTTTGAAATATAAATTTTTTATTATTTTTCGGGCTGAAAAGTGAACCATCTAGGAGGCAAAATTTTTTTCTAAACAATAAACAAATTGTTGTAAAACAAAAGAACAAAAAACGACGGAACTTTCTGAACAGCTCAATATAAATTCAAATCTTCTACTCAATATGGGGCTTACTATGCGAAAAGAATGCATTAAATTTATACAAGTTTTTGGTTATATCTGCTCCCTCCGGAATTCAAATAGTCGAAAAGCGGGGTTATCGCCGACGGCTCGCTGTTTTCTCCATCTGCTGACCTTATCAGCCCATTTGTACCCTCTCGTTCGAAAAAAGGAAGGGACGTCACAGAACCCGGGAGGGGAAATTGTCAAGGTAAATTCCTTTTCGAAAACTGTTTTCATCGGGAAATACGTATGTATAGATCTTCATTTTTTTTTTAATACCGAGTTTTCGACAAAATTTTTATAAATTAAATTTTAGAAAGATGATTTTCAAAAACATTATTTATATTTTTTTAATCGAGTGTATCACATTTTTTCTCGTGTGGAAGCTTCTCGTCGAAGACATCAAAGTCCGGAATTTTTTACAAATCATATTTTGGGTTCAAACTGATCAACGAACAACGACAAAAATCGTCAGTAACCAAAAATTTTAAGGGGAGGGGAGGGGGGTCTATTTTTCGTAAAGGCGCCGTAAAAATTTTGGCAGCGCTCTTGACCTTACGAAGTTTACGGCATATTGTAGTATTTTTTATGGCCGAACAAATGTTTTTCAAATTGCCACTTCGCTTACATTACATCTCTTCTTTCCATATTTGGTCACAAAGACTATCTCCTACAATTTCATTTTTTACGATGTTTTAATCCTCTTTGCTACAGTTCTCATGCTATTCCTGTACATCTTAATAATCCTTCTTTTTTTGACCTCCAACCAAGACCACCAACACTGTAACCTAGCTATTTAATTTCTTGATCTATTGCGTCCTACTATCAGCCATTCTCTATTTAAACCATTTAAATTTAGCTCCTTTATCATTTCAAACTCAAATAAAACTATTTCTTGCGAAGTGTTTCGTGTGAATTCCCCGTGCAAAAAGTTTCCTTTCTGCCGCTGATTTCGTAGAATCTGTCCGAGAGGGCGCAGTCAGGTCGATCGGACGGTTTGCAGTTGATAAGGAAGTTCTTTGAAGTCCAGACATCATCTACTTTTGAAACATCAAAGGTATCAGACTGTTGCTTATTGCCTCCACTGACCTAGCCAAAAGGAGTGTCCTTTTGGCTAGGAAATTCCTCCGAGACGAGACGAAAAGCGAGGTAGCAGTCCGGCCGGGTTATGCACACATCTCAGACATAGGCCGCATATTAATTCCTGAAACTTTTAGCTCGCGCTTTGCAGGCGCAGGTGACGATCTTTTTCAAATCTGCTCTGGCCCGGTACAGTCCAATCACCGGGCCCGCTTTTGCCACTTCTAGGGTGAAACAAGGCGCCTAACGATTATAGTAATGCCATTTTAGTGTTTCTTCTAAAAAGCTTGTATAATACATAGAATGAAATGTATAGGCAGAACGATAACAATGACAAAGTGGGCTTGCTGTCAAAATCTTTCCATACGGTTTTCGAAGTATACACTTCTTTGAATATAGACTTATTTTGATTTGATACGCGTTGACAATTGAACAGTGTTATTTTTTAAAGATTTATTCGTTCTGATTTGTTGAAATAGGTTTACTTTTCAAAGTAAACCTATTTGAGGTCGACTTTAAAAAAGTTTTTATTTGGAAAAAGATGGCGTTGCAAGATCAACCCTTATTTATAAATAGGTCATCCAGAAATAAAACAGGTTAGAGCAAAAGTAATTTTTGACGTTTGATTTTGAATTTATTCTGGAAAAGCATATTGCCAGTCTGTCGGGAAAATAATAAGGACAATGTCGCTCCGCTAATCGCGTCGTTGAAGTAAAAAGTAATATGATTTTGGCACGACAAAATTCATTCTCTCGGCAGCGATCGAGACAGCGTGCTGATTATTTTCCCGACAGACTGATACCGCGAAAAAAGAACACTCGTTCAAGCCGACGACGTTTATGGCTTCTGTTACAAAAACGGGGATCCTATTCCCCGAAAGCAATTAATTGTAATTCGCATGAACGGCGACACAATTCGATTGTAACGCTTGTCTGACTAAGGAGGTGTTCCAAAATGATACGCCCAGGGCTCCCTTAAATTTTGCTGCGCTTTGCTTTTGGGAAATTTTTTTGCGTATTTTCTTTACTCAATTTTTCGAAGGATTGCGAAGATCGTTGAATATCTCAGCTCCGCAAGGGCAGCTGAGATATTCAACGATCTTCGAAATTGAGAAAACATGGAAACAAAAGGTTTTTTAACCCTATCCCTCCCAATTCCGCTAGGAAAAATTTCATTTTTCGTTAAAATCTGCCGTCTCAAGTAAGAAAATACTCTAAGGGAAGTACTCCAAGCGCGGCACTCAGATATTCTTTAAATTTTGCACACACGTCGGTCATGAACTAAATATCAATTCCTGAAAGTTTTAGCACGCGCTTTGCAAGCGCCGCTGAGATATTGAACTTTGTCGCCAAGAGAGTACGCAAAACTCGGAGAGCGGTCAGAGTGAAAAAAATTTTTTGGCCATAACTTTGCTTCTTTCGTGCGGAAAAAATTAATTTTTTTGTGGAAACATTACCCTCTATGGTAGAAGTAGGCATTCAACTTTTCGTGGCGAAATTCGGCAAAAAGTGTCAAATTTTCACCGACTTTCCATCTAAAAATCTCGGTTGTTTCTGCAAAGCGCGAGCTAGGAATGCCGCAGATATTTTAGAAAAAATTATTCTCAATTTGTGCCAGTTTCATCAAAATCTGAGCGTCGCACTTGAGTTACTTCGCCTGTTAATGTGATATTTTGTAAAAATCTGCGTTGCGCGACGCCCCTTGTGAATTCCTCAACTCTGCAAAAATACAATTTATGTTTCGAAAAATTCTGTTTTGTACTGGTGTTCCTACAACATTCACAAACAAATTTTTAAACTCCTCGTTTATGCTAATCCTGTAATTTTTCTATTATTGTTCCCAACTCACAAGCTACAAAATTTTGAAACCTGATTGATGCTGATGGTTCGAGAACTGGTGGAATCTCTCGCGGCCTGATCGTTTTCTTTGTTTCCACCGTTAAAAGATTTGCATAAACGACCAAACTGATCATTGTAGCCCTACTTAAATCCTTATCCTACTGTTAGTTCAAAATGTTCATTTCTGGCGCCGCTACCTCCACAAAGGAGCTAAAAATTTGGGTTTTTTTCTGCAAAGCGCGAGTGATAAATATCGCTATACAGTGGGGGAACTGATCAAGGGCAAAGAACGTACCATTTTGCATCCAGGAAGTATCAAAAAGTGTGGCAAAATGCTTCCCTCTCCAAGTGAAAAAAACTCAGATTTCAAAAGCGCGCTTGCTCTTTTTGCGAGGAAAAAGGGCGCGACCTTCAAAGCGAAGTTTTTTCACTTGGAGGGGAAGCATTTAGCCACATTTTTGATATTTCCCGAATGCAAAATGGAACGTTTTTTGTCATTAAATCAGGTCCCCCACAATCTTACATTTTTCGTTTCTTTTCTAAAGGAACCCCCGGTTTCAGCGACATGTCCTTCGGCTACGTGGAGCTCTTCAACGGTCTGGCCATGGAGATGTTCTCCTCCATGCGCTACCTCGTCTACGGGCTCCGCTCCAACATTGAGGCCATTCATTTCGGGAAGGGCTCGATTCTAGTCGACATGGATATCACACTTTTAATGGAACTGAAGAAATTCAACGAAATGCGCGACTTCTTGCCATTCCACGACGTCGTTAACAGTGCCACCGCTTTAACGGTGAATCAAGTTCTGTTTTGCGGAAGCCGACGGCAGATTTATGTGCTCGACAAGTTCTTACGGCTCATTGTCCCCTGCTACAGCGAATTCCCTTGGAATCAGGTGTTCCGCATGAACCGCGTGAACCTGACGTTAATGGCCGCTGTGGCAAAGGAAATTGTCAGCTACATGGACGGGAAGGAATGGTATGTCGTCAAATTTGCTTTGCAGACAGAGTGTACAGTGGGGGACCTGACCCAATGGCAAAAAACGTACCATTTTGCATCCGGAAAGTATCAAAAATGTGGCAAAATGCTTCACTCCCCAAGTGAAAAAACTTCGTTTTTAAGGGCGCGCACATCAACCACAAACAGAATGCCAAGATTTTTGGCATTCGGTTTTTTAAGGGTCTCTAATGTTTTAGCTTACTGTGCAGTGGGTAATGAACAAAATAACATGAACCTGCGATTAAAACATTGCCAAGGACCCATATTTTTTAAATTAATAGATTTTGGCGTTCTTCGGCCACCAGGTTAGCGACAAACGGCCGGAGAAAATCGAATTTTTGCAAACTTTGCGGCCGAATAACTTGTCTAAAACGATTGAAACACGGAAAGTGATTGCAACGATCTTCAGAATATTGTATTCTAAGGTAGTATGCGAAGTTTGAAGCAAATCGGACAGATAATAAAAAAGTAGATGCGATTTTAAGCTTTTTACCTTATGGATTATATTACTTTAGGCAACTTTTAATGTCCGACAGCGTTAAATAGTCTAATTAATTAACTATATTATCTCATAACATCCTGTTAAGGGAGATTAATTGCAAAAATTTTAACTCTTAGGCCGAAAAAAAGTTTTACCTTATAGTAGCATACCTGATCTTATACCAAAAATAATGAAAGTTTATGACTGAAGTCAAAGTTTTAAAACTATCTATGTGAGTTGAGATGGCTTTCTAAGGCTATACTGAGCTTTTGGAGTTGGTTTCAACTTCGCTGCGCCAATTTCAAAAATGGCCAATATCACTTAAAACGAGGTTCTTAGAACCGCTTCTAAACTGGTGCGGATGCCACTAATTATGCTCTTATTGTCTTTTTAGATCATAGTAGACCTAGCTGAGTCAAAATTTACCGATTTTAAAAATATTATTTTAGTCACCTAAATATCAGTTTTTTTGGAATTTTGAGTGAGTAAGCTAGTATATGACATAGGGTTGCTTATAGTTCTCTAAAACTACTCTAATTATGCTCACAGAAAAAAGAATTTAGGCAATTGCTTCGTTACGAAACGATTTAGTAGCAAAAGATGTCTAAAATAAGGTTTTCAAATCTACTACTACTACTATTTTTTGGTCAGTCCGACTCGTTTCCAATTTTTAATTTGAGCTACCCTTGGGCACCCTAACAAAGTTATGCAAACAGTTTTCCCGATTTGAAACTTTTTTTTTTGTGGTTGATGTGCGCGCCTTTCCCTCACGAAAAGAGCGGGCTTTTGAAATCGGACTTTTTCCACTCTACAGTGACCTGATGCAGTGGCAAAAAACGTACCATTTTGCGTCCGAGAAGTTTCAGAAATGTGGCAAAATGCTTCCCCCTCCAAGTGAAAATGCTCCGATTTCAAAAACACGCCCGCTCTTTTCGTGAGGGAAAGGCGCGCCCTTCAAAACGATGTTTTTTTCACTTGGAGAGAGAAGCATTTCGCCACATTTTTGATACTTCCCGGATGCAAAATGGTACGCTTTTGCCATTAGATGAGGTCCGCCACTGTACACTCTCATCGCCAAAGATGGTTGTATACTGTTTTACGACTCCGCTCACAAATCGCGAGCTAAAATTTTTAGGAACTGGTATGCGGCTCAGACGTAATTTGTGTAAAATTGAAAAAAAAAAATGATTGCCGCTCTTTGAACACTTTGCTTGCAAATCAAACTCATTGATCTTAATTTTCACTTCCTCTTTTTTTTCTGCGACTGATCGAATTGATCAGTCCAGAGTACAAAACTTACTTTATTTTACGGGGATTCTTAGGAAACACAAAAGTCTCAAATCAGACAAAAAACATAATTTATTTAAAATCATAATTTTTCAGCCGAAATCTCGGCTTGTCCGAGAAAATTCTCAACCAGAAAGAGAGAATTCTGGCAGAATATAACGCCTGGAATCAGCTGATCGACCCAAATGGGCTTGGGCAACCAGCTTTCGAGGCCTTCAACGACCTCTTCTCCAACATCGAGTTTCATGAGAAAAGGGATGGGAAATTCACGCTGTTCCATCGATTGCCTAATGAAATTAAATTTATGGTAATGTAAGTTGGCCTTCAATGCTCAGACCTTAATGCGACTTGGCACAAAATTCGAGTTTTTTAAGACAAATGCGAGATTACAGGCTCGCGCTTTGCAGAAAAGAAAAAAAAAAAAAAAAAAAAAAACGAAATTTTGCTAGGTTGAAAACAGAGAAAAATTGGCATTTTCAGCAAATTTTGGCTTTAAAAAATCGCGTACGGACATAAATATTATAATTAGAAATTGTCCAACTGTCATCAAAACCCCTCAATTTTCAGAAAAAAGGCTTCGGATATGCCCCCGACGTCTGTGGACTCAACCGGTCGAACTTTCAATGTTCTCTACGGTAACATTACTGAAGAAGATCAGGACTATGACTATGATCTTTTCATCATGACATCCGGCAAAAAGGGAGTCGAAAAAGGAGAAAGCTCAGCGCAAGCGCGCCGAAGACGCCATGAGATGGAGAACGCGTTAGATTACTATTAGAAAACCAACTAGGAACTACTATTTATGATCTCTGTTTATGGGTATAATAATTATAAACGAACCTGTCTTCACAATCAAACTGAAGGCTTTTTCGGACTTTTATATGAGAATAATTGGTGTACAATAACATTTTTCATCAAGGACAATATAAATTTTCGTTGAAAACGACTAATGGACACTTCAAAATTACTATAAACTCCAGTTTTAACCATCAAAATTTAATTTTTATATACAGGGTGTTCCGAGAATTGTGGAAAAAACTATTCATTAATAACTTTGCGCTCGGTGGTCCAATCCGAAATTTTTTTTTTTCATTTTGCAGAAAAGCCTTGGAGTTTTTCGAATCAAAAAAAATTTTCTCTTTTATCGGCGGAGACTTCCGTAATCCGCCTTGAATTCGGCGGAGTGTTTTTTTCCAGAAATGAGGCTGTAAATCGATGTATGTGTAAAGAAAATGAGCGGAAAAAGATCCAGAGGATGCAATATGACATTTATTTTAAATTTTCGTGATTTGGCGGAGACATTTCTTGACCTCGGCGGACGATTTTTCTTCGACTTCGGCGAGTCAGAAGTGGCTAAAACAAAAACGTATGGGTTCCCTGGTGGTATGGTGCTTAAATAAGACTTATTACGTCCTCGGCTGTCTGGCAGATGAAAAAACGGCAATTCGGCGGAGAAATCGGCGTAGAAAAAACGAACCCATTTAAGAAATTATGATGAGAAAACTAAAATTCTAGGTCTTATACGTCCCTGATCTACCAAAAAATATGATTCTTCTTATTGGCGGATGCTCGGCGGATAATTTTCATAATCACACAAATGGGTTGTTTTTTTCTCCGCCGATTTCTCCGCCGAATTGCCGTTTTTTTCATCTGCCAGTCAGCCGAGGACGTAATAAGTCTTATTTAAGCACCATACCACCAGGGAACCCATACGTTTTTGTTTTAGCCAATTTTGACTCGCCGAAGTCGAAGAAAAATCGTCCGCCGAGGTCAAGAAATGTCTCCGCCAATTCACGAAAATTTGAAATAAATGTCGTAATGCATCCTCTGGATCTTTTTCCGCTCATTTTCTTTACACATACATCGATTTACAGCCTCATTTCTGGAAAAAAACACTCCGCCGAATTCAAGGCGGATTACGGAAGTCTCCGCCGATAAAAGAGAAAATTTTTTTTGATTCGAAAAACTCCAAGGCTTTTCTGCAAAATGCAAAAAAAAAATTTCGGATTGGACCACCGAGCGCAAAGTTATTAATGAATAGTTTTTTCCACAATTCTCGGAACACCCTGTATAAGAGGAGCCTCGAAAATCAAATTTCTTACAAAAAACAATACTTCAAATGATGTTCCATTGGAGTCATTCTATAATTTATTATCTACAAATGCCGACACTTCCAATATATAACGGGAATGTTGGGTGAACAAATAAAATTAATCGAATTCATCCATCTTTCCTTATAAGTCCATTCTTCGTCCTTCGATTGAAACAGCCACAGCTCTCTTAGCTTTCGCCGTCTTGGTTCGCTCCTTGAATTCGCGTTGAGCCATGTCAAATCGGGTGGCTTGGCGGGACTTGGTGGCCCCATGGAATTGTCCTTCCACATTCGACTTGGGCCGATTCACGTACGCTTTCATTGACGGTTTTGGGACCCGAGCGCGAGAAATGAAGCCGACTTCGCCTGGATTCACAGTTTCGTCGTCCAAATCGTCCAGATCCATGGCTCGGTTTCGCTTCGACGGACCTGCAGACTCTTCGGGATCTTCTCTTCTGGAAATGGGTAGAAATAAAAAAAAAAATTAAAGTATAGAACAATGCTTATCAAATGAAATAAAAAATCCTGCAAACCTAGCAATTTGGCAGGCCTAATTCTATCTAAAAACAGTTATTCAACCCAATATAACCTCCGCTTCACATAGAAAAAACGGCTATCTTATACTTGATGTCAAGTATAATATAACGTCAAATATTTAATATCTCCTAATAAAATTTGGACTCCAACAGCTTCTCTAAGCCGCTGTCTCCCTTCCAACTTCAATTTTATCAACAAAAACCAAAACCCCAGGACAGAACAACCGAAAATAGGCCTACGCTTCAAGTACAATATAAGTCCTTCAAACCTTCCAAAAAATCATACCTCTTCTTCGCCGACTTGGCGTGAATATAGTCCAGTTCGAAGCGTTCTTCTCTTGTCATTGCCGTATAATTCGTATCCAGCTGAAAAAAAATGCAAAATGATCATACAATATGTAAAAAACAGCCCGAAGTTGATAAAAAGTTTCTTCAAACCTAACCTGAAAAATAGGTCTAGACCAATCACGAATCAATTTCGCAGCTCTAACTTTGTTCTCCTTGATTTCTTTGGGGTGTTTGAAGAGCAACATGACAGCCTTTCCCAGTCCCGACTGTCTCAAAATGCCCTGTTCGAGTCTGGGGTAACTTTCCAAAATCTTCAAGAAAGTGGTTCGAATCTCCAAAGACGGCAAACTTTTGTCCGGCAGAGGGGCCAGCCAATCCGACAGTGCCGACATCATTCCATTGTCCAACAGCGCTTCGAACAAATCACTTTTCATCAACGTTCTCTTGACAACCGGTAACAACTTCTGTTTCTGGAAGGCAGGTTGTCGATTTTCATTCGAAACCCGATCGGCATTTGCGGCTCGAGCCATTTGATCGACAAGGTTCTTGATTTGTTCATCATTGTCCGAAATGAGGTCGATCCCGCCATCTCGATGTTTTCTCTTGGTCGAGCGACGACGTTCGGCCTTCTTCTTGGCCATCATTTCATCGAAGTCCCAGCGATGAGTCGGCCGATCATCGTCCTCGTCGCCGGAACGATCACGTTCTTCGCGAACCCGACGATTGTCGTCGTCGTCGCTGTCTGAAGCAGCTGTTTGACGTTCTTCACGGCGGGAATCCTGGGAAATTAAAATTTTTACATCAGAAATATATTATGCATGCTCTGGCCAAGAATAATACAAAATCTAGCAGATACTTCAAATTCGTGAAACCTAAATCTAAGAACAACAAAACATAAGTAAAAACTTACTTTATTCTTATCAGTGGCGTCGTCATCATCACCTTCTTCACCAAAAATATCATCCATCAACTTTTTAGTGGTCTCATCATCATCATCGGATTCGTCCGAACTAGATGAGCCAAATAAATCCTCGTGCTTCTTTCTAAAACAACAAAAACATAATTCCATAACTTAAGATTGTCCTAGACATAGAAGAAACATCAAACAAATGGCAAGGACTTACTTCTTGTCCTTCTTCAGGGTTAATTCTTCGTCCTCATCATCACTATCAACTGCCTTCTTCTTCTTTTTAATTATCAGTTCGTCGTCGCTGTCGTCATTTCCTTTATTCGCATCTTCGTCATCGCTGTCTTGAGTTACCACCTGGTGTTTAATCTCGGGTTTATCTGTATCGTCCTCCTCCTCATCCGACAAAACTGCCTTCCTCTTTCTAAACCATGTATAATATAATTTGATAAAAAAAACAACGTAAATTTAAACAAAGGAGTAGAAGAACGGCTTCAAGAGCAGGAAGCAGCCATTTTCAGAGGTTTTTCCTTCTGTGTACCTAAATGTCAACAAAAATAATAAAATTCTTACTTTTTAGGCGAATCGTCTTCATCCTGTTCGTCCTCCGAGTCTGTTAAAAATTTATCCGTGGTAGAATGATCTCCAACCTCTCCCTCATCATTCGAAGCGTTAACCTTCTTGGATTTCTTGGGAGAATCGTCTTCGTCCGAGTGATTGGATAAACTTCCAGCTGCTGGAGATCCTACTCTATCTTCTGAAGCCGCATCCTCGTTTCCTTCGGGTTCTGGAGCGGCTTGAGGACTTTCTGGAGCTGCCTCAGGACTCTCGGGAGCTGGTTCATTAGCAGTTCCATCCCTTTCGGGCGAGGAACCAGCTGAAGACGGCATTTTCCTAAACACATGGTGTAAATAACATTATCCTTGACGAAAATGAAAGCAAACGCGAAAATACGACTGTAATCCGATCGAATACGTGCACAAATTCAAGCAGAACACACCGAAAAGCAAAAAACTTCCACAAGCCGACGAGAAATTATTTATGACACTTCGTGCACTCAAAATTGAATTTTACGGCATGGTTTCCACAATTGATTTTGCAATGTTTCAAAATGGAAACTTGGAGATTTTTGCGGGTAAATTGTAGTTCGAGTCAGATTTACCTTTACTAACTGCGTTTTAATTAACGTAATTATTATATTTTTATTAGAAATTAGGCATTTTAATACTATCACAATCAAGTATGAAATACTGGCAAAGAAATCTGTCACAATAAAACCTCTAGTTCTTCTTCTTTCGTGGACGAGGGTCGCGTCGATTCAGGAGGATCGTGAGTGAAGGGAAGCCAACAACAAAGGTCTGAAGGAACCATTTGAAGGCCGTGTCAAATCCGTATTTTCTTCTGTCCGCAATGTACAATGCTGCCAATCCTTCGCCCAGATGGGCTACCGCGGCGCCGACGTTGATCCAGCCGACAAGAGAGCGTTGCTCCGTACCCAAAGATTTGAGAATTCCGCCAACTGGCCCAAGATATTGGTGGGGAATGAGGTCGACATCATACCAGACGATCTGAAGAACATTCATAAGATACTTTCAACGGAAAATTGGTCCTCTCTTTGAGAGAAATGTGTGTTTCCGCATTGAAATTTCTTGCTTTGCATTTTAGAGTTGTTTTCGACACAAAAACGGCCAAGAAAGAAAGAAAATATATTTTTTTGCGGAAGAAAAAACAGAGAAACAGCTGAAACTAGGTATTTCCCCAATTCCTAACCTAATGCCACACTTACGAAGGTAAACAACAGCGCTCCGGGGATGATGAGGAACCAGTGGAGTGCGGGCGAACGGAAAAACCCAGCCATGATGGGCGGTTGTGGCGCGTCGACTGGCTCTTCTTTCCGTCTTTGCTCCGAAAATTGTGCGTCTCGGGCGGCGATATTGCCCCGTCGCTCGCTCTCATCATTATAGGTGCGAGATGTGGGCGAAAGCTGGAACCCAATGAAGCGCCGACCCGATTTCTGCACGTGATACGGCATCATGCTGGAAAATCGCGGAAAATTTTTTTAATTTTCATGTAGAACATAAAAAGTCTGTTGATTATAAAATTTAAAAGGCTGAAAATAGTCGAAGTGAAAACGCCATTCTGATAACAAAGCCTGATAATCTTCATTTTTTAAAACTATGTTGACATTTTCTATTTGTGTTTTCTCAACATGGATAAGAACTTTTTTGGTCGAAAGGTTTATCCTTCTGCGGCTGCCCTATATTTGGGGCAGTGTAGACCAATATTTATATGCAATGTTGAAATTGGTTGACTAGCTAGCCAAGGGGGTGACTCCATGTTCACAACGGAGGATGAGTCGCTCATAACCAAGCTCGCGACCTAGTCGGGACAGAGGTCAAGGAGGGGTTGCCTAAAATGACTCTAAAATGGTTTCAATGCTTGACTATGATGAGGTCGTTACCTGTGTGGCGATTAATTTTCAACATCCTCTGAAAATAATTCTACTGGCTGTTCCAGACGGTTTTCGCATATCAGTTAGGTCAGGTCACAGCCAAACTGACTATGGTCGCGACCTAGGTCGTGAGCTTGGTGACGACCTGATCTAAAAAATGTCTTGACCATTATAGCCTAACATTGAGACCATTTTCGGTAATTTTAGACAGCCTCCTTGACTTCGGTCACGACATTGGTCGCGTGCTTGGTCATGAGCGACCGATCCTCCGGTGTGAACACGGAGTAACCCCCTTGGCTGGTTAGTCAACCAATTTTGCAACGTTCTTATTTTTAATTGTTACATCAAGTATTTGAAAGCCAATAGTTTGAAAGCCACATTTTCGAAATTTCCTTACCCTTTCACCACTCCCATGAAGAAAATCCACCTGGGGATGTAGCTTATCACCCGTTCTTTCAGAATTGACTCAACTGTTACACGAGCGCAATACTCCACTTTCATGCATGAAATGAATCTAAGATTGGATGTAGAACAACAAAAAGGCTGGAAAATTGCTCACGTTGATTTCGGAGTGCAACTTTGGACTAACGGAGTATCGGTGAAATAAGGGAATAAAGTTGTCGTTTTGATTCCAGTCAGCCCACGATCGCGGAACTCCATTTGTAACGACTCCATAAGACCGCGAACCGCGAATTTTGTTGGACTGAAAATTTTCGAATATCCATTTTTTGGTCGCTTTAGCCGAAAAAATCGTTTTAAGCGACCTACCAATACGCCGCTCCATAAGTTTCGCCAAAGTGGCCGGCAATTGATGACATTGCCACAATATGGCCTTTGTTATTGGCTTCGAATTGAGGCAGGAAGGCTCTAATCGTCTAAGACGTTCGTAATTGATTCGATAAAGCCTGCTTACATTCATAACACCAAAAACGTTAACGTCGTACACTCGTCTCATGTCATTGTCAGAGAAATTCAGAAAATGACCAAACTGGGCGATCGCGGCATTGCAAACAACAATATCAGCTGGTCCTGAAATTGGAAAGAACGCTACGATGTTTTCTGTGTCTTATAATTAAACTTGGATTAGGGATTTACCGTGATCTTGCAAGATTTTCTTGGCGCATTCGTTTACATCCTCCCAATTTCCAACGTTACATTTATAAAAAACCGCTTTCCCCTTGTTTGAAGTGATTTCTTGTACTGTGGCGTCTCCAGCGTCCTGAAAAATGGGCATGCAAGAGCTTCGAACGGCATACAGTAATCAATGAATTATAAATGCTTGTGCCGTTTTCTGTCGACAAAACTTAGCCCTCATTTTTTCGCCTTTTATGTCCAGTGAAACCGGCAAGGTATGTTTGACACCTTTTTTCGTATTGAAGATATAATTTTCAAATTACTAAAATACGTATTTCTACTTACCTTGTTCACATCCAGAATGACCACTGTTGCTTTCTCGTCAACTGCCAAAATTTGGGCTACTCTTCTCCCAATTCCAGAGGCCCCTCCAGTTATTACAACTATTTGATTTTCTACCCCCTTCCTTTTCATTGTCACCCATCGCAATAAGTCTTTTGGAATAGTAATAAAGATCAAAGTCAACGTAAATCCGAGTACAGTAAAAATCTTGGACAATATACAAGTATTCTCCATGACTGCAAATCACAGCAATTTTGGAGAAAAAAGTTTTAAAAATGCGCAAAATTGCGGAGTGAACCGAGTTTTATTTTGATTTTTTTGGAGATACGAATTTTACGGTGACTTTACAACGGATGCACGTGCGTTCAAGGCGGTTTGGGGATGATGTAATGTAAACCGGGTGAAATGAAAAGTTTCTTTTCCAAAAATTTGGTTTTGATCAAGTAACTGCTGAAGTTTTCTTTGAGTGTTTACAATTTATTTGTAATAAGCCGAGCCTAAAATCGATCTACGTCAACAGTTTCGGACTGTGGATTGACCTCAATTCTCTGCACTTTTGCCCATGGTTGGACTTCAGCTGATCCAAAAATTACAAACATCAATCCGCTGAAGAAATTTACGGCTGCAGAGAACAGAAATACGTTTCGATACTCTTTCTCAGTATTCTAAAAAGAGCTTACATCCTCATGCGCACTGCTTACATGAACATTGAACCACGAGAACACAGTTGGCGCTCCAATGGAAGCGATCATCCCGACGAAGGTGGCCACCGAACTCACGGTACCCACAAAAGGTGGTGCAACGAAGAGAATGGCTGTATACGCGCCAGCAACTTGTCCGGCGAAAGTTGCGCCAAACGCGATGAACAGGAATATCGCAAGGCCTACGCGAGTGCAATCCACGAATAGAGCCAAGGCTACGAATGTCGAGGCTAGCCCAATACATGCTGAAATGTTTTGTCAGAAACCCACATAGCTTTAAAGGCCTTGCCGTAAGCCTGCATAATTTTGCAGCTCTGCGTGATACTAAATATTCCGCGATGTCTTAAGTAGTCGGCCAACGATGCCATCGGGATTTTCACCAAAACCATTACAGCGAATGGAATCGCGGTGAAAAGGCCGTTCTGAAAAACGATCAAATTTTGATGACAGATGCAGACAAATGCATGTACAAAGGTGTAAAGGGTACCTGCGCCAGGTTGATATGCAAGACGTCTCGAAGATAGGAAGGCAAGAACTGTGAAAACATAATGTAAGAAAAGCTGTAGGACATGTCATTCAGGGCAATGGAAAGAACGACCGGCGACGTTAGAATCTTCTTGTAAGGTACTTTGGGTTTCTTTTGCTATAATAAACATCCCGTATTTTTCAGTTTACCATGCATATGTTAAAACCTCAAGACATCAGAATTAATATTTCACCTGCCATTTTGCTCAACGAGGTCTCCACTTCCAGCTTTTGGTTCAAATATTTCTTTTCTTTCTGGCCAATCCAAGTGCATTCATTTGGAGTGTTGGCCAAGAAAATGCCAATCAAAATCACCGCCAGAATCGAGACAAGGCCTAAATTTGAAATAATTAAGAAAACAAATAGAAGCTTCAGCCATGTTGTACCTGCTCCATAAAAGATAAATGGCCAGCCGTCCCAAAGATCGATCAAGCAAAGTTCTGGAGCCACTAGCGCGTTAACAACCACTGCCAGTTGAGCGCCACAGGTGTAAGTGGCTGCGGCTGTACTCCGCTCTGACGGCGGAAACCATTTCGCGACGACAGAGGTGATTGCTGGGAATATCATGCCCTAAAATAATGGGCATTTCAAAGCACAAATGATTTACATCCACAAATCCCATAGAAAATCGACCACCAACGAAGGCGTAGTAATCCAAGTTCGCAAGAAGCGGTGTTGCAATCGTCAATGCTGCGTAGATCACAACCGAAGTGAGGATAATATACTTGGCATTGAACCTGTCGGCCAGTGTTCCGCTGATTGGGATTGTAAAGAGAGAAGTGTAGAACAGGGCGGACACAAGAAAACTTTGTTGAAATGTCGACCATTCGAATTTGCCCTGAAAAAGAATTCAGTATGTCTTGAATCTTGGGATCTGCAGCTTACCTTGTAGCCAAGTTGAGTTGAACTTTCCTCCAACGCTGGGCATTTGTCAACGAACGGCTTTGCCATTGACAACCCGCTTTCCCCGCCGCTGTTAGTTTCCTCAATGGCTGTCGTGTTCACCATACAAACCAGTGCTATTCCCAAGTTCGTTTGAAGAAAGAAATTGAGAAAACAACACAAAGTTAGCAGTAAGAGCACGTATAACCTCCATGATTTGTAATGGTACAAAGGTCGATGGAGTCTTGATTCCTTCATTGTGAGATGAATAAGGAATTAACGCAAATAATAAATGTTAAGTTTTACTATCATAGGTATAGAGATCGGTACATAAAATAAAACAGAATTCGAACGCTTTATCAAAAAAGGCCTGAAGGCAGGTCGTACAACAGGGATTAATCTTTTGTGGTCAATCGATGATTTTTTTGCATTTATAACGCCGCATACAGAGTAAAAGAGGTGTATTGCAATGAATATTGAAGATTATCATGTACTGGCTCCAGTTCAACTGATCGACCCTGCAACAAATAAAGCAGTAATAACATTATAATACTATCAGATTTTTTGCTGATTTTTGTAAGATGCCGTTGTCAGAGTAATTTCAAGGGTATTTATGGCGACTTAAACAATCTTTATTGCGATTATAACAACTAATAAATACGTCATAAGATTAAAACCGTTCCACAGTTTCAACTTCTTCGATTACTGGCTGGGTCTCTGGATTTTTGGCCCATGGCTGGATCTCGGCTGAAATTTGGAGTTATCAGTGAAGAGCACACCTTTATAAGGCGTGTTCTTGCAAATTAAGCCTATCAATCAAGGTGTGTCCGAGCTCAAATTGAACAAAAATAAATTTGAAAATGACTTGAGACTACAATAGAACAAAGCAGGAGTGCTTGTAGAGCTTCGTGTTCTGACCCTTTGCAAGGCAACGTACCCGAACCAAATAGCACAAAGAGAATACCAGCCACAAGATTGACACCAGCCGTAAACAGGAACACATTTCGATATTCTTCTTCAGTATTCTAAAGCAAAAAAACAGTATAGCTTCATAATTGTATCAAAAAATTTCCTGTAGTCAACGAATACTTACGTGAACATTCAACCAGGAGAATACGGCCGGAGCTGCAATAGCCGCCAGCATTCCGACGAATGTCGCGCACGAACTGACGGTTCCCACAAACGGTGGCGCAATGTACAAGATCGCTGTGAATGCACCCGCAATCTCCGCGGAAAATGTGCAACCGAAAAGGACTAGCAAAACCAACGCCAACGTCGGGGTTGAACAGTCGACTAGCAGGGCGATGGCAACGAAGATTGCTGCCGTCCCCAAGCAGGCTGCAAACAGAATCGGTTCCTTTAGTAGTTTTATAACCGAAATATGTGATCTCTCGAACGACCCAATTTACCACGACTTTTTGCAAAGGCCAGAATACTACAAGTATCATGCCTCACCTTACCATATGTTTGCATAATCTTGCACGTTGCTGTAACCGACAAAATCCCTCTGTCTTTGATGTAATCGGCGGCCGACGCTAATGGAACCTTGGCTACAACCATCATTATGAATGGCAACGCTGTGAACAGTCCATTCTAAAATTGAAAAACTTGAAGTGTCCAAGGATGATTTCGTTCTATGCCTGATAAACCCACATCATTCAAGCTGACATGCATCACGTCGCGGAAGAATGCCGGTAAAAATTGCGAGAACATGATGTATGAGAAGTTGTATGAAAAGTCATTGGCTGCGACCGACCAAACAACTGGCGATGTTAAGATTTTAAAATACGGTACTCTTAACCTTTTTCCCATGTCGTCCAGGGATCTTTCCGAATCAAGCTCGCTTGCCAAATATTTGCACTCTTTTTTGCCAATCCACCTGCATTCAGCTGGGGAGTTGGCCAAAAATATACAAGAAATTACAATGGAAATCAATGAGATTATGCCTGCAAAACTTTGAATTTTTCGTTTTCAGCAGCTCTCTTAACTCACCAGCAACATAAAAAATAAAAGGCCATCCATTCCACAGGTCAACCATGCATAATCTCGGGTTGACTAGTGAATTGACGACGACTGCTATCTGCGCTCCGGACGTGTAAATGGCGGCGGCCGTACTCCGCTCTCTCGGTGGAAACCAACGAGCAAGAACGGATGTGATGGCGGGGAAAATTAGACCCTTAAAGATTGTTAAATATATCAGCTGCCATTGAGTACGAGCTAAAACCTTTTAGAGTTATACTTTGCGCCAAATGTCTACGTTATTGACCGCATACTAAGTTTGATTAAAGGATGCTTGCTCTTTTACAAAATTCAACACTTCAACTTACGCTAATCCCTGTCAAAGTCTCAGTGTCTCGCTTTTACGATTCAAAGTGAGGAGTCCGGTAACCGGAATAGACACTTTGCTATCGGTTTTTTACACTTCGTCTTGATTTCATAGAGAAGACAAAGAAAAGATGCGCCAAACATACTCTCTCGCCCTAAAAATTCCCCGTTTCTTCCCCACTAAAAAGTTTTTTCGCATCTTTTTTAGCGAATTGCTTGCTAAACCATTGACCCAATCGTTTGAGCGGATCTCAGTTCGACGTGCGGCGTCCTTTGTACTTACATCCACAAATCCCATAGCAAACCTTCCTCCGAGGAAGGCATAGAAATGTAGACCAGCTAGAAGCGGCGAAAGGGTTGTCAACAGTGCGTATACACACATGGCAAATATAATGATATGTTTGGCATTGAATTTGTCAGCTAAAGTTCCACTAATTGGAATTGTCAGCAAGGAGGTGTAAAACAAAGCCGACACCAGGAAGCTTTGCTGCCACGTTGTCCACGTGAAGGTACCCTCAAAATTATCGTGATGTTAGTTGGTTCTACTATGTGCTTACTTTATATCCCAGCTCATTGTTTTCCTCTTCCAATGTGGGGCACTTGTCCAGCTCTTCTTTGCGTTCGAAGAGTGAAACATTTTGCAACAGCAAATGACTCTCATCCCCTTCGATAGCTGTGGTGTTGACCATGCAAACTAATGCGATTCCAAGGTTTGTTTGGAGATAAAAGTTGACGAATACACATAGTGTTAGCAGAAGCACTGAAAAAAGGAAGTTTGAGATATTTTAATAAATCAATGTATATATATGGAAGGAGTTGCAATGGAAAACAGTTTTGTCTCTACTGAGCTATCCGAGGTACTATCTTATCACATAATCTCTCTTGACGAGACACAACGCGGAATTTGGAGTGCGATAAGAGGAAAACGTTTGTTTGGCAGCAGATTTGCCAGTTCCTCGAGGAAAAATTATGTTTTTGGCAACTGTTACTCTAGTCTAGTGAACATTTTTATGCCATAGCAACAAAGATTGTGGACGTTTGACTCCGACCTAAAAATATCGATTGTTTCCTAACTTACAAACATACAATCGCCAAGCCTTGAAATGGTATAAGGGACGATTTTTGGTAACCGTCTGCATGCTGAATGCCCCTATTTCCTCTGCAAAGGTTATTAATGTCCGTCCAAAAGTTCGAAATCCAGACTTTGCACGGCTTTAAATATTCCAAAAACTGTTTTTCAATGCATTCAACGATTCGGATTAAGCCAAAAGGCGAAAAAAGCAAACGGGACAAAAGGTCCGTTGATTTGAATAAATGATATGACGACATTCTAAAACGTGATAGAGAGTTTTATAAAAGGACATTTTGTAGTTTAAGGAAGTTTTTTTCAAGTTCTACAAAGTCTTCAAGATTTTCTTGAGTTTCAAATAGGACGCAAATGCATCAAGATTTTAGCTGACGCTTTGCAGGCGCAGCCATTAAAAAATGTGCGTGTTTGGAAGCGTTTCTGTAAATAAAAAATAGCTAAACAACGCAGTTGCGTCATTTTTTTTAAATTTGTTTCTCAAAATTCAAAGCTAATGTAAAGAGGATTCAGCTGTCACTTAAAACAGTAAGCAAGGACTGTTCAGATAAGACAAAGTCCGCCAAAAATCGGAACCAGACGAATGCAAGCACACAATTCAGAAGACATAAATATTTAGATTGGTTGATTTGAGAACGTTCTCTTTAAGCCTAAATTTGTAAGATGTTTTTTGTCAGAAAAACGTTAAAAAAGTTGAAAGAAGCACTAAGAAAATGCGGCCATGGATAAGTTTGAGTAAAAAAGAGCCCGTTTTTTACAACGGTGCCAAGAGAAGAAGCTAAAGGCTGCATAAAATATTTGAAAAAAGAGCGAGACACTTCCACAGCAAAATGATGAATTTCAAGTTCAAAAAGCGTGTTCAAGGTTTTTTAAAAGTTTACAGGCAGAATAATACTATCAACGTGTTCAAGCTGGTTCGTTAATCGATCCCTCTCAAATCCCAGAAATATTAGCCTCAATGGCAGCCGAATCAATCGTCGATCTTTGCCGCCAAGAGAATACGCAAATGGCGGTGGATGGCCAGAAAAAACGTTTCTTGGCCATGCACGTCAAACAGAGATAAGCTAAAACAGTCCGGTGAATGGATTTTCAACTTGCCAACAAAAGATGCGAAAAAACGTTTTGTCGGGGAAGAAGTGGGGAACGTTTGGGGCGAGAGAGTGCGCTTTTGCGTGTATTTTTTCTCTCTTTCTCTGTGAAATCAAGGCGAAGTGTAAAAACCGATAGCGAAGTGTCTATTCCGGTCACCGGACTCCTCGGTTTGACGTGCCATGTCCCCATTATTTGCAGAAAAAATTGATTTATTGTTGATTTGTTAGAAGTGGGCTCTTGAACTTCACGCAAAAAATTGCTTTCCATGCCAAATTTTTGTGTTTAACCTTTCCGTTGTTCTCTGAAAACATCCCTTACTTCAACCGTAGGAAAGAATGTTGAAATATTATACAACGGCCCACTTGTAGGTGGTAGGGCTGAAACAACCTCGCAACTTTTTAATCTTGCAGTGGCTCTAGTTGCCACGAAAATGCGAGCTCCGCTGACCTCCAATTATCTGCAAGAACATTCAGGTTTATCCACAAGAGCCGCCAATATGACATGCTTTGCTTTGCTGTCCTCTTACATCAAAAAAGCACTTTGTGTTCTCCTGAACGACTATTTTATGTTGTTTGTGCATTTCTGTTTACCATTCTTGTAATTTACCTGCCGCTAAATGCAAAAATTTGAATGCACCTAATTTTATTTTAAACTCTTAGTTCTTGACGTTGCGTTGAGGCGTATTACATTTTGTTCATTCTATGCCGGTTGGCTGTTTGAAAAGTTATATTATCAGTACTTTTAGGCCTTTGATTGTCGGACATTAGACTTATTCGTCTGTGTCGAGCCCATTTTGCAGGGCCAGTTGTGCCTGAAGTGTGGCCAATTACATGCTTTGTCTGCCAGTTCTAGAATCCCAGAGCAATTTTAATCCAGGTAATCCCCCAGTTAAAAGTGAAAATGTATCAGGCACACAGAACAAAGTCTATTTCTATTTCGGCGGTTTTCGGCTACTTATCCCTTTTAATGAAACAAAGAATGCCCATTTTTAGAAATGCCGTAGGCACCGAAACATCTTTGCCTTTGCGGCCACACATTTTTATGCCCTTCAGGCGTTTCTTTCCAGGCCTCACGCTTAAGTCATTCAAATAATTTCCCTTTCTTTTATGAGCGCCAAATACAATGGCAGCGCAGAGGAAGGGCTGAGGTGCCAGTCAAGTGCGAAAGCTGGTATATTTTGGGAGCTGCGGAAAAATATTTTTCTAACACTGGAAGTAGCCCAAGTGCGACACTCAAAGTTTGATGAAACTGTGTAAAGATTTAGAATTTTTTAAGACATGCGACATTTGTCTTAAAAACGTTTTCTCTCTGATCGATCTCTGCGGTTCTCCACAGCAAGACGGTTCAATATTTCTGCAAAGCGCGAGTTGTACCCAAATTTACCTTACGCTTGAAAAAAACCCACGCTTTAATGTTATGTTTCATGTTTATGCCGCAATTAGACCCTTATTATGAAATTTTCCAAAAACTAGAGCCCAGTAAGCTTTAATATTCAATTACCATAGATAGCGTGAAAATAAAATTATTACTTTTGCCTATAGCAATAATATTTTTAATTGAGGAGTTCATGTCCTTGGAAAGATTTCTTGCTTCTACTGTAAATGCGTTTTAAGAAGTTACTCTGTATAACATTTTACCACATCCTCAAGTTCAGGGGCATTCATTACGTCAACATCTTCAAACTCCCCCATTTCGCTTTGCTGGCCTCTTCCTCATTAATGTACTTGTTGCAATTTACTTTACTTTTTCGTCTTTTTACTCCGGCTTTACGAACAAAAGTGTGCACTTTTCAACTTAAGGCTGTAAAATACTCTAAGCTCTAGCTGAATGGGGAATGCATGTAGACTATGGTGCGTACGGAATGGCCATCAGGCTAGAAGTGGAATTAACCATTTGTTCTGTTCTTTGATTTTTTTGCTATTTCTTAAAAATGAAAAAAGGCGGTTTTGTAGAAACAATGCTATCACAGGTAAAAGCCGTTAGCTTTTTGTGCATAAGCTCAAAAACATGCAAAATTCCACCAACTTTCGAATTAAAGTAGTCACTTGCTCCGGAAAAAGGGCGAGCTTGGAATTGCGCACATTTTTTACAAAAATACTTATTAATTTTATTATATTTGTTTTTTATTTTCTTCAAGTCTTGCATCTTTCGCAACGCTTATAATGATCGTTAAGGTTATAATATTTCCATTGCAACTTGCTTATACGACTTCCTAGAAATTTTTGAAAAAACTGCACGCATTGGCTTTATTTGGCCAATTTTTGGACCAAAAAAACAAACAAAACTCTGCCTTCTTTTCGCTTTACACTCGCAGGTGCAAAGTGGATGTGAAATCGGATTGTGTGTAAATTAATAATGGCCTCGGGTTTTCTTCCAGGGAAAAGCATTATTGGGTTACGCTTTAAGATTTGTGATGGTGTCTGAAGCGAGGGAATACGGTCAATTGTTGTGGTAGTCCCACCGGAGTTCTACATAATTCTCACGGTGCGTGCAGATGTTGGGTGTGTGGATTTACCAAGCACTTCTCCGAACTTGGTTTGTTATAGAACAGGCCTAACATATATTTCTGTAAGCAGGCCCCCATTTCAAAGGTGACATGTTTATATATAAAAAATCTGACAAGAGAAGTGTTTCAAGTGCGACGGTCAGACTGTTTTCAAACTTGGCAAGGCGCCAGACACGGACCACATAATTTCCTTTTCCTGAAATTTTTCGCTGGCGCTTTGCAAGCATAGTTATTCAACAACCGAGAGAGAATGCAAAATGCTGACAAAGAGGGCGATCCGAAAGAAAATCGCGTTCTGCCCATATCTGTGCTTGTTTCGTGCGGAAACAATTATTTTTTTGTGGAAACATTACCCTGTACAGTAGAAATAGTCATGCAACTTTTTCATAATTCGCATAAAATGTCGCATTTTTCCAACCTTTGATCTAAAAATCTCGGTTGCTTCGGCAAAGTGCAAGACCGCAGTCACGGATATAACGTAAAAACATTACATATTCTAGATTTGTGCCAAGTTTCACCAAAATCTGAGCATCGAACTAGGGAGTACTTCCCCTTGTGAACAGAACCGAGCCCTTTATCCAACAAATATAATATTTTTTGACCCTAGTAAGACTTTAATGATTTTACGATTTTGCTCTCGTTTTTGTCTCCAAATTTCCTTCGTCAGAAAACTGTGAATTCCATAAATTGACGTGCTACTTTTCCCGCCTCTTGTTCTTTGCATTCCAAAGCAATTCCAGGAGATTTATTTATTTTGGCGCCTTTTTCTTGTCGAAAACAAGCCCGGAGAGCCCGGAAAAATGATTATCCCGCGAAAACGGTGGCTTCTTTGGTATTTGCAGTCCAGACTTCAACGAGCAATTGTTTTCAGGTCGAATTTATTCTGGCACTTTCATTTAGGGCTCTTTTTCGTCTATGGCTGAGGGGTTCGGGGTTAGCCGATTATCTATGTAATACATTGAGACGGAAGGATTTGATCGTAAGATTGACCTCGTTAAGAAAGATTTTTTACAGCGTTTTTAAGTGTATTTGATATGAAAATTCACCCGACATCTTGCCCATCCATTCCGCATAGAATGCACATCAATTTCCAAGGTTTTATCTCGCGCTTGCATGGGACAGCTGAGATATTCAATGATCTCTAACAAATGTAAGGACAAGAGAGCACGGGAAAACAAGGGTGCGGTCGTACAGGAACTTCTTTTAGTTTGGCAATGTCGCACCATAGTTTGGATGAAAAAAAATTAATTTTTATAAAAACCGGGAATTATCCCATCAGAGACAGAAACCAACAAGAAAAACTTGCACCAATTTTTACATATTTTTCTTTTTTTTACGTTATCACAGTTGTCATAGTATGAGATTTTCAATTTCATACAAACCAAAATCAAATTTTTTCTGCATGAAATTCTCAAAGAAATTCTTTTTCTCTTGCCACTCTCCTCGTTTTTCGTGCTCTCTCGACGGTAAGGAACTCTGCAGCTAAATCTTTAGAGCATTTTTTGTGGTCAAAGTAGGTAAAATGCTCCTCAGTTGAAGAAAATGTGATCCTCCTATAAATGGCTTAAAAAATTCATTGCATGTAATGTCAAATCTTGTTTTCGCACTCTTTCCGAAACCTTTATTACTGCCACTCTACGTGTGGGAAAGGGAATTACTCATGCTTTAAACCCTTCATGTACGATTGCGTCCCCATAAATATTGGGTTCATGCGCATTACAAATTAATTTCGAGTATTTCTCTACGTTCTCCTCTGGGAAAACATAAATAGGACAAAGGAAATATCGAAAAAATAGACCTCAAAAGTTTTCCAATTTTTGGCATTGTTTGAGCTCAACGAGAAGTTCGAAAATGACGAGTATATTTGTTCGGAACCTCTTTGCAAAAAATTTTGGGGAAGTTATCGCGTGCCTATAAAATTTATTTAATGCTGTTTTGACACAGCTTACCAACGAATTTTCAAGTGAGGAGTTGGCCGTGTTACGGTCAATTTTTAATGAATTTTGGCGCTAATTTAGATTACCCTTTTCTAATTGCAAGACGTATGCAATAGCTTCAAACTGTATCTTCCAAAGACAAAAGATATTGTTTTGCGAAAATCGAGGGAAAGGTGAAATTTTTCGCAAATTTTAGAATCAAAAACTTCAGCTTATTTCTACCTCAAAGATGAATTTTTCAACAATAAAAACTTTGAAATTTGCATATCAATGTTTGCACTCGTTGCTCTGGTTTTATAAAACAAATGAGAGTTTTCCTCCGCTTTCCCACGCTGAACCCTAATTTTGCTCGTATTTTGTTGGAAAAGTGCTTTCCCGGCATAAGTACACATTTATAATCATCTATTACCGGTCCCAACGGTTCGTATTAAAGACCCAGCTGGAGAAAAGCATAAATTATAGTCACCAGAGATGCTGGAATTTCGCAAATTTCATACTTGTTTTTGCCTTGCGTGCCGGTAGGGAGTTATTTATAGATTAATTATGCGAGACGTCTGCAAGATTTGTTGATTTATAGGTTGCAGAATACAGAAGCGCCGGGGTTGTTAGTCCGAAAACTATTATCATTGAATTTTTTCGTTTTCTTCGCAAACACAAGCTTAAACTTTCATGGCCTAGGCATTCGCAAATTTCCTTGCAGCGAGTTCCATCCAAAACTGACAATTTAAGCCACATATTTCTCGATATTTCCTTATAAAACGCCATCTCTATAGAGATATATGGGACAAACCTCTCAACAAAAATTTTAATCTTTCCCAATAAACTTTGGATAGGCTCTTATTGTCACCACTAATGCATAGCCGACAGCATTGAACTAGCCCACGCGTTTTATTTCGGCTTTAATTCGATTTGAGTTGTATTGCGTTTTCTGGGCTTTGTTTATTCGAGCCGAATCCTTTGAAGCCATAATTTCGCATTGTCCTTTTCTTCGCTGCAAATGTCTAACTGGATTCATTGTTAATCCTTTTTTTTCATGAAAAGTCGCAAATCGTTTCTTTGAGTTTTACTTTTTTGCCGTCAAAATAATTTTTTCTCATATACATATTGGTGGTCCGGCACTGCGTAACTATGTGATTAGCGGCTTAATCCGCCTGAAAAAAACTAAAAGGACATTACTTTTCCTTATGCCCTCAGGGCTGTTTCTGCATTTGGCATTTCTCAAATTTGGGATTAGTCTGGTCAGCGCGATTGAACGGGACAGACTTTGGTATATTTTAGTTGCTGTTCCATTATTTTAGACCTTTTTCTAGTCAAACCATGGGGTTTGATGAAACGCCAACGTGTCATAGCTCTTGAAAAAATGAAACTTAATTCGCGCCGGGCCTCATAAAGATATAAGTGTCTTATTTCGAGCACTTGGTACCAATACACCATTGAAATCATTTGATCTCACCAAATCCTTGCTGCAACCCCTTTATGACACCATTTCATCGCCTTTCCAATCAGCTGTTTCTATTTTCGTCCGCCCTTTTAATCAAATTTTTAATTTGCAATCGCCTTTGCTTTAAAAGAATTCGTTGTGTCGGATCATCAATCATAAAATTTCTGAAAAATTTCTCGCCTTCGCCTTTCTTTCTGGTCGTTTGGCCGCATTTATTTTAGAATGTTAATTGCTTGAGGGCATGTTTATCAATGTTTCCTTGAGAATTTATTTGCATTTTGTATGAAGTAGACCTTTTGGGATGTTTACGAATGAAGTTTGTGGGAAAGTTTGACTACGTGCTTCTTCAGGAATTGGCATTAGAACAGAATCGAAGATTAGACAAAATCGGATGCAGGCTTGAGAAGCGCCTATGCCTAAGCTGAGCCATGACAAAAGTGGACGCATTCTGCAAAAATAAATTCTGATTTTTTCCGGCAATTTGAATGCGGCACGTCAAAATGAGGAGTCCGGTGACCGGAATAGACTTTTCGCTATCGGGTTTTTATTCTTTGTCTTGATTTCACAGAGAAGTCAGAGAAAAGACGCACAAAAACATGCTCTCTCGCCCCAAAAATTCCCCATTTCTTCCCCAACAAAAAGTTTTTTTGCACCTTTTTTTGGCGAGTTGCCGATCCGTTCACCGTACCGCTTTAGCTCACCGTCAGTTTGACGTGTGCGGCTCAAACACCATTTTGCATTTTTCCAACGGTATTTGACGTCTCTCCAAAATTTTTGATCAGCAATTTTTCCGTTTTTGCATGATCAATTACCTCACAAATCAACCAATCCCAAAAAACAAATTTTGAAAATTTCGCTCAAAATCCCCCTTCAAATTGGCCGTTTTACATGCCTGATTACTCTCTTTTTCCTCTCGATGTTACATTCCACTCACATTAAGTTGTTTTCAATTTTAATTTTTGGGTTTTGCCTCGAGGCACAAACTCGTTCCGCTTGATTTGATTTCTTCAAAATTTCTTGCCAAAAGAGGAAATTTCTCTTGTTGTTTTCAGAGTGTTCTGGAGACGGGAGTGGCAGCCGAGCGGACATCTTGTACGTGAGCTTTGGAAGTGGGCGACAGGAACATAATTGGAGGCGAAACTTTTTGATTACGTGATATTTGATGGATACAACAATATTTTTGTTGGTGATCTTGGCTGGAATTATCACTGGTAAACTTTCGAAAATTTGTAACAAGATAGAACAGGTCTTCTTGCGAATAAAATTCTCAACCTTAATAAGTCATCAAGTCAATTTTTTTTTTGCAAAATTGACTGAAGTCTTTGCAGCAAGTTTTGGGTGGAAAAAAGATTTTTGTTGAAAGGTTGCGACAAATAGAACGCAAATTTTTCACTTTTTAAAATTAAAAAAATTATCCAAATTTCGGACCCGAACATTTCTGCAAAGCGCAATCAAAAAGGCTCAAATTTATCACATCAAAAATCTAATTCGATTTGAGTTTGTAGGATGTCTTGAAAAAAAACTTTTTTGACGATTTTTTTCAGGAATTCTCTTGCCATTTCTCTTCATCCTCTTTTGTATTTGTGTGGTTTGGCCCCGTTATAATGGACCTCCATGCCCCAACGATGGTGAAAACTTGATACATTCTGGTCAGAGGCAGGGTAAATATTATTTTTACTCAATTTTAAAGCTTTTAAAAATTATTTTTACCTTGAATTTTAAAAATTTCCAATAAAAAAAATATTTTCATTTTCAGACTGGGACAACTCCCCTTCCTCGGACTGTCAAATTACCTCGCCTGGAGTGGAAGAAGGCTTAACAAGATCGGAAACAGTAAGTAACTACATGACATTTGTCTGTATCATACAAGTAGTAATTAAATCTTCATATTGCATTTTTTCACTAATTTCGCTGCAGAACCCAATTATTACCAGTAAAATGCCGTTGGAGATCAATCCTATGACCATATCCACCTCGACCGAGATGTAGATCATATACATATATATATTGCTTAAAATCACCTTAAAAGTGAAAGTTCAGGGGAAAAGACTCGGGTATTTTATTCCAAACTTCAAATGTCCAAAACATCTTTGAAGTTCATATCAGAAAATGTCCAAAACTATGTATTTTTTATTGACGTCAAATAAACTACTATTTTGTCACGGATTTTTATACTTTTCTTGAGAATAAATAAAGAGTATCCAATAATAAATAGAATACGGTAAAAGTTCCTTATTCTGGCCGCAATGTATAAAAAAATGTGATTTCATCCCAAATTTGTATTCGTTTCCGACTGTCCTCAAATTTCCCATTTTTCACGGCCATACCGGCTTTCAACCGGTCGTTTTCCATTCACGGATTCCATGAACTGACTGAGATCTTCCTCTCCAACCACTGACTACTATTTTCTTCCACTAAGTGAGTAAAAAATTCGAAAAATTTTTGCAAAGTCCTTAAAAATCATATTTTTAATTTACAGGGGAAGTACTCCAAGTGCGACGCTCAGATTTTGATGAAACTTGGCACAAATTTAGAATAATGTTTTCTAAGATATATGCGAGAATCCTAGCTCGCGCTTTGCAGAAACAACCGAGATTTTTAGATCGAAAGTCGGCGAAAATTCAGGACTTTTTGCCGAATTTCGGCACGAAAAGTTTCATGCCTATTTCAACTGTAAAGGATAATGTTTCTACGAAAAATCAAATTTTTCCGCACGAAACTGCCAAAGTTATGGCCAAAAAGCACTTTTCTCTCTGGCCGTTCTCCACGTTTAGCGTGCTCTCTCGACGGCAAAAATCGTAAGATATCTCGGCGGCGCCCGCAAAGCGCGAGCTAAAACTTTCGGGAATTGATATTTGATCCATACCCGACGTGTGTGCAAAATTTAAAGAAAATTTGAGCGTCGCACTTGGAGTACTTTCCCTGTTAGTTCATAATTTTGATGACAAAACTAACATTCCCTTCCAGCTATGGCCGTTTTGTTGATTTTGTTCTGGAATCTGGCGTTGACGGGTTTCTGGTTCTCGGTGGCGGCCGCTGGCGTCAAAAGGACCCGGGATTGGTGGAAACAAAGGGCTCTGGAGAATCGGGAGGCAAAGAGCTCGGGAAATGTTCAAGACAAGAATGAGACGGGGTCGGTGGAATATGAAAAAGTGAATCAAGAGAGTGGCACCAAAATTCTCAAAAAGAAGGTCAGAGAGAGGTACGATCTTTTCGGATTTTGGAAAAAGTTCCTTATTTTGGCCATAACAAAGGTACTCCGCGAACTGCGCCCAAGCCTGGGCACTAAAGTTAGGAAAAACGCTTCGACCTAGCTGGCACTGAATTACAATAATAGCTCTATAGTTTTAAGGGTACCTACGAAGGCTGTGACGACTCATTTAGTTCCATACGGAGTCAATAAGTTTAGTTCCGGACATGTTTCACCGTATAAAATGTAAAATCACAGGCTGCAGCCGTTTTTGAAGGGTAAGGTGGTACTGAAAAAAGAAGGTACTTCACTAACTAAATTCACTGTCCGGGCATTGACAACGATGAATTGAGTCTGCACGCTAAATTTGGGCCATTTCCGACCAGTTTCCGCAAAGTTATAAGTTGTGGCCAAAATACGGAACTTTTACCCGGATTTTTACCGACCATTTCATTTTTTGGGTTTATTGTTTAATTTTCAGTGTAAATGCCCCAAATGCCCCCAAAACTCCAGACAACAGGGGCGGACGTAAGAGATCCAGCGGAAACAGGAAGACGAATCCGGCTCAAGACCAATTGCCAAGCCTCAAGTCATAACCGGAAGATCAAAAACAGCATCAGCCATTAATTTGCCCATTTTTGGAGAAATAAATTACTGACTTGTCCATGTCTTTGCACAAAAGTTGTGAAATTATTAATGCAAAAAATTGCCAGAATTAAATTCAGTCAGGAAGAATTTCAAAAAAATGTGATGATTTCGACACGAATTATTAAATTTATATATGATCAAACATTCAACTTCCAAACGAATGGTCATATGCAACGAGTTGTGAGCTCTTCCTTGTGGACTCGAGCAGTGTTCTCTGTCCTTGCCAGCCAAAATAAACCTTGGAATTACTCATGTTTCACGTATCTCTTGTCCATTCAAATTATCTTGAATTATCTCGTGGAGAGACGGGGTAATGTGCACCCGTGAAACATGTTATTTGCAAGTTATGGGAAAGAGCACTCCGTGGATACGGGGCTGCTGTTTAGTTACAGGTGAAGATTTTGGACTCTGATGGATTTTACTGAAGCAATTTTGAAAGTGGAAAATCTTGGTGCACAGTGAGCTTGTTTTTCTCTAATTGTAAGGCATATTCGAAACGTTTGCTCTGTGGTATCACGAGTAAGTATGGTTCTGAAAGTTGGCCAGAATTTATCGCCTTTTCGCAAGTTTAAACATACAAAATTTAGCCTTATTTCTATTGGAAAGTACGATATTTTTTATCATACAAAAAATAGAGCCTTCTGTATAACGGTGGCTAAGATATGGCCAAGTAATATTTTTTCTCTGGCCTCTCTCCGCAGTTCGTGACTAAGCGGGGGAAAGTCGTTGAATTTCTCGGCCGCCCCTGCGAAGAGCGAGCTAAAATTTTAAGAAATTCATATGTGGGTAATAAGATGCATGAGAAGCCATGAAATTTTTGTTGTTTTTCATTTTTGTTCCTCTTGACCTTTATATTTACCCATTATTATGACTTATCAATTTCACAATTCTGACAATTCCTTATGCATTATATGCCATTATTCGCACTTTTACTGCAAATTTATTCGACCCGAACTCCTGTCTCTATGCAGAGCATAATAAACGGATAAAAGAGTCCAGTCTTGCCCCTAAGTATTCTCCCTTTTTTTGAGTTTAAATTAGTGATATTGAGAGACTCAGTTACACCTGTGCCCCCTCTTTCAAATGTAATGCACATGTGATATTGCTGGCCTGAATTTCATTTCGCTAAAAGGTTAAGGAGTTGAATTTTTGGGTCCCATTCGGATGAAGTCTCTGAAACCTGCATTATAATGCATTTCTATTCGGGCAAATCCGGGTGGCATTATGTACAGATTTGTGGTGTTTTACATATATGTAAAAAAATAAAAGAACGGAATTTGGGATGTTTTTGGGCATTAGAGATAAATTGCAACGGTCCAGACCTATTCTCATGGCTTTAAAGAAATTTAAAATTTACTTGTTTGGTTTGCATCACCTGTGAAACTTCACGTATGAACCAATTTCCTTTTTGGCTGAGTGCAAAGTGCCAGTCAAAATTTTCCGTAATTGTAAGATGTAATTTATTTTTAGCCGTTTCAAGTTCTAGTATGGGACACATTTGTCCGACGAATTTCGACATTGACACGACAGGAAACACACCGGAAGATTTATATTTGTAAACCCGCTCGTTTGACATCTTTGACCATTTCTGGGCTATTCTTTGGAGTTTTCCATTGTTATTTGGAGACGTCGGGCAATGGAGTCCTTTAAAGTTGCATATTCCAGAAGTAAGTTTATTTTTGATTAAAACGCAGAAAAGAAATCACAACCGACTCACTGGAGAAGGTGTGTTGTACTGAGGTTCATTTTCACGTGATTGGTTTATATAGGACCACTAAAATTGCTTGTTACAGACGGTTCTCGCTATTGGCGCACTTATTTTTTAATAAAGCGTTTAATCCAAGTTCAACAATACATGTTTATAATCAAGTTATCTCAAAATGCGCCTCCCATTGAGCGATTCTTCTTCAGTCTTCTGCCTTTCTATCCATTTAAAGTCCTTTTAATTTCTCCAAAGATCCAGCATGTCAGCAGTATGCATGGTTCATTATTCGGCCCATTGAAGCCCTTTCTTTTCTCTTAAGACCAATAAGAATTTCATTTTCATCTGAACGAAAAGCCTTCAAGTTTAGATGCCTTATTTTTTCACAGGCTATGATAATCGTCAGACATGGCAATCGCGTCGTAACACTTGCGGGCAGTCAACACAGTGGGGTACCTGATTCAGTGGCAAAAAACGTACCATTTTGCATTCGGGAAGTATCAAAAATGTGGCAAAATGCTTCCCTCTCCAAGTGAAAAAACACCGATTTCAGAAACGCGCCCTTTCCCTCACAAAAAACGCCCTTCAAAACAATTTTTTTCACTTGTAGAGGAAAGCATTTTGCCAGACTTTTGATACTTCTCGGATAATTAGCTATTATTTATGACTCATAGCTCATAATGACCTAAAGCTCGTGTTGATCCCAGCAATCCATTAGTTCCAACTTCTTGTTCTTTATTTTATGCAAGCAGGTGGCCATCATAAACCCGCTTCTCATGTGATCTTTGGGAAAATTTAACGAAGTTTTACTCCGGCTGACTTTTAAATACATCAAATGGCTTCTTTTAGCCTAATGTATAATTGACCATTTTGAAAACAATACCGCAATTTCCCGGAACTCCTTATTTTTGGCTAATCGCATTTTGAAGAAAAGGATGATGACGGTATAAAATGGGCATCTTTGAACGCCCTCTTGTAGGGCATTCATCTTCTTGGGACCTAACTCTTTAGTAATACATAGTCTAAGAATGATCGAGTTTGAAAATCCTTTGTATATTGATGATGATATTGTTGAAGAGCCGGAAGCTTCCAAACAAATCGGTAATCCAGCACTTTCATGGGCTTGTTTCCTGTCGACTTACCGCAGTTTTTGGTGGTTAACCTGATAAGCTAATACCATTCCTTCAGATATGAATGTCCAGCATCACAAAAACTCCAGCACGATGCAGCAGATCATGGAGCTTCAAGCACAGCGCGCGGAATTCAAGTAAGTAGAGACTGGGGTTGAACACACTTAAAAGACGATTTCTGAGTCAGTGCGTCAGCCGTGGACATAGGAAAAAATCGATTTTGAGTTTTTTGCACTAAAATGGCTGTTGGAAGGTGCTAAGCAAAAGCGAACAGTATTTTTTCCCAAAACTTTCATCAAGGTATATTTTTTTACAATTTACTGTTTTAGAAGTAATAGCCTCTAGCTGTCGTACCTTACCTTACTGGGCGATGATTTGACGGTTACTGAAGTTTTTGACCCTTGCGATGACGACGGAATCATTATTTTTCCGATTTTCCTACTGTAACATACCGTAATACCGTATCGGCCGCTAAAAAACGGCCGTAGAATCTTTCTTTCTGAAAATTTCACAGGCGATTTTACGATTTTTGGAATCAGCATAAAATTCTGCTCTAGAGGCAATCAAAAAAGTTCAAAAAAGCTGCGACAAATTTCGTGGTATAGTGGTTAGTGGTCGGGACTACCAATCCAGCGACCCGGGTTCGAGTCCGGCCGGGTGCGAATATCGAAAAGAAGTCCGAAATTAAATTTATTGTGATTCAGAGGTTTGTATATTTTGCCATGAGCAATTATCAATGTCAATGGTAGCTGGATTCGAGGCTAAAACGGGGTTTATATAATTTTAGAGGCTCAATACGTGAAAAAATAAAAGTGCTTCAAACCGGTTGAAATTGATAATACTTATTCTAAGGGCTACTCTAAAACACTTTCTCGTTAACTTTTTTTTGTAACTTACTGTAACATGGATTACTGTGACATGAAATCCAATTTTACTTTTTGCATACCACGGGGCGTAGACAGCTCGGACTTTAACCATATTGAGAGAGATGGTTAATAACGAGTTGGTTTGCATACAAAAATTTTTTATGGCCGCACAGTTTGAAACAACAGAGTTATTTCACGCAGTTTTGTCAGATAGCGATGATATAATGACACACTGGAAATGAAGCGGAAATTTATTTTGTGTACCTATAGTGGACCTTCGTTGCTGTTTGAACGAGCTAGTCAAAAAAACTCGAGACTGGATGCAACAATTTTGAAGAAAATCCCGCTTAAGTACAAAATCTTTATCTTACTGTAGTGCATGGAACAGTAAGCTACCAAAAAAAAGTTAACGAGAGAGTGTCTTAGAATAGCCCTTAGAATAAGTATTATCAATTTCAGCCGGTTTGAAGCACTTTTATTTTTTCACGTATTGAGCCTCTAAAATTATATAAACCCCGTTTTAGCCTCGAATCCAGCTACCATTGACATTGATAATTGCTCATGGCAAAATATACAAACCTCTGAATCACAATAAATTTAATTTCGGACTTCTTTTCGATATTCGCACCCGGCCGGACTCGAACCCGGGTCGCTGGATTGGTAGTCCCGACCACTAACCACTATACCACGAAATTTGTCGCAGCTTTTTTTGAACTTTTTTTGATTGCCTCTAGAGCAGAATTTTATGCTGATTCCAAAAATCGTAAAATCACCTGTGAAATTTCCAGAAAGAAAGATTCTACGGCCGTTTTTTAGCGGCCGATACGGTATTACGGTATGTTACAGTAGGAAAATCGGAAAAATAATGATTCCGTCGTCATCGCAAGGGTCAAAAACTTCAGTAACCGTCGAATCATCGCCCAGTAAGGTAAGGTACGACAGCTAGAGGCCATTACTTCTAAAACAGTAAATTGTAAAAAAATATACCTTGATGAAGGTTTTGGGGAAAAATATTGTTCGCTTTTGCTTAGCACCTTCCAACAGCCATTTTAGTGCAAAAAACTCAAAATCGATTTTTTCCTATGTCCACCCCTAACAGACGGCTGATGCACTGACTCAGAAATCGTCTTTTAACATTCATCAAATGTATTTTTTCTTATTGGTCACAAACAAAATTACGACTACGAACGGTGAAATGTGCACCATGAGAAATGGTGAGATTAGCCTCTCCAGAGCAAACACTAAAGCCGTGGAAACCGGCTTTATAATAGCAGAGGAAAACCCTCATAACCAAATTAATTTCGGCTCTGTCCACACGCTATACATATTCTAATTGTGTCGCAGCTAAACTAAATTTTGCTACAATGGACCTGAACGCACTGAACGCCAATGTTCGTAGGGAGAGTTTGTTAACCATTAACACCTCGATTTCAATAGGAACGTCATTAGACTTTCCGGTCTGTGATAGGTGAGAATAATTTGCACTTAAATTGGTTAGCTTATCAGTCTCTCGGTTAAATAATGAGCGTAATGTCGCTGAGCCAATCGCGTGACTGAAGTGAAAAGCAATTTGAGTTTGCCGCAACACAGCTTCGACGCGATTCTTGCTGCGACAGAGTGCTCATTATTTTCCTTACGCTGTAGAATAGACATGGCTCTCGGACCGCGCCAAAGTGCAGACTAGAAAAGGGCCCAAAGATTTTTTTGAGGTTACCACAGTTCGTTGAGAGAACGACGTCTATATTATAGGACGTCTATCTATAATATAAGTGACAACTTTTAATTTTTTGACTGATTGTTAGATTTAAAATTTTTAAAAATCGTTTCTACAATATTGTATGTATATTGGTCATCTGAGTTGTCATGGCTTTTATCCAACAAAAAAAATTTATTTTTTTTTATTTTTTTGCCAAATTCAATGCAAAAGGAATGTTTTTTCCGGAAGCGAAACGCCATTCTTCATTAAATTGTAATATATTCTGGAAAGGAACAAAACAAAAAAAGAAACGGATGGAAAAGCCTAAAAGGGGGCTCATAAGTTGTCTCTTGAATAAGACAAATTTAAGCTCAGATGTGGCCCAAAGCTCAGGGATTTATAGTTATGTGACTTTTTTCAGCTTTTACCATCACCTTTTGTAATTTATTTATTGCATAAAAGCCGCCAGCCACTTGTAAGTTAATTGGATTTTCGAAAACCTAGACGGCAAATTTAGTCATGAAAACCCTTCAGCGTGCTCTTTTCAAAAATGTTCTGCTTCATGGGGAGCGAAAATGGCATTTCCGTCCACTGAACATTGTTTACTGCTTGTCATCCAGACAAAAATTTTGGAATTTTTTATAATTTTTTGTTCCTTAAGCAAACCACCGTCAAGGTTCAGATTGTATGTTTTGGCTATATCATTTCGGGAAAATAATGTGGATTCGACGTGCTTTGAAGTCGCCCGTCAACGATTTGCGACGGCTAGCCGGGGCTGGAGACTTGGTGTAGCGACAAATCCACATTATTTTCCCGACTGCCTGCTACTTTCTAGTGATCCTTGGTCGTAAAAAAATCGTCTAAACGGATGATGACGAGCAAAGCGAATTCAAAAATTGGGCTGTTTCCAAAGGGAGATTTCATTTATGCAAAGTTGTAAAATTTGAAGTCCATTACTGCGCCAATAAAACAATCTTGTTCTTTCGCGAGTATCACTTTTATAAATTACCATATAAGCAAACAAATTACAGCTTAAAACTCCAAGGAAAGCCGATAAATCATCTGGAATGGTCATTTAACAAGAGATTTATCGACTGCCAAAAAAATGCGGGTTCCGGAAGAAGATGAGGAAATAGATGTGTTGGTTCCTTTTCTATTTTTTTTTGTTTGGGACAATCCCAGTAAATCTCCGGAGATATCCAGAAAGAGACGCATTTAAAACCCTAAGGCATTTTATGCCGTTCGCTCTAAAAAATGCTCCATTTCAGCGCGCAAATGCAATATGGTGGAGATCAGGATTTCAAAAGCAAATTGCAACAGTATTTCCTCGAAAATCATCGTTGGAGTAAGTGCACACTGTTTTTTGTACAACATGAATTAGGGCAGAATAACTGAAAATTTCCGTTTAAGGTTTCGGTATTCGAGCACTAAATTTCACCGTCAAAGTCATGTCCTGTATCTTATATTGCATTCAAGTCGTCTGGAATAGTAGTAAGATGCCGGAACAAGTCAGCAACATATCATTTATTCCGTCGGAATATAACTACCTGATCTGGACTAACCGGGCCGAACCGATTTGGGCCGCCCAAGTCATCGTGGCATTGATATCAATTACGCTGACAATGACAATATTCTTTGTCACCTACAAAGTAACTCACGGTTTTGAACCTTCGGCCGGCAGATTTGTTGATAATTAAACGTTTTTTACAGGGCAGTATAATCCGTTTGTTCACCTACAGTCATTTCTTGCTTGAACTCCTAACGGGAGTCCCATTAATTATTTCGGTAAGCCATAAGATCCGTTGAAAGACAGTTTTTTCGCTTCAGATTTCGTTTGTCGATTTACGATACCTGAATCTGCCAATCTACCTGAATTGTTGGATTGCGGACGGAATCTTGCAGGATATGATTCACGATTACTACCGATCCTCCGTCAAGTACGATATGAAAGTCCTGAACAGGGAGATACAGGCCTTGGTTTCGACGTTGATCTGTTTAATGCTGACTGGCGCTTGCGGAATGGAGGCGTTGCAGCGGGGAGGATCGTCCAAATACGATCTCTTTACCTCTTTCTACTTTGTCGTGGTTTCGTTCTCAACTGTCGGCTATGGCGATGTGAAGCCAGATACCACCCTGAGCAGGTTGTACGTGATGTTGTTGATAATCGCTGGTATTTGTGTGCTGCCGAAGAAAGTAAGTCATTTTAGTTAGCAATTGCAGGCATGTGTGAGAATATGCATACTTTTGCGATTTCTTTAGGTCGAGGCGCTGACTCAAACCTGGCTCGAGAAGGAAAAAGCCGGGTTCGACAAAACCAAGGGATTCTCCCCAACCAGCAAACATATTGTTGTTACTATTCCTACACTTGATGCTGACTTTGTCAGTGACTTCTTGAATGAGTTTTATGCCCACAAAAAACATCAGGTAAGACCAAGAATTTCATCTAATACCCCGTCATGTTAAGGGATTTATGGTCGTCCTTCTATCACCTTGCGAGTTAGACGTTGGCATGAAGAACCTCCTACGAATTCCGCTCTGGTCAGATCGAGTCCTCTTTGTCCGAGGCACTGCATTGAAGGACGAAGATCTTGCCCGTTGCAACATGGTCGCAGCCAGAGCTTGTTTCATCCTCAGCTCGAGGAACAACCAAGACAAGAAGATCGCGGTAAGAAGGCTTTTGTAAGCGGTTTAAAGCTCGTCCGTTTCCAGTATTTATGATTAATGGTGCCTCGATAATAAGACAAAATATATTCGGAAGACATAAAAAGCCTGTGGGGGTATAGCTCAGGGGTAGAGCGCTCGCTTCGCATGCGAGAAGTCTGGGGTTCAATTCCCCATACCTCCAACAGCTTTTTTCCAAAAAAATCTTTATTCTATAGATTGTCCACCCTAGGGCGACCGCATTTTTCTTTGAACTATCGTATTTTATTAGATTTTGTTTTAGGACCAACAAACAATTCTTCGATCTTGGGCAGTCAAGGATTATGCTCCAGAAGTGCCACAATACGTTCAAGTATTCCGAACAGAGGCCAAGTTGCATATTGATCATGCTCATATGGTAATTTGCGAAGACGAATTCAAATTCTCACTTCTGGCCAATAATTGCATTTGCCCGGGAATCTCTACTTTTATTACCCTGCTGATGCACACTTCGCAAGGAGAGTAAGTCATCAAAAAAAAGCATATCCACTTCATAGAGAGGGTCAAAAGTCCTCCGAACTATGGCATCGTATATACGGATTCCACTCGGGAAATGAGATTTACGATATTCTGGTCAAAGACAGCAAATTTTTCTTCGATTATGTCGGGAAAACCTTTGCTTACACGTCGTTCCATGCTCATAGAACCTACGGAATATGTCTAGTTGGAGTGAAAAAGGGCGAGAAAGGCAGTCGAATTCAGCTGAATCCCGGCCATCAACACGTGGTTCAGATCAGCGATCGATTTTATTACATAGCGCTGACGAATGAGGAGAGCATCCGAGATTTGCATAAGCTGACAAAGAAACATAACACCACTGCGCACATCGCCAATCTAGGTGAGTTAGAACTGATTTTAGAGGTGGCTTGTAGCCACAGTCTGGCTCATTGCTAAATGTCTTCAGGAAGCCTTGCCATGGACCTGCCGGGAAGTGTAAATGAAAAACGGAAAAGTCGGTTGTCAAAGCTCAAAAAGCGAGCGTTTACAACTTCACAGGATGCGAAACGACACAGTAAGCGGACAGCTGACAGGACGTCAAGTATTGACGCCGTAACCGGTGCTTATGAGCTCAGTTCGGATGATGATATCGCTGACTGTATTTTGTGCCCAGGCATTAGTTGCATAGCGGATGAGTAAGTCTTACGGAGTAAAAAAATAGATTTTTCTGCCAAAAGAAAATATCGGCTTAATTTTTAGCTTATCGGCTTTACGGCTATTTCTGCCCACCGTAAATTTTTAATTCCAGGGTTGTCAAAAGCTACCCGCCGGTCAACGCCTACATTGGCTCCAATCCAACGTTGTGCTACACTTTAAAGGAAAGAAAGAACCATTGTTGCCTGAGGCTGGATGAGGTAGGACAGGAACTAATGAGTATGAAGGATAACTCAATTCATTCCAGCCTTGTGAACACGTTGACTACACCACCGCTACCTCCTACAACTTCCGCAATAAGCCGATTATTGTTGCCGCGGACAAGGCCACTGCCGGACTTTATAACCTCCTCTTGCCATTACGATCATTTTATCGGCCGGTTCACGATCTCAAGCCTATTATTCTGCTCCTCCAACTTGACAACAGTAAAGGCGGGTGGGTTTGGGCACTGTATATTTGAAATTATTCCAAAATTTTTAGCAATCCCAAGCCCAGCGACGCATTTTTGGATGTAATATCGCATTTCCCGGATATTTACTGGATGCAGGGGAAAATTTCGAAGTCAGTTTTAAAGAAATTATTTTTCAAGTGTTAATTGCATAATCACTAAATAATTTTCAGTTTGGACAATCTTCTGCGAGCCGGAGTCAACAATGCCGAGCACTTTATCGTGGTTAAGCAAGCCAATACTGAGCTGGAAGTTCAACTTGCTGATTGTGGCACGATCGTTACTGTCCAGAAAATCCATAGGTAAGCTGTTTGCTGCACTTTTCAAGCATTTTCAGGATGTTTCCAAATCTCAAAATCACAACCGAACTCGTCTCCGAATCCAACATGAGATTCGTTGAATTCGACGCCAATGATCCGTATGCCCTCCAGCAGTCAAAATACGAGAAAAAGGAGAAGAAACGTGGTTCCAGTCTGGCCTTTATGTTCCGACTTCCGTTCGCGAGCGGCAGCGTCTTCTCCGCGCACATGCTGGATCGTCTGTTGTACCAGGCGTTCCTGAAACCGTATTTGTGCGACTTCCTCAAGATTCTACTCGGCATCGACCAGTCCGCTGGTAGTGGGTATCTGGCGTCGGTAAGCAGGGTTTGGCAATGCTAGGCTTTCAAGAAATTGACAAATTCGGCTTCAAACTTTGCTTCAGATCGAAATAACCGAAGACGACATGTGGATCAAGACCTACGGCCGTCTCTTTCAAAAGTTGTGCTCGTCGGTGGCCGACATTCCAATCGGAATCTATCGGACAATCGACGTCAGCCAGCATCAAAACAACGTCACCATCGAAGTGGATGAGGCGGAATTCGAAGAGGAAGAAAGGGACGAAAATAAATCGTTGTTGAATGAAAATAACAAAGGGAATGTGCAGGATCTTGTGAAACAACGAATGAAGTCATTGCAACTCAACGTTACCCAATACAGTGGGTTTTTTTTTAAGTGGAAGTTAGCTGTTGACGTTATTCATACTACTTTATATATACACATAAGTCATCACCTTTCCAGAAGAAACCCTCGATTTCCGACGGAAGATCTCATATGTGATTATCAACCCATCGTTTGATCTGGAGCTCCATGCAGGCGATATTGTCTACGTGATTAGATCCCCAGTCTCCGAAAGCACTAAAACCAAAAAGATCGACCCGAGAGTCGGCCTGAGGAAAAAGGTGCCTAGCCGCGAATTCCCGCGCTCTGGAGATGATAGAAATTCTTCGATGGATCAGTAAAAGCCCATTGAGTTCGATAACATTGTTTTCCCGGTTGTTCTGACGCGTGTACTATACGATTTTACCATTGATCTCATCAATCCAACTTTTCTTTGCAATATGAATGTCAAACCAACTTGTTGAATATAGAGTAATCAGAAATTAAATGAACCGCTTTGCGGTTCTGCGTCGTAAATACGCATGGTATTTGTCTTATATGTTCAACACTCACCCAAAATGGAAATAACAACAAATACGCACTGATCGTATAAAATGTCGCCGCAGACTGCAACATCAAAAACTCCGCAGCTTGCGCCCATAATAGCCTTCACTTTTTTGCTCTCTTCGATTGGAAGTGGTATGCATAAACAGAAATTTTACTGCGTTGTCCAACACAGCTTCTGATTGACCTTTCGTATTCGGATTGATAAAAAATTGACATAAAAACTTCTGCGATCTTCATCCGCAGGACGAAAATTGTTTTCTTTTTTTTGGCAAGCTGAAATTTTCCACGCGTTATCGATTTTTGCCTTCATAAACAGCATCGTGAGTGGTAGAGCTTGAAGAAGTGCAGTTGTTGTTGCAAGTATTGGGCGCGTTTGGACAAAATGTTTGGCCGCCCAGGCATTCGTGAAACTTATTTGAACAGTGCAAAGCCTAGATACCCCAGGGTAAGTTTCTGTTTGATTTCTCTTTTTACTGAATATTTGGCACTCACTGCCTAACTTAAGTTCAGATTTTGGTTTTGTCAAATGCCATGTTTTTTTATATTACCCATGTTTCTAGGGAAGTCCCGAGAGAGACCATTCTCCATCCCGCCGTCGAAGTAGTAGAGAACGAGAGCGAGAATATCGGCATCGAAGTCGCAGTGTCTCACCAACCAGAGTTCGTGTCAGCAATGGAAGAAGGTAAGAATCTTTTTGTCGTTTCTTTTGTGTTTAGGAATAAAGGCGGTGAAGTCGTCTAATATAGTTTAAAAAAGTGCTGTTTTTGGAAGAGCCAAGTTTGCAGATTTCCTTTCCTTTATAAGGCTATTCGATGATGTTTTTTCGAGATCGACCTTTTGATACCTAATTTTAATGTCCATTGTTTCCAATTTTTTGTGGTTTGACTTATGAACTTTAGCCGCTTCTCTCCTGACCGTCGCGGTTCTCCAGATCGTTACCGGTCGTCTTCCAGAGAGGAGAGACGCTCACGTTCCGGTGAACGTCGTCGTTCCGAGGAGAGACGCTCACGTTCCGATGAGCGTCGTCGTTCCGATTCGGAAATGTCGATCTCAGATGGAGAGGAAGATCATCATGGCTTTAGGCGGACATATGATCCCGAGAAGAAGAAGACCATTAAGATAACCGTGAACAGCCATATCCCGCGAGACGAAACTCCGGAACGCACCGGTACCCTTGTTTTTGGACATCGAATCCGAAATGCACCTCCAATTGAGGATAAAAAGCGGAGATCACGATGGGATTCCAATGCTGAAGCGCTGGAAATCCCGGATACAATGGAGATCTTGGCTAGACAAGGTATAATTTGTTCCATTTTATTCTGTTTGCTCTCGATCGAGGCGCATATTGGTTGTTTATGTTGGTTGTTGTTTTATTGGAATGATTCAAGGAATCTCTACTACTCCGTAATCCAGCTGGGTTAAAAAAAACCCTTCTTGATTTAGAGAAATTTCTACTTCTTTTCTTAAAGTTTTTGACGAATTTATTTTGTCCAACGCAAAATGGCGCTTGAGACATCCAAAAAGATCTCATACAGGTTAACTATTATCCAATTTTTATTTTTTTCTACAATTCCAGGTGTCAAAAATCCGACAGAGGCCTTGCAGAAGATCAATGAGTTGCCTTCTATGGAGCAAAGGTAACTTTAGTCATGTTTTGTGTCATTGTCCTTATAATATTATCCTATTTTGATGGTTTAATAAACGATTTTGCTCGAATTTTCAGGTATAAATCTCAAGCGAATGATGACAACGCGGTTCAAGAACAACTGCGGCTTCTGGCCCAGCAAGAGGAGCTGGAGAGGATGACCGTAAATCTACCCCCTTATCTACGGGCACAAGTAAAGAGCAAGCTGGACCCTGCTAGAATTAATATTCCACCACCAACACTCGTCGATCCGAACGCTAGAAAGGAAAAGAAAAGAGAGGAACGGGTTGAGCAACCTCCATTGGCCGCGTCTATTTCAGTTTCCGACATCAAGAAGGTTTCTCAACTCACAATGCCTCCTCCTGGCTTGTTCAACACGCTTCCACCATTTCCTCCGCCAGGCATGGGTGTGCCTCCGCCAGGCATGGGTGTGCCTCCGCCAGCGCTCGGCATGCCACCTCCTTTCCTTCTCCCTCCAGGGGCTCAGCCCATCCCCGGCTTTCCATTAGGACCTCCACCGACCTTATCCATGCCGATGGGTGTCGGATTCCCACCCGTGAGCACAAGTGTTGCACCAATGGGACAACCAATGCTCAACGCCGGCGATATGAAAACCCCAATCATGCAGCCACCGCCAGTAGTCCCACAGCCAGTCTTCATCGACCCCACGGAGAGATTGTTCCAAGCCCGTGCGGAACTCTACAAACGCGATCTCACCCAAATTACGAACATTCCTGCTCTCCTAGAATACTGTAAGAAAGAGTCCATCTTTTATAAATGCTCGATTTTTGGGAAATAAGTTATCAGCTAGCTCCGATTTGAGCCCAAGGATATACAAAAAAGGTACAATTTTGAGTTTTTAGTGTGGTCTCAAGGATTTGATCGTATCCCTCCAGAAGATCCGCCGCTGTTGTTTAACGAAGTCGTCAAGAAACGAGATGGAATTCTCGGAGTTTCCGCTTTATATCAGATTATTTGCTATCAACACCCGGAATTGGAAACTTATTACTGTGGAATGTGCAATCACTGGACAACAGTTTCCGAGATGTTTAACCACCTGACCGCTGATATGCATAGAATGAACTTTTTGGTAAGACTATTGAGAATATAACGTTGACTAAATTTGTCTGGGTGAAATGCAAGATGAGCGCAGACGTTTTAGAGTAAATTAACGAGAAAAACCCGTCAAACTTTTAAGTTGGCATATCATAGCGTGGAGGAACCTTTCTCAAAACAAGCTGAAATAAGTTCTAATTATTAAAGGTTCATTTTCAGTTCCGAAACTACAAAGTCTTCCACCAAAAAGCGCAGGAACATGAGTCTCCAGAGATGCGCAGCAAGTTTCTGCAATTTGTATGCAAAAAAGTCCAGAGTATCGAAGGAAGTGGTGCGGTTGTCAACCGAATGCGATGCATCTTGAATATCGATGATATCCGCCGAATCTGGCCCGATTATCATGAATACGTTGATCATTCATGGAAAGTCATGGCTACTGGTGAGGACTTTTTGGCTTTGTTTAAGTTTGTCCAAAAACTATTATTTTAAATGGTATTTTAGATGATTTCCTAATGGAGACATCGGATAGCCCTCCGAAACGAAATGACCCTACTAAAGTTGAGGTCGTTCCTAAAGAAAAAGATGCCGATCGTCCAAAAAGTCGTGGGGACAACGAAAAGTCTAAAGACAAAGAACGTTCGCGCGAAAAAGACTCTAAGAAAAGCAAAGAAACGGAGAAAAAGTCGTAAGTTTTTTTTTGAGATTTAGTTGCCTTGCGAAGAAAGTTCCGTTGCGTTAAATCAAGGAACAGAGTGAAAAGGTCGAGGTTCTAAAAGAGTTTGTAAAAACATGAGCTCTTGGCCTGAAAATTCGGAAAGTTTTTTTGCTGTGCTTAAAGAAATTACTGTTATTGTTTAGAAGTTCTTCGTCTTCTTCTCACCGTGATTCCCGTGACAAACGCCGCTCTCGTTCTCGAGAACGCCGGCGCAGTCGCGAGCGGCGCTCTCGATCTCCGAGGCGGCTGACTAAATCCCCAGTGAAAGACGAAAGGGACTGGGAGAAAAAGACCAGCCAGTTCTTGGCCCAGCTCGGAGACACTGGGCTGAAATCGGCCCTGCAATCGGTGGAGAAGAATGCTAAAAATGAAATAAAGAAACGATCGAGCGAGGAAGAACAAAAGACGTTTACAAGGAAAGCCCTCGGAGTTTTAATGGAGTTACAGGCCTTCCAAGACAACACCGGGCATGTGGAGAAGAGCATGGTTTATGCGGTAGCCGAAGAGATGGGATTAACAAGAGATGATGTCGACAAGTCTAAGGTCATCCAACAGGGCCTCAAGAACTTCAATATCATCGAGCCAAAGCCAAAAGATGGCCCCAAGGATACGAAAGACATTTTAAGGGATGCTGGTTTGTCGGCCAACGATATGAAGGAATTGCTTAGTAAGATTGGTCAGTCGACCAGCAGAAAGTCTCCGCCAAAGGAATACGACGATGTTTGTTTGGTTTTCCCAACAGCCGACAGCGAAGAAGCCCTTAAGAACAACCCGAATATCAGACGAATAAACGCGCAAATCGAAGAGTTGAAACATGAATTAAATGTGCCAGGAATTTCTGTCAAGAATTCGAATCGAATCAGGAGTACGATTGGAGTTTTACGGAAGAAAATTGAAGCCGAATACGAGAAGCACACCGGAAAAAGTAAAGCGGAACGAAAAATGGAAGCTAAAAATAAGAAGTATACGGAAGAATTGCCTGGATCATGGGGAATTGGCGGAAATTCGTTTGCACCTGGTAAGGAAAGTGTTAGAGATGTTTCTTGATTTTTTTGCAAGAAATTAGAGTGAGAATCGTATAGAGAATAAGGTTTTTTCATTACGTTTAAATTGTTATACAGATACATCACGAAATAAGGGGATTTTTGTTTTTTTTATAAACGTATCTCCCCAAATTTCAGCCCCAGCAGTCCGAGCAGTAGTGGAGAAACCGGGCTGCGATCCGGCCAAGGTCGAACGGGAATGGACCGACTACTACCTCAAAAACCCTGAAAGTATTGGAAAGGAAATCCCCAATGACTACGATGAAGAAGCCTACGACTCCTATTATGGACAGGGGACCTACAAGATCTTTTGCGAAGCCAAGAAACGGGCAGCAATCAACGCCCGCAGGCTATTAGAAAGCAAAAACAACCCCATGTGGTAGAATATGGAGTTCTTTGTTTTGGTATTAAAACGTGTAATAATTTTTTTTTGACTGGACGGTATAATTTTAGGAATTTCGTTTGCTAGGACACATAATTTGGCGTCTTTATCGTGTCATCACCTTTTTTTTATGTCGCACCTTTTTTACTGATAAATTCGCTTATTTTTTGGTTAATATAACGTGTCACTAATTACAAATAAAGAAAATCTCTTATCGATTGTTGTTTTACAGTTTCTTGGTTATCAAATATTATTGAATCATAAATTTGCTGAAAAGTTAATTTTATTCGATCGGAGTATAATTTTTAATGAAAAACCTCTCAAAGTCCAAAAAGAAACCCATATGCTATTACGCTTTTTCCAAAGTGCGGAGACATTTTGTCGTGGGCCGCACCGTGCACAAAACTCAGTCATCGCGAATTTAGTGCGTACGAAAAGAATTTGCGCAGTGCAAAATGTTTCGAAAACGATTTCGACGCGCAACATGCACGGTGGGGTGCGAAAAAGGCCGGAAAATGTCTCCGCACTTTTGAAAAAGCGTAAAAACATTTTTCTAAATTTCGAGCGTAGGTCGACAGTCTCACTACGACATCTGATTTTCGAGTTATGGAAAATCGAATCACGTAACAGCAACCCAAAGTACGGTGCGATTTCAAAAAATTAACGGCAAACTTTCTTAGAATGGTCGGTAGCCACATTTCTTCAAGTTGAAACAGAATTGAACCAGTTTGACGTTTTTTAAAAGAATAAACTTTATTACTCATGTCTACAATATTGAACAAAAAGAGTGGAGCTGAAGATAGAAAAAATTCTGGAAAAGAATGAAAAAGGGTATCCCGTTGGTAAAAGGCACAAAAAACCTTTCTGTGGATCACATTGTGGTGATTTTTACAACTACAAACAAATATGTTCTGGTTGAAAAAAAGATATAAAGACTATAAACGTCGGAAGGGATTGTAAAGTAGTAATTTGCAGCAATAATTTACCCATAATTTCCAAAAACACCCAAAAATTTACAATCTTCTTCCGAAAAAATGAATTTTACAAAAAATATGAATAAAACTGGCGACGCTTGAATAAAATCTGTAAATACTCAACAATCGTGGCTAGAAATTACGGGAAGTTTTAGGAACCCCAAGAGAACCCCTCACATCCTCGTAATACCACCAGATCTTCTCCGATTTAGACCGAGGCGTATCCCTGACGACGGGCACGGGCACGGCCGATCAAGTAGGCGACCAGGACGACGATGACCAACCCAGCGAGGCAAGCTCCGACGATGATTGGGACCAGGTCGGAAGTCTTGGTGTCCAAGTTGCACTGCTCGAAGATCTGGTCTTTAGGGAAGCTGGGCTGAGGGACACGGGCGAACGCGAGAACACGGACCTTCTCGAACTTCACGGTGGCCTTCAGGGCGGGGCCGTTGGACTTCTGAACGAGGTAGAATGGAGACTCCGAGCAGGTGAATCCGTTTTCATCGGAGGCGTCCCAAGCTTCATCGGACTTGTCGAGGACGTACTTGACAGTTTGGTCTGTAAAACAACAACCTGTTAATTGTCCCAAAAAACCCGTCTACAAGGTCTTTTCTGGTAAAGGCCGCCATTCAAGAAACAACATTCAATAGTGACATACCGGTAGAGTTGAGATGGTCCGGAATATAAACGAACAACCCCAAGTTCGAAAGAACGAAGTTCTTTTGTTGTTTTTCATCATGGGCAAATTCAGCAGTCAATTTCCATTGGCGGACTGTTGGAGAAGATCCTTTGATCAAAAAGTCAACGCTGAAAGCTTCACTGGACACATTCTTCTTGACATCAATGCAAGTTCCGCTCACATTCACGCTGGTCTCATCGACCTCGAAGTCAAAGTTAGCGGTCTTGTTCTAAAATCGGACTTTGCAATCTATCAGACAAAATTTAGCTGTAAATCAAGTTTTTTCGCTTACATCAGAGGTTTCGTATTCAATGGTTCCTGTAGCATTGCCTTGGAAGATGATACAGTACTGAGGGTTCTGCTGGGCGTCATCATATGGGATGGCAACATCAAAGGCGTTCAAACCAACGAACAGAGATACTGAAATTTAAATTTTATTTTGCATGAATGGTGGAAATTTTATACACTGCGCAAGACCTTTATGTTTGCAACAGTTTTATGACAGGCTTATAAGCTAAAGCAAGATCTTCCCTCTTCATTTCTAAAATTGAAACATAAACAAGAAAAACTTACGGAAAAGAGTCGAAGCGAAGAGAGATTTCATTATGAATGGATGATTTACACCTTAAAAGACAGCAGTATTAGCATATATTAGTAAAAAAGCACGAGTAAAAACACAATGACACACGTAAAATCCGACAATGTTTACTAAACCAATATAATCTGGCTAAAAAATCGATGACTAATTAGAATCTTTATATGGCTACTCAGCAAATAAAGCTAAAAAATGGGTTTTATATGGGGAGTGAGTAATGCTTCTTGGAAAAGCAGTGCAAAATAGCTATATAAGTAAGAAAAGCAATCTATCACTAATAAAAACAAAAGTCTGCAAAGAAAAGAAAAGCTGAATAGACCCAAACTTCGTCTGTTATTTCCCCTTTCTCTCATGTTTTCGAACGAACTTGTTTTTTGGGGCGCAGCAGTGAAAATTTTTATTCACAAACTGTTTTCAAAGAATTCAATGTTTATACCGCTGTAAACTAAATGATGAATCATTAACACGGATACAAAACTCTCTTTCCAATTCAAAAAAAGGCCTGACGTCTAACCGTAGTCTTCGATGGGGATACAGTCATAATTAGTGAGTAAAATTGAAATTTGTGGCCATTCACACAACATAGTTTCAAACTGAATTAATTCGCTGTAGCAGCCTAATAGCACACTAAGCGATTATCAGCGAAAACAATAACCCAAAAATTTCCCCATCTTCTCGTATCAGAGAATAAAAATCAAAGATAAGACAGAATTTCATCAGCCGCGACCGCAATGTTCGCTATTTCGATACCAACGATAAGAGATACCAAAAGAATGTGCAAAGAATAGTAGCAGAATTCAAAGAGTAACGGGAGCAGAAACAGCGTGCCCGGGGGAAAACAAGATTCGAACGCACATAAAAAGAACGATTGCGCGAAAAACGCCAAATAACACCCACAGAAGACATGCAACCTTCAGATTTGATTGTAATTTCGAACAAAAAGAAGCTCAATTAGAACACTAACTACTTTCATAAAACGGCTACCAAAATAAGAGCGCATCTATTTGGAGATTTTTATATCCTCAATCCACCTGGTTTGACGCTGTTTTCATCGAACATGACCTTCCTTTCCTCGAAGAGCCTCTCAGTTCTCTCGTATAAAACTTCTCTTGTCCTCTGATCGACGAAGTGCAACAAAATTGGACGAAGTGTCACTATTGACTGCCAAAATAACCGGCCGAAAAATCCGGCCGATGTTTTATTTTTAGTCGTAATTCATTGCGAAGCTGGCGGATTATGTCCGTCATACGCCTGGCCAGCAAGTCGCTGATTCGGATATGTGGACCCGAGGCTACCCCGTTCTTGCAAGGAATTGTTACCAATGATATTTTGTAAGTTCTTTTTGTTTGTTTTGGTTTTTAGATAGTACAATCCATATCTGAACCGTTTTTTGTATCCACGGCAACGATTTACTAATGAGGAGTGCGCTTATGCAGGGATCTCACTTCTCAGTATCTTACGGGCAGATTTTTTGGCAAAAATTATATCTAATTGACAAAGTACCAAGTAAAGCATCAATGTTACCTTTGTTTTTGGGATTTAGCGAGTAAACATTTGGATCCTTGCAACTAATTTGCTTTTAATACATATTTATCACTTCTTCTTCTTTTTTATTTATTTCTGACTTTGATTTCTCAATTTCAGCCTGCTAGAAGCCAAGAAAATGATATACTCCTTCATCCTCGGCCCTCGCGGTCGAATAGTCAGCGACCTCTTCATTTATTCGCATGAGCGGGACAACTACTTACTTGAAGTGGACGGATTTAACCGTGAGAGCTTCGTGAAGACACTCACGCTGTACCGTCTCCGAAAGAAGGCTGATATTATACTTGACGAGACCCCCATCAACTTTTCGGAAACTCCTGTGGACGGAGCGTTGGAGGATGCTCGCGCAAAAGGATTTGGATATCGATTGTTAGGAGAAGTTCAAGCATCTACAAGCGAAGAAGACTACGTGGAAAGACGAATGGACTACGGTATTCCAGAGGGTCGGGATGAATTATATGATCAGATACCGTTGAACGTAAATGGAGACATTATGAATGGAATTAGTTTTGATAAAGGCAAGTGCATTTCATTCCTTTTGTTTCAATTTTTAGGTATTATTCGGTTTGAAGAGCCTTCATGAATAATATAAAAATTTCAGGTTGCTACGTTGGCCAAGAACTCATAGCAAGGACACATCATACTGGAGTCATCAGAAAGCGACTAGTACCATTTACAGCCACGGTGGAGAACTGCGAAGGCTTCATTCGCACGCTGGACAATCAACGGAGGGGAAAGGTCATTCGATCAAAAGGTTTCAAAGGAATTGGATTGGTGCACCTGGAGTCGATCAAAGAGCCCTTATTCGTCAAAAAAGAGCCCATCAAACCAAGAATACCTGACTGGTGGCCAGAGGAATTAAGAGATGCAAATTAGGACCAGTTGAGTAGATTTTTGTAGAACCGGTAGAGAAGAATAAATTAATTAGTGTGTAGAAGAATATTTCAAACAAATCCACCAAAAAATTACTCCAGCCAACGTATTAGAACAAATTTATTGAATAGTTTCCTCAAAATTCAACAGATAACAACGGGGTGTGAACATTACATGGTATAACAAATTCGAATAAAAGCCGCCCTTATGCGACATAATGGTATAACTGGGCGTCCTGTTTGTCGCGCGAGACGTATTCTCGGTCGATGAGGGATTCGATTCGTCGTTTCAAGTCGATTGGTTTCGCCGGGAATCGAAGCTGATTGTAGAGTTCTGTGAGGAGAAGATTATGGGCGAGGACTTTGCGGGTCTTCATGATTCGGACGATAGCGGCGTCGATTTGATATTGCCGGTCTTGGTTCACTTGTTCCTCCGTTTGTCGGTGTTCGCTTTCCTAAAGACAGAATAAAATAAAAATAAACAGCCTTACCGTTTCCTTCATCATGACTTGTGAGATTCTGATCCTGTACAGTCGATCGTTGAAGTTCTCGTTGAAAACAAATTCGTCGTCATTTCCAATATCTTTTCCCTTTGGTTCTTTTAACAGCACCCTCATTTTTCCACATGCCAAAGATTGCAACGTCCGTTTTAATTCGCTTTCCTCTATAAAACTAATAACAATCAGCATCAAGTAAAACCACGACAGAATCAATTCAACTTACCAATTTGAGTTGCTTTTTCGATTTCCTTATACGACACCTTCAGTTTCTCGTTGAACTTCAACAACACCAGGGCTTGGAACATTGAGACGTCCAATTCTTTCTTCACCTTCTCCCTGAATGTGGCTTTCAGAATCGCAGAGGCTAAACTGTGCTGCCATTGGAGTTTTCTTCCGTTGTGCTTTGTTGTGTAGAACTTTTCGAACGCCAACTCTTGTTCTTTGAGGGCCATTGGAATTGTGACACTCATCACTGGGTAGTTTGGCCAATGTCCCATGGTCAGGACGGAGACACCGAACTCGATTTGAGATAGTTCAGGATTGTTTTGGGACACGTATTGGCCAAAGTTGTTGGACAATTCCTTGCTGATCTCCATATCCTTGAACATTCCTTCCAATTTCTGCGTGAATTGGGCTCCACATTCTGGAAACGATGCGATCAAACACTTTTCAACCATCTTACCGTTCTTCAGCTTGTAAAGCATCGCTTTTTCCGAGTCCACCGAGGCACTTCGGCCCATTAGAAGTCTTTTGGCCAAGGCTTTCTTGTAGAAAGCTTCGAATACGTCCTTGCCTAAAAACCGAAAAAGAAGGTCATATTTTAGCAACCGTTCCTTGTGCAAAAAAGACCAAATGCTTTCAAAATTTGCCTTTCAACCCACCTTGAATGAATCTAAACAGCAGGATGACCTTATCCATGATGTGGTCAAGTTCATCCTCCGAGCATTCCTTGTTTCCCAGCCTCAGTTTCGAATCCATGTATTTGGCGACGAGTTCGGCTGGTTTGTTCGGCCGTTGATTGATGAAGTAGTCAAAAGCGTCCTTCTCTCCCTGAACAAACTTCTCATTGTTATCGAAACATTCTTGGGTCGTTTTGTCCAGGTCCGCCTTCAGATTTATTAGATCCTGAACTAAGGTCTTCTCGTTCTCCGGGTTCAAAACCATGGCTCTACCGATTTTCTGAAAAAATGGGGAACATAATTGATTGATTTAAAAAGTTTTAATCTACTTTTCCTAGCGTACTTACCTTTATATAATCAGTAAACGCCGTTTTCAAGCTATTGTGGCCAGACTTTACTCGACCAAACAGCTTGTACATCAGACGGAGATCCTCTTTCTTTTTCTGAGCAAGTAGATTTTCAGCACCTAAGATAGACGAAATGAACCCAGTGAAATCATAAAATCTAAAGCTCTAGAAATCCTGACCTTTTTGCAGTATTAACTCCACATTACACTCAATAAAGCAAGTGTCAACCTTGCGTTGTAGTGGCTCCAGAGATCGATAATCCAGGTAGAAGTCGATTCTTTCCGATTCGTCGTTCAGTCGTTTGTCAACATGACGCAAAAATTCTCCAATTTCCAGTTGCTGAATACATTCTTGGCTCTCTTTGTTATAGTAAAGTTCAGTGTCCGAGAGTATTCGAGGCTCCAAAACCTAAAACCCAAATTAATAAAAGATAAAACGCAGACTTACATCTTCGTATATTTTCAAGGCCAAGTACATCCTGCTTAAAGTCTTCAACAAGTCTCTGTCGACCAGATTTCCATCTCTTTCCCGTCGAATGGTGTCCAAAATGAAAGGAACAAGGTTTTCGGACACTTTGATGTTGTCAATGACCAATTTTTTAAACGACGCCAAACCGGCATCCCAAACTGTTTGAATACTCGGGTTTTGTATGACGTACGTGCGGTCGAGGTAGGTGAAGATTCGCTGGACCATGTCCTAAAACCGGTGAAACAAAAAAAGGATCCTCACCAGCTGTTGACAATAGTCGTTCCAGAAAGATTGCATCGCTTTTAAAAACTTCATTCTGTCCGACACTGTAATCTTGTCGACCAAACCTCCCAAACTTGACTTCAAGAAAGTCTCGAAAAGTGCGATTACTTTGTTGTAGACATTATCCGCGTAATCCTGCATGCACAAGGTCTCCACGGCCTTGAAGAGGATCTCAAACGCATCCTTCGTAGTCCGCTTCTCCTGTATTGAGACGATGGCATCGTGAAGAATGCCCCAGTTTTTGTCGAAGGAACTTGTGTTCGGCTCTTGGAACCGCTCTAAACTCGGATAAACCCAAAAAAACCACTCACGTTGAAAACTCTTGATCACCAATCGCTTTGTGGATCTGGCTTGCCCATTCTTCGCCTTTGGATTCACTGGCTGCACGTTCTCGCCGTCGCAGAACTTCTCAAGTGGATCGGCCATTCTCACACGTTTCTTTTCCTAGAAAATATTGTACTTAAACTGGAAAAAAATCTAAATTTCTACCGCTCTCATTACGTAAACTCAAAAAAAAACTCAACAAAAATTACCTTTTCCGGAGCGCCCGAGCGTTGTCGCTTTCTTGTCTCCACTGATTTGCTCTCAGACATAAACAATATCAAACCAAAAAAATACGAGTAAACCTGCGTCTAAAAAGGAAAAATTTAGTAAACTCCTTATCCAACTGTAAATTTGTTGGCCATAAATTGAGCTAAAAGGTACTTCGGACTTCAAAATATTTTTATTTTTCATGAGATCTCGAATGTTGCGTAATGTCCCAGAATCATCGGAATTTCTCGCACGTAGACGAAATGTCAGAGGAATTTTTTCGTTTTTCTTTTTCGTGTTCAACTTGAAGTTTTGGGTCCAAACCGATTGAATCTCGAGGTTTTTGATGGCAGAATTTATCTTTTTTGAATCGTAATTTGATTATTTTTTGTTGATGTTATACTAGGTTTTGTTCACAATTTTTGGAACCTAGGAGGATGGGGATACAGGTACAAAACTATTAATGTTTTGAGTGTATGCTATCTTCAGGAAGATAACTGAAGTTTTAGCCTGTTTTGGACATGCGTAACGTGATTTTTCGCTTTTAAAAATGTTTTGCGACAAACTTTCTTTTACTGTTACCTTTTTTTCAGAATGTTGGCCTTGGGTCGCGTTCGGCCGTATGCGCTGGTTCAGGTGAGCCAGTACAGCACCAACAAACCGGCCAATGTTCCTGACCCCATCCCAAGTTCTGTGAACGTCGCGCAATTCAAGAAGGGACCCGGTGGTCGAGCCAGCTTTTCTGGAAACGTGGTCACTGTCTTTGGTTCGACAGGATTTCTCGGCACATCTGTGGTGAACAGGCTGGCCAAGCATGGAAATCAACTGATTCTTCCTTATCGATGTGATCCTTACTTCATCCGCGAACAAAAGGTTGTGGGCGAATTGGGACAGATCTTGTTCTACCCTTTCGATTTGATGGACGAGGAGAGCATTCGGCGAGCTGTGAAGTATAGTAACGTTGTCGTCAACCTAGTCGGAGCAAAACTGCAGACCAAGTAAGTCTATATTTTTGTTTGTTTTTGATATTTAGGAGAAGAAAGAAAGGGATAAGACTTAGGTCTACCTATCCTGGAATGAACATTGTGTTCGCTATTCAGTCCAGGGCTGGTTCAAAATTATGCATTTCAGCCGCTTCAACCTGTACGATGTCAATGAGAAGGGAGCTCGGCGAATTGCCCGCATTTCTCGCGAGATGGGTGTGGAGAAGCTCGTACATATTTCGGCCCTAAATGCAACCGACAATCCAGTGCCAGCCTTGATCAAAGGAGGTTCCAACTTCCTGAAGTCCAAGTTCCGCGGAGAAGTTGCCGTCCGCGAGGAGTTCCCCGATGCCACTATCATTCGACCATCCGTTTTGTTTGGCGAGAGAGATTCCTTTATCTCTTACTACGTCAGCCGTTACAGGAAGACGTTCTTGGACAATGTTTATCTCTACAAAGCTGGTGAACACACCTACAAGATGCCTGTGTTTGTAAGTTTTTATCAATAAGGTGCTATTACTATGATTTAAGATAAAATGGGAGAACAACTTGTAATTTAAATTGTTTTAGGTTAACGACGTGGCTTTGGGAATCTCCAAGGTCGTGAACGATCCAACAACAGCCGGGAAAACCTACGAATTTGTTGGCCCACATTGTTATAAGCTGGCGGAATTAATGGACTTCATGTATAGAAAAGCTCATTGTTTGAAAAAGTTTGGGTTCTTCTACAGACGGCATGGATTTCCAGATCCCCTGTTCGTCGGCTATCAAATTGGGGCTAATCTTTTCTCCAAGGTCTTCAAAAATCAGCATCCTTTGATCAAAGAATGGATGGAATACGTTGTGAGTTTCATGTTATTTATGTTTTCTTTGTTTCAGGAGACCTTCCTCTTAGAATTTGAAAAAAGTTTAAAAGAAAAGATCGATTTTATTTTAGGAAGGGACCAATGATATCCTCACCGGCGCTCCAACGCTGGTCGATGTCGGAGTAACCCGGCTCACCGAGTTCGAATACATGGGAGCCAGACTGTCGAAGAACCAGTCGTTCATGAAGTTCTTCGAAGAAATGTATGGCGATCTGGAGCCCCCACCACTTCCTCTTCGATCCCCTCCATTAATTAAGGGCCAATTCAATGAGAAGGAGCTGTATGACAACCGCACCCCGCTCAAGTTCTATACATTTGCCCACTCGTACTAGGTTTTTTATCGACTTATAGTTGAGAAATAAATTGTATGAATATCGATGTCGATTTAGGGGTTTAAAAGGCCTTCTAAGCAGAGGTGTAATACTTATTACATGTATTAGAAAAGGCTTGCAACAATAGTGTGCAAAAGAAATTGATTTGAAAAGTTTTGTAACAATTGCGTTTTAATTTCATAAATGATTTGGCAATCTCTGAATACTTATGCCAGCGGCTATCTTATTCTTTGAGAAAACTTCCAGTCCATTTAGACTTTTGCCTCCGAAGAGAAAATAGACAAGTGGAATTAGTTTTTCTCCGAATTTCACAAAAAAAAATTTCAGTGCATAAAAACAGCAAAAGGAGTTTTTATGCACCGAGCTCCGCTCTTTCCTCTCTCTTCCTCTGAAATGAAGCATTCCATCCCGCCGCGCCGAATGGTGCAGGCGGTTGAAAGTCGGTGTGGCAACCGAATAGAGGCGGGATCGCATCCCTGTGCCCTTCGGAATGTCCCGGCCAGTGTTCTCCCACGCGGTTTCCCAGATTCGGGCTGTAAAACACAACTGCTCTGTTGGCAGCGACTCTTCCAATACTGTGGGTCACAAAACATACAGTAAAGGTTGCATCCCCTCCTGAAATACGGAACAAATGCATAAATCCAATTGAGATATCGAAAAACCTTCCGTGGTTCTGTAAGCTCCAGGAAGCTTCACAGTTTTGAAATTTTTTTGCGGTTCAGATTTTTACGTCTGGAATTGCTTGTTCTTATTGCTCGGAGGAAGCTGGCTCAAAACTTTTGATAAGCCAGTAAGCGTTTGTGCGATTAGAAGTTTTAATTATCTACGCTTTTATAACTTTATATCGGATTTGACTTATTTCCATCAACTGGACTCGGAATTAACAAATCCGCATTTGTGATAAATATCGACGAATGGTCCCAAGTCCTCCTTTTCGATCAGCTTCACAAGACGCTCGTCGTCGCTCACCAAGTCGAAGTTCATTTCATAAGCCCCACTGCAAGCTTCCTCGAGAGTGCTAATCGGGGTTGTTAACTCGGCGGCATCGGGTGAGATTGGGCGGCCTAGACTTTGGAAGTACCCCACAAGAAGGGTGCCACTTTCTGGGGTGTTGCAAATCAAAGGCGCGCCAGTGTCTTCCTAAACGGCGAAAGTACCAGGCAAATAAAACGTAGGCTGTTGAATAAAAATTGGGAGAAGAGACTTACAAAGCAAGCCGTATAGTTTTCTTTGACAAGACTCCGATAGAAAATATCGCCACTTCTCGGTTCCATCAATTGGTACAAATCCAAACGGTAGACTTGTTTTTGGCGATAGAAGTTGGAGGCTGAAATTAGTAACAAGAGGTTTTGCGATTCATTGAAATGGAAATACCCACCATCATCCTCAGTCTTGAATCCGAGAAGGTAACATTTGCTCTTCAAAATCTGAGAGATTGGGACATAGAATGTGGAAGAGCTCTTCAAGGATGGCTTCTGGTTTAAACGGAGGACACGTGGAGGCTGCGGAGCTGGCGGACACAACTAAAAATTTCGAATAACATTATTTTGAACTCTTGACGAATCTTTACATCTTCATCTTTCACAAACCTTATCAGTCGGCACGGTGTCAATCCGAAGTACCGCCCATTTCTCAGTCTTCTCGACCAACAATCCATAGAGACGCCGTTTATGTTTCTTGATTAAGGTTATGACGGCGAATTCCTCAAGGCTAAAAGGGAAAAATTAGTGGTTTGAACCAGTTGCAGAATGCTTTCAAATCGTCTCACTCTTTGCTTGTCTCACTGTCCACAACGCAATCAGCGGATGTCAAAACCAAACTGCCCGAAATCAGGGCGCCAGTGCACAGTTTGACACTTTTGTCTGGAAGCTTGGCGACAATCTAGAACATTATGAATTACTGCCTAACACTTGCAACACTTTTCGCAGCAGGGCTGACAAACATACCTTCACCAAATAGCCATGTCTACTCCAGTCCACCGGGTCCCCGTCTAGCACACAACTGACTCCAGCCAGAAGGCCAATCCAGCTCCAGACGGCCAAAGTTCGAGCCAACATTCTCGATTGAATGAAGCGACCGGAAGACGAGGCGTTCACGGGATTTGTCGTGGGTGGAACGACGAGAATTATTCATTTCTCGTCCTAATTTCTTGTTTAAATATAGAAGCAACAGGAAATAGTTTCAAACGCTCTTCTTTCTTGAGCTGGCGTTTGAAGTATGAATAAAATTACGTGAAAATTTTGTTTTGAGAAGACATTTGCGTGGTTTGATCAACGGCGGGCTCTAGAGGTGGTGCTGAAATTGGAAAACTATCAGGCTACTCGCAGAAAAGAGCTCGTGGAAAAAGACTTTCATATTTTCGGGTCGGGTTACGGCCCGGTTTGGCACGATTGCTACCTCCAGGAGGCACCTGTGTTAAACCTCTTGTAGTTGCCGTGCCTTGTTATGTAACGAAAAACTGCCCTTAAACGATGCCAAACGCGGACGATCATTAGAATATTTAAACAGTATTTATTCGAGTAGACGGTAATATTTATCGAATTACTTTTACAACTGTAAAAAAGACCATTGGCAAGAATGGGGCAGGGAGCTTAAACAGAAGAAATCTGACTAAAAAGCGGCAATATTACGACGAAAGAACTGTAAAAAGTACTGTAAGAAGGCAGTATAGTTAAAACATTTTGGCAAGTTTCGATTTCTCGGACAAACCTTGCAAACTTGTTTTGGATGCTCAATTTTTTGGACGAAAAAATTTTCAAAATGTCAGAAACATAAATTGGTCATCAAAAAATGTCTGCAATATTTAGACCGAAGGTGTATGGCAGGAAGAATAATTAGGACGATTACAAAATTATCAGAACAAATTGAGATTACAAAACGATATCGAAATTCGAAGGGTATTACAAAAGAATAGTTCGATAACTGTCTTTAACGGTTCTTGATGCACACTTGACAACGTGACACTCTGGACCTTGAGTTACCGGCCTTCACAGTCTGACTTTGAGGGATCTGCAAAGGATTTGTGTAAGAAAAGTAGAAACTTGGTCTCTCGATTTAAATTCAAACTAGTGTAAAACTGCCTTACCGTAAACTGGTCATTATCATCAATGGTAGTCAACCAGAAACTGAATTTGTTGGCGAAGAAGTGGCAAGTTCCACGACCTCCATTACATTCAATGAATGGAGTTGTGCGGAAGTCTTCCAAGCATGAGCCGGGAGAGCTGAAATAATATTACTTTTATTGAAAGTTATGCTATTTAAAGGTTTTAGCAAAGTCATTAACTACCTCAATGACTGGCCACCGCCTTCGGCACCGGCTCCGGTGTGCATGGCGAACGAGTATCCGATCCACAATGAGCTCCAGCCAGCCGGACAGTTGGGGATTTGGATCGACTGAGAATGGACGGCGATTACGTTGGCTGGAGCCTCACAAACGGAACATCTTGAGATGTAGGGTTCGATCTCTTGCTCGGCAACGGGCATCATTGGTAGAGCCGCTCCGGTGGACAACCAGTATGATTTGTCGTTTCTGGAGGCGTAGTTGCAAACATCGTTAAAGTCGCAGAAGAGGAATGGCATGGTGTTGAAGCGGGGCAAGCAGGACCCGGCATGACCAAGATCCTGACTGTGGGCTTTCTCATTTCCTTCCAAATAGAGCATACTGTACCCGTCCCACATTTTTTGAGTTCCTTGCGGACATTGGGGAATCTGGGTGGTTTGGGAGTGAGTGACGACAATAAATCCGTCACGGTAGGCTGGTCCAGCGGGCCCAGGAGGGCCAAGTCCACCAGGAGGTCCGGGTAAACCGGGTTGTCCTTCTAAACCAGGGAATCCAGGAAGTCCAGGTTGTCCAGCTTCTCCTTTGAGACCGGGCGAGCCTGGGTATCCTGGCTCTCCTTTGGCTCCAGGCAGACCGGGAACTCCTTGTAGTCCGGGAGGGCCATCCAATCCGGGCGATCCTTTTTCTCCACGAAGTCCAGGTGGTCCAGGAGGACCAGGCATGCCCTTCTGACCCGGTTGGGTGAGTGGTGAGGGTCCAGGCTGTCCAGGGAGGCCAGGAGGACCTTCAAGACCAGGAAGACCTTCAGGTCCTGGTAGTCCAGGCAAACCAGAATCTCCTTTTGGTCCTGGGAGACCGGGCTGACCCGGGGCACCATTGAAGCCGGGCTCTCCTTTAGCTCCAGGGAATCCGGGTAATCCAATTTCCCCTTCAAATCTTTATTAGAAAAGTAACGATTTGTCTTACCTTTAGCGCCAGGGATTCCAGGCAATCCAGGTTGTCCAGGTGACCCAGGAAGTCCGGGTTCGCATTGCTCGCCTTTCAGTCCAGGGATTCCAGGAAGTCCAGGAGGTCCAGCTGGTCCGTCCTCTCCTCTCTTTCCAGGGATTCCTGGAATTCCGGGTTCTCCTTTAAGGCCGGGGAATCCAGGTGGTCCACTTTCTCCTTTCAGGCCTGGCTGACCAGGATATCCAGCAGGTCCCTGTTCGCCCTTTGCGCCGGGTATTCCAGGCAAACCTTCCTTTCCAGGGATTCCAGGAAGACCGGGTTCTCCCTTTGCTCCAGGGTATCCAATTCCTAAAGAACGCATATACTTTTTTTGGCAATGAGAACATACCAGGCGGTCCAACGGGTCCAGGTAGACCAGAGTCTCCCTTAGGTCCAGGAAGACCGGGGAGACCATCTTGACCAGGGGCTCCAGGGAAGCCGGAATCTCCTTTCTCCCCTGGGAATCCAGGTTGTCCTGGTAATCCTGGGACTCCAGCATCCCCCTTGATTCCAGGGAAGCCAGGAACACCAGGCTGGCCAACTTCTCCAGGCAGACCAGGCAATCCAGACGTGCCGGGGAAGCCTGAGTCTCCCTTTTCGCCAGGGATTCCGTCAAGTCCACGTTCTCCAGGTAGTCCAGGTAAGCCAGATTGACCTTTTTCTCCAGATACACCGGGTAGTCCAGGGAGGCCGTCTTTTCCTGGTGGGCCAGGAAGTCCGGGGGATCCGGGAAGGCCAGACTGTCCTTTTGGTCCTGGAAGACCAGGAAGTCCAGGTTCTCCAGGCTGACCGGTGATACCAGGGAGACCCTGCAGAAATTTTCATAACTGTTATGTTATAATTCCATAGAATATATCTTTTCATAAAATTGCTTACGGATTCTCCTTTCTGTCCGGGGAATCCAGGTGGTCCTTCAGGTCCGACTGGGCCGGGCAGTCCTTCCCGACCAGGTTTGCCAGGGATGCCAGACAAACCTTTTTCTCCTGGAAGACCGGGTAGGCCATATCCGGGTTGACCAGCTTCTCCTTTGGTTCCAGGGAATCCGGGCAGACCAGGTTGTCCGGGAGGTCCATTGAGACCAGGCGGTCCTGGGAGTCCGGGGTTCCCTTTAAGACCCTCGCGCCCTGGCAGACCATGCTCTCCTTTTTGTCCAGGAAGCCCAGGTAGTCCAGGTTCTCCTTGAGGTCCAGAGGCGCCAGGTTGACCTTCCTGACCAGGCTGACCAGGGAATCCAGGTGCTCCCTTTTCGCCAGGAATACCAGGCAAGCCAGGCAGGCCGTCGTTTCCACGTTCTCCAGGAAGTCCAGGTGCTCCGGGGAAACCAGCATCACCTATAATGCATTCCTCAAAAAAAGTTTTTTATGACTGACCTTTCGGTCCTGGGGTTCCTGGGTAACCGCTGTTTCCTTTTGGTCCAATTGGGCCGGGGAGACCGGGAAGACCGTCTTGACCGGGCGCTCCAGGGAATCCAGAGTCTCCTTTTTGGCCCTCAACTCCAGGAAGACCAGGCAAGCCGGATTCTCCCTTTTCTCCAGGGATTCCAGAGATTCCAGGCGGTCCGACTGGTCCTTGAAGACCTTCCTTTCCAGGGATTCCAGGGAAACCGGGTTCACCTTTGAGTCCAGGGAATCCGGGAGCTCCAGGAGGTCCGTTTAGTCCAGGCAGTCCTTTTTCTCCAGGGATTCCGGGCGTTCCACGAATTCCTTCTGCTCCAGGATGGCCAGGGAGGCCTGGAAGTCCAGCTTCGCCCTTGAGACCGGGGAATCCAGGTGCTCCGGGTGTTCCGGGGATTGTCTGCCCAGGCTCTCCTTTTTCTCCAGGGGCTCCGGGTAATCCGGGTAGTCCACCTTCTCCTTTCGGGCCGGGGAGGCCAGGTAGACCAGGTTGACCAGCAAATCCTTTCTCCCCAGGTATTCCAGGCAATCCATCAGCTCCAGGTAGTCCAGGAAGGCCGGGTTCTCCTTTGGCACCGGGGAATCCTGGTGCTCCAGGTAAGCCAGACTCTCCAGGTTGTCCAGGGAAGCCAGGCTCTCCCTTAGCTCCGGGGATTCCGGGAAGTCCAGGGTGACCTGGCTCTCCAGGTTGAAGCAATTCCTGTGGTGGAGGTGGTCCCATTGGTCCAGGAGGGCCAGAGATACCAGGCGGTCCGGGGTATCCAGAATCTCCTTTTGGTCCTGGAAGTCCAGGCAATCCGGGTTGTCCGTAGCCAGCATCTCCCTTCAATCCGGGCATTCCAGGTAGACCGTCGGATCCTGGTTTGCCAGGGATACCAGGTAATCCAGGTTCTCCCTAAATTGGATAAGGATTTTAATTATTATACGTGACTAACCTTAATTCCGGCGGGTCCAGGTAGTCCAGGCGCTCCAGGAACACCATCTTTTCCTTCCGGGCCAGGAAGTCCAGGCTGACCGGGGAAGCCGGGTTCGCCCTTCATTCCGGGGTAGCCAGGGGGACCAGGACGAAGTGTGAGTTGAGTTGGTTCTCCTTTTTGCCCGGGTAATCCAGGAAGTCCGTCTTTTCCGGGTGGTCCCGGTGGTCCAGTTTGTCCAGGGGGTCCAGGCACTCCATCGTCACCAGAGTCGCCGTGAGCGCCGGGAATTCCGGGCAATCCACGTTCTCCTTGCGGGCCAGGAACTCCGGGGTATCCAGCGTTTCCTTTTTCTCCCTTCGCGCCAGGAGCACATTGCGAGCAGGTACCTCCACGATCTCCTTTATGGCCGGGAAGACCAGGCAGTCCGGGTGCTCCATCGCGTCCATCGTATCCTTTTGGTCCGGGCAATCCGCGGGGTCCTGGGGGTCCGGGAAGTCCATTCAATGAATCTCCAGGGGGCCCTCTTAATCCAGAGAGACCCATTTCTCCCTTGCGGCCGGGAAGCCCATCGAGACCTGGTCGGCCATCTTTTCCCGGTAGGCCAGGAATACTTTGTCCAGGGGTTCCACGAAGACCTGGTTCACCTTTTGGTCCGACGGGGCCTGCGATTCCAGGAGGTCCGGGAACTCCTGGGGCACCGGGAATTCCAGAGTCTCCCTTATCTCCTTTCGGGCCGGGCAGGCCTTCGAGACCAGGTAATCCGGGGAGGCCAGGGCCGCCAGGCAGGCCAGAGGGTCCTGGTGGGCCAGGTTGTCCAGGGTATCCGTCATTTCCAGGGGGTCCGGGGTTTCCAGGGCGCCCTTAATATGTTTTTATCATACATATATATATATATGAAGCTTATAAAAATACGCTTTATTCGATACTTACCGGGTAATCCAGGTGGTCCTGGCGGTCCATCGGAAAACTCGCCACCACCAGGTGGTCCAGGTGGACCTTGGCCTCCTTTTGGTCCGTCGCGTCCGGGAAAGCCTTGATCTCCCTTAGGACCAATGGCTCCGGGTAATCCCGGAATTCCATCAACTCCACGATCACCTTTGAACCCTGGTGGGCCAGGCAGTCCGCCGCGGCCTTCTTTACCCTAAAACATTGTTATTGTCTTGACAGTTACGAACTTACTCGAGGTCCAGCGGGACCTGGCAGACCTTTCTCTCCTTTAATTCCGGGAAATCCAGGTTGGCCGGGAAGACCGCCCATTCCGGGGTAACCACGATCTCCAGCATTTCCAGGCTCTCCCTAAAATTTTATACAGTTGGGATCTGACTTGAAATTTAGTATTGTAGATACGAAAAACAGTAAGTCGGTTTAGACGACATAGAATGCAAATCCAACCTTCTCTCCTTTCTCTCCAGGTGCGCCTTCGGGACCGACAATAACGCCCTTGGCACCGGTCGAAGGAACTGGGCCTGGTGGGCCAGGAGGTCCTTGCGGACCGTAATCTCCCTGAAAACGAAGAACGTAAAAATTAATTACCTTGGAACCTTTTTCTCCTTCCCTTCCGGGTGGCCCCACAATTGAGCCGGATCCAGTAAACTCGCGCGGTCCTGGTGGACCAGGTGGACCAGGCAATCCTAGGTCGCCCTATAAATTGAGCCCAATATGGGATTATTGGAATTTTGAATTTCGTGAATGTGGCTAACAAAACCTTCTGTGGATAAAAGTGGAGCCAACGGAGGCGAATAATGAAAAATAGAATTCTTGTGGATGTGAACAGAGACTGTGATAGTAATAGATACTTTGCTCATGATATGCCAGGAAATAAAAAGTGAGTGCGCGCAGATAGTGCGGTGAAATCCAGCCAAATAACCAGTCAATTGTGGGTGGTTCAACATATATAAAAATTGTAGAGAACTCACCGGGTCTCCCTTAGGTCCAATGCTTCCAATTCCAGGGTTTCCAGGAAGACCTTGTTCTCCAGGAGGTCCTCGTGGGCCAGCTGGTCCAGAATCTCCTCTGTCTCCTTTCTCGCCGGGGTAGCCATCACGTCCTGGAGGACCGGGAAGACCGGGCATTCCGGGCATTCCACCGTCTCCCTAAAATAAACCGTAAGTCTTCCTTCGCAAATTGATCTTTTTTCACAACTGAAATCTAAAGTTACCTTTTCTCCTGGTGCACCAGCATAGCCAATTGCAGGTTCTCCTTTCGCTCCGGGAAGACCTGGTGAGCCAGGAAATCCAGGAAGGCCAGGGGCTCCGGCTGGACCGGGCAGACCAGCCAGACCATCGGTACCATTGCAACCGTCCCAGCCGGGCTGGCCGGGTGGTCCGGGCTCTCCGGGTCGTCCAGATGCTCCGTCATTTCCAGGGAATCCGGGCACGCCGACCGGTCCGCGATCTCCTTTGATACCTTGAGGACCAGGTGGGCCTTGGGCGCCCTTCTGTCCTTTGGGTCCTTGCAGACCTTCGGGTCCGGGAAAACCGCGAGTTCCGGGTGCTCCAGGTGGTCCTTGGGGTCCGGGGGTACCCTAAACGTTGATTTAGTGTTTTTGCAAAAAGTGTGTATCCATTTTCCAAAACTTAGGCTTCAGTTATCCATTAATGATAAATAATTTACAAGTTAGAGAAATGACCGTTGGTCATTCTAACAGTTTCTCTCGTCTGACAAGGTCGCCATCGCTAATCATCTTCTTTCATTTCCCTTTCAAATTTTCCGAAATCCCGGATCGACAACATGTGGCGTTTAGCATAGAAAAAAGAGGAGGCTTTGAGCATAGACAAGGCATACGTCTTTATGGACATGGTTTATAAGTTATGCCTTATAGTCTATGGATCTTAAGGATAAAAAACCGCTCGACGAAAAAATGGAAGAGAATTATTAGAAGATAATGTAGTGTGAAAAGAGTTTTTAATAGAGTTGTTTTGAGGAAAATATGATTAGAACTTACCATTGATCCCTTTTCTCCCACGCAGAAGCAACCTCGTTGTGTACAGTCTCGGCATGTAGCTTGCTGCAATAAGATAACAATCAAGACTAAACAATTTTTTACGCAAATTTTATTTTGTTTCGCTTTTTCCTTGCTATTAGCCCAATATTATTTTTTAATCAGTGAGCTACTTAATTTTTTACTGATTACAGTACTTTCCATCCTTTCAACATCTTAAAAACACCCCGTACTTTTTGTCAAAACCCTTTCCCCGAATTTTATAAATAACTGAAGAAGATCACCCGGGACGGTTGGTGCAGGCAAGAAATACTCGGCCAAGAGAGAGGTCATTAATTTTGTTTAGCGGTGTTCAAGTCGGTTTCTTGGCACATGAAAAAATGCAAGGATGAGTCAGCCTTTCTCTTAACACCAACAGGTGGCGACGGTTACTTGGGCCGGGGTAAAACACCCGAATGTTTGTTCTCGGGCCTTTTTTCCATGAACTTTTTGTAAAGTTCATGGTCTACAGAGGTCATTTGAAGTAACATTGAAACTTCAAAATCCGTTTTGACGAATTTTATTACATAAGGACTTGATAAAAGAGAAGCGCTTTGCTGGAATATTTTTTGAACGATTTCAGTACCGAAAGTGCAAAAGCAACTGTGTTTACAAAAAGGGCGCAAATTCTGTGTTCGAAAACGGGCCAAATCATTTGCATAAAAGAGCCGATATTTTTGTAAGGTCGGAAACGGCGAAGAATGACATCGAATGGCCGGACCACCATTTGATGCAAAAACAGTCTATTGGGAAAGTCAAAAAAAGCGATCAATGTTAAAACAAGACTCACGGATTGTGTTTGCTCGACAACGAAGAACAATAATATTGTGCCTACTAGAGGCCATAGAATCAGGCCGAATCGCCGACGCCTCATCATGGCGCGGCCCTTCCACTAATCAAAGCGTTGAGGTCGCGCCGTCGGTTCGATGGGAATGGCCGGGATTTGTTCTTGAAGCACCCGTAGCTCCCTGTTAAATTACCTGAAATCCGTTCATTGTATAACTACATAGTTGTGTAAAACAAACGGCTAATTTTATCGCGAAATTTCGGTACTGTTGAAATATGAGATATGATGAAAGGATAAGACGGTCATCAATTATTGTTTTTTGTAAACTTGCAATACGTTTTCCTCCAAAAACATTGAAGGAAAAGGAAACGCAACAATAGAACTTTAAGATTAGTGTTTTAAAACGCAACAAATTTTATCCCCTAAAGTCGCGACTCTTTTTTGACCAAAAATCCCATACGCCGTAATCTTAAATCCAGACATAAACAAACCCCAGCGATCGCAAAAAAGAAACTACCGTATCCACTTCTGCAACATAAAATTTCATTGGTCGCGAGGGATTAAGGGGAATTAGGTCCATAAATAGAAAAAGGCAAGAGGAGTGCGAAGGTCAGCGGGCTGGAATCTAGCGAATGGCAAACGGCAAGGACTAAGGAGGCGTTTAAAGAGGTGAAGAATGGAGTTATGAGCACGATTAACTTATTCTAAGTAGTCAATGTGTGTCTTTAAGGAAGTATACTTTAAGAAGAAGAAGCATAGAAAAATTTGAAAAAAATTAACAGGATAAACCAAAGGTAAACTATACAGATGTATGTGGTAGAGACAGCACGTATTAGGTTTTACGCCTATTATCTTAAATTTGTACACGTTAACTAATCTGCAAGCTTGTATTCCTGTTTTCCCCTTGGCGAATATTGAAGAAAATTGGCTACAGTAATCCTCCCATAGTCTTACTTTTTGTTTCACAAGCTTGCAGTGGTGACTTCCTTACTAATTTTCTAGTATTTTTTACCACACACCAGACTTATCAAACGCCCATACGCCCTCATTGCGGACCCCCGCAAAATCGTTGAGAATGTCAGGCCGTGCCTCATCTCCGACAAAACTGTGGCCCTTCCGTCTAGGGAGAGTGTGGTTTCCAAAGAAGGAAGACCAAGGTCCGGGTTAGTGGAATATTTTTTTTTGAGGTGCAAAATCAACGGACCCCGGTCGAAGAATAAAGAGAAGGGTTAAGAGAGGACGTCTGTTTCTTCGTAGGCCAAGCCCCCCAATTTTTTTGCCCCCCTTCTCCACCGCTGATCCGGGCCGATTGTTCGGCGGTTTTTGCCAAAAGCCCCCCGACTTCTCCCGACGGCGCTGGCCTGGTTCCCGGGGCCCCGGATTAAACGCCGGCCCGCGATAAACCCGCAGGGCAAAAGGAAGAGGGATTGGAGTCCCGACTTTTGGAGTCTGATCCAACGAAACCCCAACCTTTGTTAGTTTAGGGACATATTTCCCCTACTAAATCAAGAAACCAGGGCTTTGAAAAATTGGGCATATGACGGTTATGAGTGATTTCGCCGCGAAATATCAATTTAAACCTTGGGCCCAACAAAAATGTTTTCTGTCCAAATAAGGTATAGAGATAGCAAAGCAATTACTATAAGATACAGGCGTGCCTGCATTTTTTTACAAAACAGATTGGCTTGGCAACATATAGGCCAGTTTTACACTGCAGATCAAAGAGAAAAGAAGGCTATTAATCTTCACGCCAAAAGAGATCTCGGCCAGATTTTACGCCCAACCCGGAGGTCAATTTGTCCCCGGTAACGCTTGACAGAGAAACACTACTTGACTATGGAAATTTCTTCAATACACCCATTTTGTTATTGAAATCCTGCGGGAAAAAAGTGAAAGCTTGTTTTTGCCGGACAAATAGATAAATAAAGTCGACGCAGCCATAAAATGAAGCTGACAAATTCCCGACAACATGGGGCTGGAAATAGGAGAAGTTGAGGCCAAACGAGGTTTTCAAAAAGAATTCAAAATTCAAGCAAATTGATAAAACATTTGCATCGTCATACCGGGCTTTTTCAGATGGGGATTTAGCCCTTTCAACCTCCGCATTGCCCACAATCGATCATACTTTACAAATTCATCAAGAAATGCCTGGTCAAAGACTGACGTTCCCTTTCCCTGGCCTCAGGTGTGTCCAGCACCCTTATCCCCCAGGCAGAACTCGGTTCCTGTTCTAGATCAGCGAAAAATTCGACGAAACGAAATAATTCCGGGGCGTGGCCGCAGCGAACTTCTTGACCAGTGAGCGACGAATTCGTGGGCCAAAGGCCGCGATTGTGGCCAGAAGGAAGAGAGACGAGGAAACACTGCATGACTGGCGAGGATGAATGACATTTACAGGTGAAACCAATACGAAAAGCCCACTGTTTTTTCGCTTCTTTTCTCCATTCAGAAGGGCCCGGACCAAAACAGATTCCCGGGCGTCGGATTCATTTTTATTGTCCGCCACTTCGTTTTCGTAAGAAGTTTTTTGGGAGAACAATATAAGAATACAATCAAGGTTGGCGTGATGCAGCGAAAAGGCAACGTCTTGAAACAATACATTCATCTGTACGCACGGGAGATGGTGATCACTGTGGGGAATTGAGAGATGGATTCGAGGCATTAATGACGGAAACGAGAAAGAGTCTCAAACTTAAACTCACAAAACTCAAATTTTCCAAAAACAGAGTTTTCCATTAAAAATCGATAACAACTTTCATGTGAATTATGGATGTTTTACCAACGCACAAAATCCTGACGATTTATTTGGCTTGTCTTATTTTTAAAAGGTCTCATAGACAAAATTTTTAAGTGACTCGATAACTTATCCGAGCCTCTTGAAACCCAATATCGAAGTGAACAGGTATATAGAAGCGAAAATGGGATCCACGACTTACTGAAAGTCCTTCCCAGGAAAAATCCGAACAATTATTTAAAACAGTTTCGGCGTTTACAAAACCCTCCCGTGCAAAAATATTTTTTAACGCTGAACAAAAAAGTGATCGGCCGACGAGGAAGCGGAGCAGAGATTGGCCATTAAGCGATAGGATTGGCATCACCTTTGTGTTATTTTTATCTCCCATCTCTGATGCCCTCCTCGGCCGGCCAGCAGTCTTTTGGGGGGCGAGTTGGGCCGCTAGTCGAAACGAAAAATCGGCCACAATCAACACATTTCCCCGCTTTTGCCGAATATTTTAAGACCATTTGGCAACCTTTTCGCTTTCCCCCTTTTCTCTGATCGTTTTATAACCAACGTATGTAGGGGTGTTCGATTCAAATGTCTGTTGTTTATCACTTCGACCAAGGAGTAAACATGGTTTTCTGTTGCGACGTTGTATGCAAGAGAACATTCTGTTGTCTCTGCATTACAAATCACCCATTTTAGCAAAAACAGGCGTTTTTGAATCGGAAACAAAAACATACTGCCCTTACGACCTTTTTTCATGGAATAAGATGTAATTCGCTAAAAATACCAATGGAATAATAACCTTTGTTATAATATAAATAACCAAAGAAAATTTTAAACGAAAAGCCGTTCGAAACCTTAAGTACCACAACTTCCTCAGAGCAAAAAAATGTCCAAGATAAACTTTCAAACGGCTTTATGACCCCCTCAATCGCCGCAAGTTCAGTCCGAACAGACAGTGGACGTCTGGCCAAGACAAATGCGGCGCCTCACAACCCTTGGCCAACTGACCCATTGGCCTCATTGAAACGGCCAAACTTTTGGGTTCAAGGACGAGATCGAGATCAATATTACGTCATTATGGGGAGTAGTGGTCGGTATGCCGAAGAAGCAGGTCGTCGGCCGGAAGTGGCTGTAATTCAAGGAAGATGCGGCGCAAAGACATTCATACCACTTCTTTCCTTGTCGTAGTCTGAAATATGTGCGTGCATGTTTCATGTCTAATCGTCGAGAATGCCTCGATTTTATCATTTTTAAAACCATTCAGGTTCAACATTTGGGTGTTAAAAATTGCTGAGATTTATAGCTTCCGTAAAGTTCAGTTTTGCGGAAATCAAAGGATAGGAAATGTTTAAAAAGAAGCTACATGCCTTTGCAAGGGGTTTAAAAATTGTTTAGTCACGAATAAACAAAAGTAAAGAAGATGTAGTGTGAAACAATATGACTTGTTTTACATTGATCGAAACAGAACCTTCGCATTGGGCATTTGCGGAATAAGGTTTTTAAACGAAATATCGTTGACAAAAAAATACTTTGAATTAAATGAATAAAAACATCAAAGTTTATAAAAATAATTAATATATTACATATTTTCAGGTCAAGACGAATTTAGGTAGCTATTGCAAATCGTATTCAGCAGTTCTTTTATAAAAACTGTCCCTTTTAATTTCCCATTGGTTTACTTTCCGTTTCCTCTCTTCAAACGCATTGATTCGAATAGCGCAGTCGGTAGCGCGTTTGCTTTTCAATCGAACAGTCTCGGGTTCGAAGCCGGTGAAGACAAATGCCATTCTTCTTGACGAGGAAACCTAATGGAAGTTTGATTAGTCTTTCTGAGGCCTTTTTTTGATTTCACCAACACCTCGGCAAGAACGCATCCATCATTTCTTGCCCCTTTTACAACCTTCTCATCATGTTTTCGGCTTTTCAAACGGGCGTTTGGTTCTTGACCTTCCGACGTTTCGATCTTTAGAATATCAAAGGTTCCCGAGGAAACTTAATTTTCAAGGAAGTTTTTAGTAGCACCAAGTTTACAATAATAGTCTAAAAATAAGGCGTAATCCTAAGCGGGGGTTGTTTTTGTGTCCGAAAAAGATGATTTTGCAGAATTAAGGGATAAAAATTTTGCTTTGGATACGATTATTTATTTTCGCTACTACAGTAGGTTTGTTGCGTCTTCGTGGACAATAGCATTATTGCAGGCGTAGCAAGTCATTCTCTATCTCAATTTGCCATTCCCGGTAAAACAACGTTGCTTCCAGCACGCTTTTTATCCATGACGCCGGCCGGTGTTCGCAAAGAATTTAATCCCATCAAAGCTAATGTCTGAAACTCCGGGATAATTTCTCGCGGCGCATTGTCTCAGGTGTCGACGCACGGCCTTAATCCCCTAATTCATGGCTTCCGAAAAATTCGAGGAAATGTTTTGGCAATTAAGCCAGGAAAAAGCAACGAAATCTTTCGATCTTCAAACCCTAATTGGCGGAATTAACCGTGTTCCGTAAATTAATTTACGGAATTAATATTAGAGTCGAGTCTGATTAATTCCGATAAACTTTGAACGAGGAATATTCAGAAATGCGCGTTGTTCTTGCAAATGGAGACACGACATTAAATTTTAAATTACCATAGGCGTATTTTGAGTAGAAGAGATTTGGAATATTTCTATGGGGAGGCCGTTTTGTGCACTATATTTTTATTACAGGGAGTAATGCAACATTTTGCAATAGTCGTCAATGATTAGTGCACAACAGAATGGGCAAAGTGCGACGCTTACGATTAGTTTTTTCTCAGATTTTAGCGAGCAGAGGCTTCCATAAATCCCTGAATACTTTAGCTGGCACACTGCACACGCAGCCAAGATTTCTTCTGAGTCAAAGTGCACTGTGCTAATCTCAAGTATGCGATAGAAATAACTTGAAATACAATTTCAATTCTCTCCCGTCCTTCTCTAACCGCTTCCTTCAACCGTATTCCCCATATATCATGACAGTCTTTTGTCGACCACGGTATTTATAAATTTTTGAAATCCCGTTGTGTTTGTGATGTCGAAACTGACGCTTAACACAATACTCTCAAAAATTATACCATTTCTTGTTATCAATTCTGGCGAGTCGTTAATTGTAGTCTTTGCAAAAACTTTTGGCGGAAGTATTCGCACATACAAAGTTTGAGCTCGTAAGCCCGTAAATCTGGGCAATACATGCAAAACGAGTCCAACTAATTCGTATAACAGCGCAGTACGTGTGTTAATATTGTTGTCTAGGGGGTCATTGCACAATATTTACTCGTGTTTTACTAAAGATCCCTTAAAATAGACGTCGAAATGACACAAAGTATACTCGGCACACTTCGGATCGGATGTTGGGCAAGCTATTAAAATAACGAGATTAGTAGGCCTTGAAAACTTTCATCCAATATGGTAGGATTTGTTTTTTTTTGGTATCTGAGATATAATACGTGTATTTGTGGATTGTGAGATCATAGTAATGGGTGGCTTACCGTAACCAGATATGTTAAGTGTAAGTTAATACGTCAGTCCGATGACAAACAAGGTATTTAGAAATCTTGTGGTTGCAAATGGCCTTGGAGCTGATCAGCGGTCCACTGCAATGTGAACTAACGACCTTATTTATTGTTTATGCTGTACATTACGTAGATGCTTTTTATTGTTATGGCACTTTTCAGTGCGTCAGACGCACATATTTGGCGGAAAATTTTTTCCAGCTCGAGTATGTTAACCTGAACTTTTAATGTATAAATTCATAGAGACATGACTCTTCCTTTAGCATAAACCAACCTTTTGGACTACCCAGTCAAAAGTTTAACGATTTATTTCCTGAATCAGGAAGCGTACTTTACTCGCAAAGGTCGTACTTAGAGTGAAAACAAATTTTTAGGGCTTGCGAACTTGATTTTTACTTTAATCTTATTAGTTTTTTTTAACAAAGCTGATTACGAAGTGCTGCGAGACCATGTGTGTAGTACCAGTGAGTCCAAAAAATAGTGTCATTTCTCATATATTCTTAACCTTTTAATAAATCACTCCAACCTTCAGTAGTCTTTATTACTCACCAAATGACACTGATCGTTCGCTGTTGCGAAATGTTTTTTACCGCTTTTTCGGCCGATATCTTCCGCTTTTCCGGCGCCGTACGGCCCAACCGAAGCCGATCGGCCATCCGACTAATCCTTTGTCTATGAACGATCCGCTTGATTTTAATATTCAGTGTTTGATCATGGGGCCCCGACTCCGATGGGCGTGACCGATTCATTGTTGTTCTTGGGTGCAACGCGCCCATTCGCAAGGGAGGCGCGTGGTAAAGCGGGGAGTAAATTCCATAAAAACATTGTCAAGCTTTCTGCTCACTCTCCAAAAACAATGAAAGTTCTCGGATTATCCTTGGGAGAGCGAAAAAACAATACAGTAATGAAAATAGAAAGATCTTGAAAGAAAAACTATACAAAAACAGTAAGATGAGAAAATCACCCCTTGGAATTTGGAGACGTTCTAGTGATTGCTGGTCCCTTTTACCAACAAAGCAGAAATCCTAAGATCTTCTCAACTTTATAGCCTAAATCCAGGTTAAGCATTATTGTTCGTCGGGATTCTACGGTATTCACGATTTGACCGTGTAACTATGTCTACACTGGTATTTTTACAAAATTTCGGCGATACTTTCTCCGTATTCAGTTCCTCTATTTCCTTGTGGTTTTCTCTTTTGGGACGATCTTTTTGTCCGCAATCCAAGTCTCTGCGCGCTCTCTCCTCCGCTCCCTGTTCTATCGCATCGAATGGTCGTTCGAAGAGGGGCGCAGAGTTCAAAAACCGTGACGTAGTTGCCCGGGTTGAACGATGATCTTTCGCGATTCGGGGCAAAGTCGAGCGGTCGCCGTTAGAGAAGCAGAGAAGCGGAAGAGAGAGCGCGTCACTCCCCACTCCGCGCGCTGTGCATCGGACGATCAGAGCGACGACGACGCACTGTAAAAGGGGTGGGGAGCTGGTTGGAGCCGACTCAAAGGCGAAAAAGTTCGAAATGGAGGCAAACCCCAATTTCGTCGCCCTCCGGACATGGGGAAAAACAAAATTTATTGTTTTCATGGACTGGACCGGTGGCGCTGTCTTACTCGATCCCCATTTGCGTGTCCGGCCATAGATTATTATAGGCTAGTACAACTTGTGAGCAACTTTAGTAATTTGTGAGGAATCTTTGCACTGGGAACGCCCTCAGATGTGATTAAATGGGGTGTTCTACAGTAGCCTTCAGCGTGATGGATGATTAGAGAATTTTGCAAGTAGTTCTGATAGAAGATAAATATCATGCCAACAACAATTCCTAAATTTGCCTGCTCTGCTTTAGAGTTCACGCGTGTTTCTTTTGCATCTCGTTGATTTATTAGAAGACGTTAAACCAGTTTTCGGCCCTATTGTCTTCAAAATTTAGTGCTAATTCTGAATGAAAGGTGCCTGCCTTCAAATTTTTCTTACTTTTCTCGCCATTACTACTCAAGTTCTTACACAGTAAGCTTCTTGTCATACCATGTTCGCCTTCAACCCGTTTACCTTTCTTAAGACCCGTTCGCAATGTAACGGTGTTGTTTCCGCGATGAAAAACCGCCGAACTTCTCGTATTCCGGGAATGTACGGTAATCGAAACGTGGCAAACAGGATTAAACACCTCTTTCGACTGCGAGATTAATAGACTTTGGAGTCTGCTATAATTAATCGGTTAGCCAGAAATTTAGGTCAAATATGACGAGGACTGGGATTCCTTGTTTTAATTAATTAAAATTAATAGTCAGAAAGTGTAGACGATTAATAAGGAACAACTTTCCAATGACCAAGAATTGAGGTGACATTTTCGAGTTTTCATACTGTAATTTGGCTTTTCCTTGCTTCGTATTCTGCAATATAATTCTACTTTTGACTAGCTTGCTTTTGTAAGTCCTTATTTTTCATGATATTTAATGCCAACAGTACGGAATCTTGCAATAGAACCTTGTTTTTCGAAAACTCTGCACTTTTCTCTGATTTTTGGCTTGTTTATGATCCGATGTCAGTCATTGATACCTGAACCAAACTCGACACCAGTTTAAAGAGCCTTCGTAAAACTAAAACAGCAAATACGCAGTCCGTGTATTTGTCGTCTCTCATTTCTCTTTGGCGATTACTCAGCATTATATTTCGCAACTACCGTAATTTATGTGACAAAGTAATTTTCCAAGAACAGAAGATTATTTCTATGCAAGGATTTGCATTTAGATACTACTGTAGATCGTCTAAAAGTACATAATACATGCGCAAGGCAAATTTTTACTTTTTTATGTCTATCTATATCTGACTTCAATTTAATTATTTCAATCTTTGTGATTTGGGTACAAGAAAAACGTGGAGTTTATGAAAGCATTTGTATATATTGTAGACAAGCAAACAACTCTATGCTTTTGATCCCTTTCTTAATGTTTTTTAAAATTCTCAATCAAGTACACGCCAACGGTTTTGTCGATTAATTTCCTTTCCGTTTCCCCCTTCTAGATTAATGAAGTTTGTCTTTGATTTTAACAAAGACATTTTTAAAAGATCGTGTGGGGAGTTCATCGCCGCGATCAACCCCAACGGGCTTACTGTAGTAATACAAGGGACGTTAAAGTTGGCGGTTGTAAACCCCGTATTCACTAATGCAGTTGAGTATTTGCATACTACCTGGAGAGGTTCAGTTTTATATTTTAGAGCCACTAGTTATTTTAAAAGAGGAACCCTGGAAACAAATTAACCTCCGAGCACATCAAACTGTAGTTTTCGACTGTTTAGCCCTCTTCTCCAATGCTTCAGTAAAAGTCGTCTAATCGACAAAGTGAGTTGTTCCTCGAAAGTCTTTTGAAAAACCTTTATCCAGCGATTGTGTTACAAATATCTCCTTATATTAGCAATCGCCCCATAACATTTTAATCTATGCAATAGTTCCTTAAAGCGCCAGAATGCTAGTTGAATTTGATCGGTTTTGTTTATAGAGGCAAGAAAGTACACTTTAGACATCAAAAACTACCTGTCTGTACCCATATAAAACGAAGCGAATGGTGGCCTTTGATCTCGGGACGTAAATTTCTCAACTTCGGTCTGTGAGCTCTTTAAAAGTGTTTTCAGACGGCTGGAACTTTGAAGTGCTGATTTTTTGCCTTTCCTCCCAAAAGTAGGAAAAGCAAAAAATTAAATCTTATTTATCGTTTGAATACAGTAAAGTCTGGAATATCGGATGCACGTGTAGAAGATAACTGCAGATACTTTACGATAATTTCAATATTTATTTTTGAGGTCTAACTGAGTGCGGTAAAATTTCTGCACGGAACGATGGGAACTTAAACGAAGTAAGACATATATCTTTGGATTAATATTGCACCATTCCTTTTCGTACACCCTTCTGAATTGTGCCTGTGCATTTGTAAATGGACATGTCTTGTAAGCTCATCCTTCCAGGTTCTTTTTGAATTGGTTAAGTTTTAGTGGCATTACTGTATCGTTGTTATGAAGGATTGACATTTACGAAACTGCCTCTCGATTTTCAGGCAAGTTTTGCGTCTTGATTCCAATTATTTTCCCCTTTGAGCAAACATCCCCTTAATTACATCAGTTAATCCTCAAAATACGTCTACCGATCCCTTCATGCCAAGTAAGTGACTAATCTGTTTACTAGTATGTTTTCCCTCCCATGTCTACATCTCTCTAAATTTACACTCTACCGTAACCCTTATCCCGACGCTCTCTCCTCTCTTCATGATGCAAAGATTAACCCAGTTCCAAGAAGGCCGGGCTCAAGTGTTTGGCCCAACCCCTCTAATCTCAACATGGTCGTATGTACATTTTTGTGAGATTATGTAGAATTGATTGGTCGTGTTTTCTCGGAATGGCATGCGATTTGCGTCGCAATTTGGGTGCTTAATAAAGCAGCTTGGTCGACGCTGTGAGATCAGTATCGGGCGGGATTTGATTAGTACACGGAGGGATATACGTCAGAAATTGGTCGATGAATTCCTGTCTGAGAGACTCGCAAAGTGCTTAAAAACGGCCTATGAGCATTTTCAAGCTTCCCCGATTTATGCATTTATGTCTCCGATTCAGAACTCTTGCACTCTTATGCCCTCACCTGAGCAATGTTTTCCCGACCTCAGTGATTCGAGTTCAAACTGACGCCATTTCTTTTGTTTCTCCTTTTTATCCGCCTCCGTCCAAAGACCCTCAGGCATTTTTCGCGAGCCTAAATTTAGCGCCGACCTGCAAATCGATCCCGGAATGCAGGTTGACATCACCGTTCGGGCCACCTGACCCAGAGGGTCGGGTGCGGCCCAAAGGGCGGGCGAACTCGGGCCGCGGATCGGCTTTTGATTTTTGGCATTTGGAATTCCAACGGGATCGTGCTGTCATGAGAATACGGTCTTCCCTCGAGTTGAGCGTTGTTTTTGTTGTAAGAACATAGTTTAAGCGTTAGCAAAGTGGAGATAGCGTAAGACGAATAATGGGCATTAGGCATAATAGTGTGTTCTATGTTGTCTACCAAACAAAAACAAGCTATAAAATATTTTCATGCCACTTCTCTTGCATCCAGCCAAAGCCTCGCAGGAATTGGGAAATCTTCTTCAAATACTTTTGTAAAGGCTTTAACACTTAAAATTTAGATGTCCATTAATTTATATGTATTTTATCGCAGTCATAATCGATTTTTGCGGTTTTTGCTTTCTTTCAACCTCCATTTGGTTACCGTACCTGCAAATCGTTTCGTACAATTCCCGTAATTCGAATTGCGTGCCCCCATGATTTTCGTGCCTCTGCCGGCATTTCGGATTCACAAGGAGTTGCTGAAAGAACATTTCCCGTAATGTTTAGACTTTTAGCGAGTATAATTCGTTTCTTTTTCACTTAAACTTTTACACTTCCTCATTGCGAAAAGTGTAATGCATAATGGGCGTACGAAAGGGTCTGTTTACGGTTACAATACGTGAATTTCTGCTTGAAAAATGGCCTGCTTTGGGATTCAAAGGCGTAGAGTGTTATGGGTGTTGTACTACGCCCTATGGGCATTAGTCACTTGCAGACTAATTGCATGTGCAACTGTAGCCCGATTTTTGCATTTTTGGGCCGGTATTTGGATCCTCATGGTTGATGGATTCTGAATGTTGACTTAGCATTATGATGCTTTGAAAGGAACGTCTGAATTACGGTGTGTAACCAGGCAAGGAAAATTGGTACATATCTCTAAGGCAGCTTTTTATGCAATCATGGTTCTTCGTAAACTACGAAATCCTTGTCCAAAATTGGCAGTTCTTTCATCTTTGAGGCGCCATTCCATCCCACTCGTTATAACGCCGCAGTTTTTAGCCTACTACAACCTTCATTCCGCCACTTACTTGTTGTTCCTGTTTTCAATTAATTTTCCCGAAATCTTGTGTTTTGTCCCAAAATCTTTGTACTTCTACGGGATGTGTCTCTGGTGCACAAGAGACTGTGGCATTACGAAAGGTTGAAAATGGTGTTATAAGTTAATGGTATTACAAATGTGTCGTATTTATTTCTACTTCAATATGAGAAATTGTTGTCCGCAAAAATTTCGGAAATTCCATGGGATTATTAATTACAAATCCGTTCGTGAAAAGACCTTTTCCTCGTTTTCAAAGATTCTCTCCGGCTTTCTTTTATCCATATAACCTTACGCAGTTCATCTTGCCTATTACACTGTATTTGATTTTATATATTTTACAATCCGCGTCTTCCTCTCAGCGGTAGCTTTGTCATTTTGAAACTCCCTCCGCATCACACCTTGTGTATACTTACAACTTTCTACTCTCGCCATCTTTTTGCAAATTACTGTACGGGGCCTGCGGCGTTATTTTGGGACTCCCTTATTTGTTCTCCGAATTCGAGGTTGGCCTAATTAACTTCCGTATTTAATAAGTTTTTGGAAGTGCGGCTTCTTTTTTCGGGGCCGCACGGCGGAATGTTTTTTCGGGCTTTGGTCTTTGGAACCTAGGTCTGACTTTTTAGAACTAGAACTTGCATAACTTTATTGTTTTAAGAGACGTGTTATATGTATAATACGCTTAATTTTTTACTGCTTTCGCGGAAATTTACAGCAGTAAAATTGGCTGCGTTTTTTAGATTTGATATTTGCAGATGTTCCAAACTCAAGCCAGTCCAGCCGAGCCGAAGAGCGAGTCGCCGTTTTCCTGTGTGGATCTGTGCGTGGTTTGCGGTGATAAGGCGATCGGAAAACATTATGGAGCTACAAGTTGCAACGGGTGCAAGGGATTCTTCAGACGGAGGTAAGACTGGTTTTCATACTTGTCGATTTTTTTGTTCTGAAATAGCTCTCCTTTATGCCAAATTTTAACCTATTTCCGGTCTTTTTCTCTTCCCTCAACATGCAAACTTAACGTCCCACGTTTTCCCAATTTTTTATCGCAACCCCTAAAAAAGTTGTACTCCCTAAAGCGAAGGCTATTTGTCGAAGCCCCAGGTCATCGGAACGCACGTTGCAGCCGAAAGAGCGACCGTTTTCCGTGACGTAATCTCGCCGATTGAACTTTCCTCTTTTCTGTCTCTTCTCTGGTTGCCCTCCTCGCGCAGCGCGATCTTTGGCGAACGTTTTTGAAACGTTTGTTGACAAATTGTTCAAGGTTCCGCAAATAAATGGATGGGGGTTACGGTAGGAACGGGGCGAGTGAGTAAATACGGAAGATTCTTGAGAATTGCAGGGATTGGGAAAATTGCCAAAATGCCATGCTATTCACAAATTTTAAAATAAAGGTGCCTTCGGATCAATTAGACAAGTAATCCTCATATATCCTTAATCAGCTAATTTAACAAGATCACGAGAAGATTGTGAAATCCTTGAAAAGAATACCTCAAAGAACAGGATAGCCACTTGTTGGGCAAATTTCTGAGCCATGCTTACAGAAAACACACAACCTTTAGTTTCTAGCAAAGTTATCAAACGTCGTTTAACTTTCGGAAAGTTACGCGATTTATAATAAAATTACCAGCACTTCTCAGGAATGAATATGCTTTCTTGAAATACTTCTATTTTTACTACCCTCTCACCTAATGCCTTGAAAAATTTCAGCGTTTGGCAGAACCTCCAATACACCTGCCGTTTCAACAAACAATGCAAAGTGGACAAGGATCATCGTAATGCATGCCGCTACTGTCGTTTCCAGAAATGCCTTGCCGATGGCATGAAGCCGGAGGCAATTCAGAACGAGCGAGATCGCATTGGCTCCACCAAGAGGAGTCGCAAGCGGACGTTGCCAAGTCTTGAATCCGGTTCGCCCGAACTCTTCCACGGCACCGTCGGTTCGCCGCTGGACGAACGCAACAGCGACACCGATGACGCCTCGACTTCGTCGGCATCGTTAAGTCAAGGCAAGCAATTGGATGAAAATTGGAGAAATTTAATGGAGAATCTGCAAAGCATAGAGCAAAAGGTTTCGGTCAATCATAAAGAGAAGCTGGGCAACTTTAATGTGAGACAACTCGGAATTCAGGTAGGAAAATCGAAGATCTACTGTCAGTGAAGACAAAGTTCATCGATCCAAACATTTCTCAATGCGCTTTTTCAGGCTATAATTGACTGGTCCAACATGCTGCAGCCGCTTGCTGATCTCCCCTTCAACGACCGAGTGCAGATCCTGAAGGCCAGCACAAATGCATTTGCTCTCCTCACCGTTCTTCAGCGCTCTCAAAACTCGAATCATCTCATTTTGCCCGACAATTCTGCTCTTTCGTTGTCAGCATTATACTCCAACGAAGTTTCCAGCATCATCAACCGCATTATGGACGAACTCCTGGCCCCACTGAGACGGATGAGCGTGGAACAAATTGAGTTCTCCGTTCTCAAATCGCTGGTCCTTCTTCAAAGCGATTTGTCCGGCCTCAGTGTAATGTCCAGAGACCGGGTTCGGGAAGCGAGAGATCAGATTAGCCGTGCAGTCTTCACGTATTTATCGACCAAACTCAGCCCGATTGATGCTTCACTCCGTCTCACAAACCTTCTTCTGACCATCCCATCAATATTCAACATCGCCAATGCAGTGAACGAGAACTCTCAATTGGCAGCGCTGTTTGGGCTCAGCGCCGCGGTCGCAAATTTGCCAGAGGGCGAGCTGTTTAAGAAAGATGGCAACCCAAGTGAATTGTTCAGCAATGAAGTTTTGTTGGCTGCGCAGATCCTGGCCACCCAACGTCAAACGCAAAGTTTTGGGGCTGTTAGCGCGGCGAGCTCGTTGATTACAACTACTGCTGCCAGTGGGTTGAATATTGGAGACTTGCCGGTATGTTTTCTTCTTCCAGCCCCAAAGCAAAAGCCTTATATTAAGTTTTTAAAGTAATCAAATTTGTTTCAGATTTTCTCCGCTCCACAGACTCAGCTCCAATTCTCAGATATCAACTCGATGAAGAACTTTCTCAACTAAACGCCCCATGACTTCTACCACACTACCATCAATATTTTTTAGGCACACTACTCATCACATTCGACCAAAAAAATTTATGCAAATTTGTTGTTGAAAACTTTCCCGGTGTCTCATTGTACATACCAATCCAGTAGTTGTAGCTCTTATAGTATTTCTTTCACTTTATGCATTGTTGTTTTTACCAGAACATATTTATTGGTCTACCATATCCAGATGTAATCGGCAATTGTATCATGGTATTTCGTAGAATCTTGTGAATATTTGAATAAAGACCCTAATAAATAAAGATGAAGACATCTTGCAAGCTGCAGACCTGCTAAATTTATTCGCGTAATGGCCTGTATACAATTTTGTCGGATTTTTAGTGGTCGTATACACTTTCTCCCCATAATTTACTTGTATCACATGAAATGTTTTAGTTGAGAAAGCCATGGCTTACGTTTTTCAATCCTTGGTGCTTGCGCAAATCACGACAACTCCTTTGTTGTTCTGACCATGGCATTCTTGATGATTTCTTCGAGAACTCGGACAACAAAAAGCAGGCCATGGTGTGTGAGGATCGGATAAGTCTTTATTGGCGGATAAAGACTTATCCGATTATCGTAATTCTTGCATCGATTTATGAGCAGTTTCGAAAAAATTTTCTTACCAAAATGATTGACTACTCAAAAGAACGTTTATTTACAAGATAGAATCTCGGAAGTGTTGGACGATATTTACAAACAAACAAAAAAGTGAAAGATCAATAGCACCGGAATGTTGACTGGATTGTAAAGCGGTAATATCTGTTTTTGAAAGATCACAGAATCCCTGAGAATGAAAAATCTAAAGGCAAACTAATGCCACCTGAGTAGTATGAACAATGATATTGCTGTGGATATTAATGGTGCTAAATGGCCAGAGGCAGATTTCCATTTTTGCTCCAAAAGCTGTATCTTCACATCTTCCAAGGCTTGATTTGTGTTGTCGTCGCAATTACTGTAGGCACTGCCTTCGAACTGAAAACCTAACGTTGTTTGCACAAATGCTTCTTCATACCACACAAAGGTCAATGAAAATTGCAACTCACACTGTCTTCGTCATCTGGATTTGGGTTCAGCTCTTCAAGGCCGCTCGCTTCAACCTCCGAAGCCTTTGCTGCCTTACCGTCATAAATGTTGAGCAGTTGGACTCGAAGAGAATGCAATGTCATCCGTTCATCAATGAAGGTGGCTAGAACAGGGGATACAATAATTTAACGGGCAATTACCTTTGCTTAAGTTCATTTGCATATCTCTGAATTCCGGGTTATTTTTTTGGTGAAAGATTCCGCTAGGAACTACTGGTTTCCGATAAGAACCGACAGTTTGACCGTTCCAACACTGCTCTTCAGAACCTTGGGCCACTTGTCCATCGGCGCAAATAGCAGTGGGCAGAAGACGCCAGGCGCCTTTCATCAAGATCAGCTGAAAAGGGTAGCATTTTTATTAATAATTTTATAAAACAATAGCTTCGTTAAGTTGCGCAAGTATTTAGGATATTTCCGCTGTAAATTTAACCCGAACTTCGCCAAAGCATAACCTCCATCGGCTTAACAAAATCTTACCCTGTCATTAAACCTAGCCATGTCCTTCTTGAGTGCGTCTCCTTTCCTGTACAGCCTGTCCAAGCTTTCGCTCAGCCAATTTACATTGTTCGCGGAAGTCTCGGAGTTCATCACAATCGGTCGATCGGTCAGAACGTTTTCTTCGGCGTTCCTTTTGAATCTGAGCGTCGGCTCAAAACATTGAAACAGAATACGATTCGAAATAGTATTTCCACGTTCTTGAAACAACATTATAGCCTCCGAAATTTGGATCGGAATCGGAGCCAGCACGTGGTATGCATTGCTGGCGGATTTTAAACGATTGGAGAGAAGTTGAAGGGTGCCTAAAACATTTTTTTGAAGGAGTCTCTATCAACCTTATAAAAAATTTCTGATCTAAAACATGTTCTAGTTAATGTAATATTCGCATTAAAGCACATAGCTTGTTGATTAATCTAAATGCATTTTTCTTCGATTTACAGCGTTCTTACACACTTATATATTGGTACCTAAAAGGGCGCCGAAACTCAAATTGCGCAATAATCTGTGTCGGCGCTTCCGTGGAGATGGATAAGACGAAACAAATATAAAAACAGGCTGATCTGTCCTTTTGTAATTACCGGGCGACGACCTCTCTGCTGGAGACTCGAAGAGGAAAAAAACTACGGGCATATAATTATGATTTACACTAAAGCCGAGGGTATGCGCTGATTAGAGAGTACGCAAAGGTCATGAATGTCAACAAATTGCAGAAACGACAAAGCAGAGAATTGGACAGGTAGCTCTAAAATCTCAAAGATTAATCGCACTCACCCATCAATCCAGTCCATTGAGGTTCAATCTCCGCAATCTCCGCAAAACATCCATTTAGCACATTCAAACAATAACCCATACAAGGCTTCGCTTCCGGGCCAGCCCCGGAACAAACATGACATTGTCGCATGGCAATCAGCTTGCTTACACATTCCTTTTGCAGCACCATTTTATCACTGATCCGTATCAACAACTCTGAAGCCTTCTCCAGCGAACTGGTAACAAACTTCCAACCCAAAAACATGCGCTCCAAAATGATCGCCAGCTTGGCTGGAATCTGGCCAAATGGCTTGAGTTGGCTTTGCAACCGGGCCATGCAATGGCGCTCGGCATTTGAGACATCTCGCATGGGATTCATCAGGCTGAATTCGGTAAGGAAAACTTTCCGAAAAAGTGACCCAAGAGCTGACTTGAGGCTGGCGGAAGAGTCATCAACAGCAAATTGTTCATCAATTTCGTCGAAAAAATCGGCAAAGACCTAGAATTTGACACTTGAGTAATCATCGCCGGAATTAAAACGCTTTTTCGTATGTATAGTCTAACTGAATTTTCTTTAAAACCCCTCTTAAAGTCATTCATAAGCTCCTATTGGGTCAAATCAAATATGAAATCGGATCCGGCGGTTTGAATTTCTCTAATACCGGCACTTATTAGGCGCTCTCAACTTCGCTCAAGGACAGGGTGTGGCCTTGAGGGGCCAAGCGGATACGGAAAAATTAAAAGTCCGGCGAATAATTGAACCCAACTGTGAAAATAAAGAGAGTACAGGACAAATCTATCGTATTGGACTAGACCTTTAAAAAGCACTACTTGGCTTCAACATAACTCTAAAAAATTACGCGTCCAACGAGCCGGAAACCGATCGTTGAATCAAATCTTTTCAAAAACTTTTTACAGACTAACCTTGGCGTTGTCGCGATAAAACGAGCCATAAGTTTGCTGAAACATTCGGTCCAGCTGGCGTTCCGTGCTCCTCAGTGCGTCGCGAAAGTGGTCTAAAAACATGGAGAATTAGTTTTTGCGGTTAATGAGCCAAATCAAAAGAACATTATTCTCAGATGAGTTAAAAGCTAAACAAATTCGTAAATCAAAGTTTTCTCATTAATAAAAAAAACTTTATAAGGCAGATTCTGGCCTAGCGATTACAACACCAGTCAATTTTTGAACTGTATGTGATGAGCGTGTTCATCGCTCAACTTACTTCGAAAAATCCTCGCAAATTCGTCGAGGGTGCCTCTCATGGTGACAACATGGGACTGCACAAACTGCTCAATCTTTTGTCGAGCGAATCCTTCCATTTCGGCTTCGATTTTGGGTGTGCAACAAGAATATAGGCCGTTGAACGGGCAATGTGTGAGATTTTGAGCTAAAAATGGTTGATATTTGGAAATCCAACAAGTGATTAGTTATCACTTGATAACGCATAAAACGGCATAGAATGTTGGAAAAAGGCAGAAGGACTTTTATAAAATAGTCAGAAGCTTTAAACTAACCAATTTGTGGCTCATCCGGCATATTTCTCAGATCGTATGGCGTCTGTTTCATAAATGCGCATGTGGATTGGCACTGACAACATTCGGCCGAAAATATGACCAGAAGGCAGAGTTTGAGGACCAGTCCGGGAGGACGCATCGCTGAAATTAGTCCGTATGAACCAATAAAATGACATGAGGAAAAAAGATTGGCCCCAAACTAGAAAATGCTCTTCAACGGCGATGGCATTTTCATTTTTATCAATGGGACGGACAATTACGCGCAATATGGTATCAAAACATTTGGACAAATTATCAGTGCGTCTAGCCAAGGTGAGTTTATGTATTATCATAAACGAGGAGAGAGGATTGATCGGTTCATCCGTCTTCTTGCAATAAGATTTTTGGGGACTATAAGACTTGGAAGCCTCAAAAGTAAAAACTATCAACCTCTCCTCGACTAATCCATCAAATTACGAGCATGTTCATCTCTCGATTAATGGCAACGATAAGTGGGAGCTCGCGGTAAATTAAGGTTGAAGAGCGAAGGAAAATACGCTATATGGCTTTTTGTTTGCACAAAATTAGCATAAAGTTGGATGACCGTCGGTAAGATGAGTTTTGGTGAAGGGGTGTGCGGACGCAAGGTAAGCAAGTCAAGGGATAATTGAAGGAGATCCGTGTAAATTTTAATACGGGAATTTGAAAAGCTGTGCTATTCGAAAAAAGGGATGAAGATTAGAATCAATCTATCAAAGCTGAAAGCGTCATAGAAATTTGAGCAATGCAAAATTAAGTGCTATTAAATCACGCTGGATGTGCGCATTGTTTCCCCACAATTAATACTTACTTGCCTTCGTCCGAAGTAAAGTATCAGGAATCTCTAAGCCCATAAAGAGGAAACGTTAACCTATCAGCGCCATAAAACTATCCTATCCGCTTTGTCGGTATTCGCAGGTAAAACGTCGTAAACAATTTTAAGGCCCAATTTAAATTATGATGACTCAAAAGAGAGCAATAAAAATTAGAAGAAATAAAGTTCCGGAGGTTAAGCGAATAAAAAACAAGTACTAGAATAATTACTAAAGTTTGCCACAAGTGCTGGAATACAAGCAAGTATGCAGAGAAGAGAAAGCATTAAAAGAAATTTTGGTTTGAAAAACTTTTTAGCTCGAGTAAATCTACAAAATTCGGCAATTTTAACATTTCGTTCAACTAAAAATCTCATTTCCAGCAATAATTAATTACAAATTAACCAAAAAATGGACCCCAATTTCCATAAGAAAAGTCGGAATGCGAAAAAAGGTCGGCAGTCGTCTTTGGCGTCTCGGATCCCGCCGAAACAGTCATTTTTGTGTCACCATCGGAGGGCGAGTGGATCGCGAGTGTTTTGTCGGCACTTCCTTTTGGCCGTCCAGGGGAGTAATCAACAAAACGTAGCGCGTTCATTTTTTGCTGGGAGCTTGAGGTGGATAAGGCGAAAATGGAAAAGGATCATGAATATGAGAAAAAGGGATAAAAGTAGGAAAGGATTTGCAAATGCTAAAAGTTTTTCGATTCGTCTAATAATTTCATAAAGTAATAAAGGTCCTCTAACGATAAGATCCACATTATTTGACGATCCATTCCAAGCAATATAAAGCTATGAAATTACAAAAAGTAGCCGTTGCAAAAAAAGAAAACCCTAAAATCGCCAAGTGTCCTCGCGTAGGTTTGCCGCTGACCATATCGAAACGCAATGGCCAAGCCCCATATACATATGTATATGCAAAGAGGAAAACACGAAAATAAATAAAACAAATTTTGAAGCAAAATTACACCGGTCAGTAAAAGACTACTGCTAATTTAGTAGTCAAAGTAATACAGTTTCTTCCCACAAACCGCACAACAAAAAGGAGCCTCCAAAACAACAGAAAATCTAGGAACTAGAATATTTATCATTTTTACAACATAACTTGAACTATTCACTTCAAAACCTGACAAAAACAGTCCCTTGGACATTCTGGTACATGTAAGGTAAGATTATTTGATTTTAACTTGCTTGCAAACCCGCCGCTAATCAAAAATATGGGCTCCCAACTTCAAATCACCGTAACTTTGCGCTTTCCTAGATTGCTCCCGTTCCCGAAAAAGATCAAAGACAAAATTTTTGTCTGTCAGCCGGAAATCGTCGCAACAAAGACGTAGCGAAAATTTTAACGGATTTTCCCAGTTTGGAACAAATTAGGGAAGGGAGGGAGGTAATGTTGCGGGCGAAGGACGAAATCATCGCTTGGACAAGGTCGAGCGAGGGAATCGCATGAAAAAATGATTATTCTGCAACGATTTGGTTATCAACAACGATTTAGGTGAGCAGCATTCGACATTGTGATTAAAAGGCCCACAAATACCTTATGATATCCTCCGATGATACGGCTAGCCTTGTCGACAATTGTATCGCGCACCTGCGAAACCTCCTTGAGCTAATCGAGGGGACTGAGGATGAGATGAATGAGCAATTTACGCCCACCTTGCAGTCCACTAAAATGCACCCGGCCTTCGATTATTGTGGGCGCGCGAAGTTAAGCCGATTGAAAAGGCAATTCAGATGTTTGCGCAACGTTGCAATTTCCGCACTCTACACTAACATTTGGGGGACCCGTAGGTTGAGGAAAGAATGTGCGGCGGGAAACACTATGTACGATTGGCTTGCGAGAATAATAAAACGATACTGCTGAGTATCAATAGAATACAACGAGATTGTAATTCTGCTTTTCGCCGCGCAAAAGCAACAGAACAGTCAGTCAGTCAGTCGTCTTAAGTGACTTTGCTCCGAAGCAAATCGATCGACCTTCATTTCAAAACAAAGAATCCGGAATTTACCACAAATTGGCCGTGAAATTCGTTCGTTCGAAAGTTGAAAAATGAACTGCCGCCGCAAAGAGGCGATTTCACGCAAATTTGTCTTCCAAGGCGGCGGAAAACAACACAAACTGGCCACAGAAGAAGTGAAAAATTACATATGTATTAAGCTATCGATAGAGGGTAGAAGTTATATAACTAACAGGGGAAGTACTTCAAGTGTGACGCTCAGATTTTCTTTAAATTTTGCACACACATCGGGTATGGACTAAATATCAATTCCTGAAAGTTTTAGCTCGCGCTTTGCGGGCGCCGCCGAGATATTGAACGATTTTTGCCGCCGAGAGAGCACGCTCAACGTGGAGAGCGGTCAGAGAGAAAACCGCTTTTTGGCCATAACTTTGGCAGTTTCGTGCGGAAAAATTTGATTTTTTGTAGAAACATTATTCTTTACGGTTGAAATAGGCATGAAACTTTTCGTGCCAAAATTCGGCAAAAAGTCCCAAATTTTCGCCGACTTTCGATCTAAAAATCTCGGTTGTTTCTGCAAAGCGCGAGCTAGGATTCCCGCATATATCTTAGAAAAAATTATTCTAAATTTGTGCCAAGTTTCATCAAAATCTGAGCGTCACACTTCAAGTACTTCCCTTGTAAATCAACTCCCCAGCTGCAGAGAAAATTTGAAACACTGGCTTAGCTAACATAAAACATGCTCAGATCACGTTTCAATTCTAACCTTTGCTAAATATATCGGACATATCTTAATGCTGAAATTTAAATGCTGAAAGCAAAAAAAAACAACTGCGAGTATTTATTTTCAAATAAGGCCAAAGTGCGAAAACTGACGCCTCTTCTCCTTGGGATCCGCTTTCTTCCGATGTCCAGGTGGGGATTGGCATGAAAGGGACGATCGATTTTTGCATTTATTTTTATGAATACGGAATGATTCAAAATCGGTAAACTGGGGCATTTGCAGAGAATATGCCGTAAAAAGTGTGGGATACCTGGACAAACATTTGTGATGTTTTGGATCGCAATATAGGGGTATATTGCGTAACTTCGATTGTAATCAACATGTTCGATTAATCCCGCTGATAATTTGTTACATGTGTTTTTAAACCCACATACTTTACAAAAAAATAAATCCTCCTGGCCGTATGAAACAGGTGTATTTTAACGAATCTTATAAAAGTAAGATCCTAGAGAGCTTAAAATAATAATATTTTATATTATTATTATAGAATAACGACAATATAAATAATTATTCAGATAAATACAAATACAAAACAAGGACAGTTATCAACGTCTCAAATCGCGCATCCAGCGTCTGCCGCACATGCACAAATAGTCATAAATCCGTCGACGATCCGACGCCTCTTTGGCGAGCGACAGATTTACAATCGTTTGACCTCGGCAACACTTTTGGTGCGCTTGAGACACGCACTTATAATACTGCTTGTCGGGAAATTTACGAGTGCTTAAGGCAAATAAATGGGATGGAAACTAGGCGAAAACAAATGTACTGTGCCGATTGAAAAACCGACTAAACCGTCTTCTAAAAACAGACAAAATTTATATTTTCGCGGATCAGCTCCGTTTCCCATTACCTCACTGTCCATTCCACGAACTCTCAATGGCCGCAGGAAACAATAACCGGTGTGTCCAAAGCCCTCACCCTTTTGCGTATGCGTTTTTTCGCACGGCCTTTGATTAAGTGCCGCTCCCACTTGTGGAAACAAGCGCTGAGGGCATACAAGGACCCGAATAGCATCTATGGACAGCGGCTATTTTATTGTGTAACCTTCTGAAACTAGAATGGTTTGACGGAGACAAGGAATAAAATAGGAAGAGCAGCCTTTTTTTTATGGAAGAGCGGTGGCTAAAAATGTGCCATAGATGTCAAAAAGCAAAAATTTCTTGTGTGTTTGTTGCCACGTCAGAAAGATTGAAAAAAAAGTCTGTTCCGATTTATCGCCCATTCCAAAGCCGTAGCTTTATGACAACATTATGCAATTAGCGGGCAATTTGTCGGACCTTCCTTTCCTTAAACAATACAACCCCAGTCGGAACCCATAAACTGAAATCCGACGATTGTAAATCTTAACCGTACATGCTAATATGTTGCGCTCCGGCAAAAGAAGCAAATGGATAAAATACGGAGGGGCAACAGAATCTTAGGTTTAATATCCGACTCAAAAAAACACTAACAAAAAAGTTTTAGATCAGTTTTATTGTCGTACAAACATGACTAGTAAAACGGAGAGTATTTTATGCTACGGTCCTCTATTTAGAAATGGCCTTATCCAGGTGTTTGGTGACTTCAGCAAAAATTTCTTCAACGGATCCTTCAGCTTTTATTCTGGCCAATTTTCCTTTTTTCTCGTAGTGCGAAACGACGGGAGCTGTAGAATCGTTGAAAGTCTTGAGACGAAGCTTGATGGTGTCAATGTTGTCATCAGCCCGGCCAGAGGTCTTTGCACGGTGCAGAAGGCGTTTGACCAGAGTATCTTCGGAGACCTCAAAGAAGACGACCAACTTGCTGTTTTGGATCTGAAATTCATCAAGGTATTACATTCAGAACGAAGCAACATTTTTGACATTCTTCTATAAAAGCCGGCTGGTTCCGCCTCCAAAATTTTAACTCGAAGAATTCATGCTCACCTCACTTTCAAACTGATCGCCCTGTTTGACCTCGCGCGGATACCCATCAATCAAAAACCCTTTGCTTCCCTTGGCCACAGCATTCACCATGGCTTCCTTGATCAGGTCGAGGACCACCTCCAATGGGACCAATTGGCCAGCTTCCATGATTTTGGTAAGTTCCGCGCCTCGGCTGCTTCCTGACTTGACCTCGTCGCGGAGCAAATCGCCGGAGCTCAAATGAGTCAGTCCGTATTTGGCCACAATCTTCTCGCACTGAGTGCCTTTTCCGGAGCCGGGGCCTCCTGCAAAAAAAACAGATAAAATTCCAACCGTGAATGAGTCAAATCAAAAAATTACGACATAAGCAAGTAAAACTCACCGACAATGAAGAAGATGGGTACATTCGCATTCTTCAACGGGGTCAGATCAATGTTCTTTCGTTCCAATGGAGCCTGAACAGACATGGCAGATAAATATTATAAAAGTTTTTTGGAATGTGTGAAAATAAAAATTTAGAATGCTCAATTATTCTAGTCCAGTTGTCTAATACCTTCGCTTATGTATTTTTTTCAGATTCAAGGTCACTCTATGTATTAGCGGAAAGTTCACATAAAGCGCCCGAAGACCATCGACTAAAGAACGTGTTTTGCTTTTATTTCTATTATAATTTTAAGCCTTTCGCCCATGAGTTATAACTGTTTTGGAAAAGGAACACATAAGACTTTAGCTTTACTACATATCTTAGCCCAACAAAAAGCATCTCTTCCCACCTGGTCCGCTTCAATCCATCGAACAAAAGTCGCCCAAAACATTCCACCGTCACCTTACGGGCCTTAATACTTTCCTCCTAATTTACAGAAGTTTCAGACTTCATTTACTCAACCTTCTTTACCTGTTCCACAAAATCCTTAAACATTCCTTATTTACTAGACGTTCATTTGACGCAAAGACTTAAACCCATTAAAAGTGACTCAAGATTGTAACTCTCCGTACTTTTTGTTACATTATGTAACTAAATTGTATCGGAGGACAAATCTCTCAAATAACCAACCAAAAGTGGCTACGTCACCGCCATGGTAACTCCCCTGCATCGACAAATACGAATAACAAGCTGCTTGAAAATTGCACTACTGAGAGCGCCTTTGAAACAAAAAGATGACTTATTCGTACTTCTTCCGCAATCTCTAAAAGCACCTGTGTTATCACCTAGTTCCCATGGCCTTCAAAATAATTTATTCAACCCTCTATTTTCCATCCCTCATAACTTACCATGACAAAATGTGAGTTGGCGGCGGGCAGCCAGAACAGTGAACCACCAGCTGTTTGCGTTCGATCCGACTGAAATGAACCCGGATCCGAAGTGCTGTTCCCGAAATCCGCTTTCAAATTTGACGTTCGGTTGTCCCGCGGGATCAACAAAGAGACCGAATATACGACAATGGCATATATACAAGTGATATATAACGAGGTATTTCTTGAAAGACGGCCAATGAACGGACCGATTTCTTTTGATGGGACAGTAAGAGCGCAAGGTGAAGATTAAGAAAAAAGCAATGATATTGTCAAGCTCATTCTTTATTTAATAAATAATTAGAGTCAAGTCAGACAAAGTTCGTTAATAATCCTTGAGGAACAGCGCCAAGAAATAAACGAACAGTAAAAGTAAATACAAATCCCATGCGAAAAAGAGCGCAAATTATTTTCTAGTACGCACGAAATTGTATCTGCCAGTAAAGGACAATATTTCTGATTTTAAGGAGTAGGAAAATTTAAGTATTTTTTCGTTTGCTAAAATACAAATCTTTAGAGTTCTAGGTTAAAGAAGTGAGTTTGTTTTTCCAAGCTTCTATACCCCCAAAGCGTTTTCCTAACGTTTTTTGTCTTGGAGGGCGGCAGAAAAAGCGTCAGACAAAGTGTTTTAGCAATAAGCCCGGTTTTTTATTTGTGTAATATTAATATATCCCTCCAACCTGTTCGCTAAAACAAGTATAACGACTAAACGCTCAAATGTGAATCTTAGGTTAAGCTACCTGTCAACATAAAAAAATGCTTTATCGCGGGAATCAAATGAAAAATATAAGCGGGGGTAATCCGGATAAACATTCAAAGGAAAAAGAGAAAAGAGAGGGGACGTGAGTTATGCGGTTCAAGCTGAGATCCGTCTTTTGCCTGGGAACATTGCGGGTGGTTGTCTTTGCAATTGTTTGCTCAGATCTCCTGATAATCGAGCATCTTAATAATTTTATCAAGCAATTTTCAAACACATCAAGATTCAAGCCTACGAGGGCACTACCTCAATAACTAAAAACAAAACAGTCTCGGGTAGAAGGGAAAAAAGTAAAAATGGAAAAAAGACAAAATTCGTGAAATACTTAAAGCATAGAAATATTAAAATTAAGTTAAAAGCAAAAACATGAGTGCCTGAGAAAAGCTTTCGTAGTCTGAAGCTGAATGGAAAAAGCCGGTCTCCGAGGCTAGAGTGGAAAACCCCTGGCAGCCTAACATTTTGCTTTTCCCGGTTCCATTTCAATTCAAAAGACCGTTTTTGGGCTCAACGGCTTCGAAGCAAAAGAGCAGCGGCAATAATCCTCATTGCCAAAACTCAGACACGCACAAGTTTCATTTTTGCCGCAGTTGCATCAGCAAGTAAAAGCGGAGTTCTTCTTTTCTGCCATTTGCTCGGCGTTGTAAGCAAGACACTACACCGCAGCTTCATTTCACGCCTCATACATTTTTTATATGACTTACGGCGGACGTTGCAAAGCTTTCGTTAAATCAGTCGTCAAAAGACTTGTAGAGACAAAGGTAAGTCGACTCATCGTGTGCTCAAATGTTATCCATCAGAAGCGCTCTCAAGGCCTCTTCTACAGGGTGCGCCAATAAAATCTGCACTAATATTTTTGCTATATTAAGCCCTGCGGGCTGTAATAGTACGAGAACAAAGTGGGCGATTGTGGACACGTGTAATACGTCCAAGAAGCTATCTTTAAAGTTTCAGACAAAATAATCGTCTACGACACTTGTTTTGCCATTATAAGTGCTTACAACTAAGGCGCCTGAAACACGGACCCCAAATTGGTCAAAAAATGGTTGCGCTATCTTTACCGTTTTATGCTATGGGCTGAAATTTACTTTTTCTGATAGAGCTCCGGTCGGTTTTTATACACTGAAATTGATTTTGCCTCATTATGACAGTTAGGCTTTTTACAGCTCGCCAAAGTTGGCTTAAAAACGGGCCCTTTTTCCCGAAAACTTCCGTTAAATCAAAGATTTTTAAGTAGAAGTTTCCCTGTGTGATTCCAAACATGTTAATTACCAGAGCTACGTTTGCAAAGATAACCAGAGTCTGCCTAGTCGCCTTTCAAAGAGGATTTTTCTATCTGCTGCCTCTGGGGATGAAATAGTGACTGCAGTGGCATAATTTACTATATGCTCGCTATTCGAGTGATCTTGGACTAGATATTTCTGAAAGTGATTTGGCTACATTAGCATGTATCCAGTATACAACGCTATGTTGATTTTTACGCTTAAGGCCTTTCCAACTTGTTACAAACTGCCAAAACGTTTCAAGCCCCGAATGACCGTGCCTTGAATTGCCCCCATGAACTTTTATTTATGTAGAAACTGTCCCCTTGTATGTGCGGATTTTCTTTTACACTATAACAATGGTCTATTTATACGCTCTGCAATCACGGAATTTTGGAGCAATACGGGCTATAATTTGGCGTTGAGCACGCCACGAAAAACGTAAGGCAAAATTGGAAATAGAGATTTCGAGCTGCGCCCAATATTTCTTGATTTTTTTGATGGAATGAATATTGTGTTAGATAGTATTGTAACTCTGGAATTTGGAACAATTTCGGGATGTATATTATCTTTAAAATTACGTTGCTTTGAGTTTCAAGTGTTGAGTATAATGGATGAGTCCATGGAGCCCGGCACATCGCGCTCTGACCCCAACATTGATTCACCAGGTATGGAAGTGTTTTCAGAAAATGTAAGATTTCTCTTTTTGTGCCCAGTTTATAGATTAATCGCCATGTGGTGTTGTGTGAGACATCCTAGCGGACGTTGGAAAGAAGAAATCGGGAAATTCTATAGTCGAAAAAGGGCACTTGTCGGTTCATTATTGCATCATTTTGCATGGACCGATGGAGAAACGCAAGAAAAGCTGAACCAGAAGAAGAGAATCAACATAAAGCTAGCTGAGAACTTCAGGAAGGTTCCGTTGAATGTAATGGATGAGTCCATGGAGCCCAGCACATCGCGCTCCGACCCCAACATTGATTTACCAGCTATGTAAGTGTCTTCAGAAAATGTAAGATTTCTCTTTTTGTGCCCAGTTTATAGATTAATCGCCATGTGGTGTTGTGTGAGACATCCTAGCGGACGCTGGAAAGAAGAAATCGGGAAATTTTATAGTCGAAAAAGGGCACTTGACGGTTCATTACTACATCGTTCTGCAGGAGCTGATGGTGTCTCCAGAAAAGGTAGGATTTCTCGTTACTAATCCGGTTTAGGTACAAAGGAGCTGATCTGTTTTGTGTGAGACATCCTAGCGGACGTTATAAAGAAGAAATCGGGAAATTTTATAGTCGAAAAAGGGCACTTGTCGGTTCATTACTACATCGTTCTGCAGGAGCTGATGGTGTCTCCAGAAAAGGTAGGATTTCTCTTTTTGCATCCAGATTAGGGATTAATCGCTATGTGGTGTTGTGTAAGACATCTTAGGGGACGTTGTAAAGAAGAAATCGGGAAATTTTATAGTCGAAAAAGGGCACTTGTCGGTTCATTATTGTATCATTTTGCAGGAGCTGACGGATAAACGCAAGAAAGGACTGGAGAAGGCGTGAGCAAAGCTGGATCAGAGGAAGCAGACGACGTTTAGAACATTTCAAGTTAAGTTTGTGACGTTGCCTTTTTGTTTTTTTGTTTTTAGGCCATTGAGCCAATAATTTTCTCTGGTTATACCTAAAATAATATAATTGATATTTCAGCCGGTCCATGTTGAAGTAGAATGTGAAACCCAGCATAATGTACCAATGGGTGTGGAGATTGAATTCCGAGTTCAGATTGTATCCGACAAATCGATGGATTGTCGAAAATTTATGTAATTTTAATTATTCTTATTGGTTTGATGTTTAGGTGGAAATAAAGAAGATTTGATGAATTTCAATTTAGTAGTGGTCTGTTGTAGCAGGATCAACGCCCTGCTACTCTTGTAAAAATCGGAAGAGCTTGAATTCGGTCAGATTCATCGATTTTGATCCAATTTTGCCTAGTACAATATAATTCCTTTCTCTTCTTCGATCAATCTAAGAAGTTCGGGGTGCACCTCCTAGATGCCTTTCGATGCTTTCTCGCCGGTTTCACACGTAAATTGTTGTTTATTAGAATTTTGGAATCATTTTTGTTATTTATTTGTAAAGGTTTCAGCGTATGAAATGTCGAAAACATTTTCCCGCGAATTTCTCTATTTCCACTTTTTTCGTGGCGTGCGTTGAGATCCTTAAAAACATAAAAATCCAAATTTTTGGGCCTTTTTTTGTTTCCGCCACCAGCGCCGCCAGATCGCCCGCCAACCATGATTCCGTTGGCTGTTACAAAGTCAACAGCACGTACTTTATATACAATAAATTTGAAGAACGTCAGTCCCCCTTAGCAGAAATAATGGAAGAATAAATATCCCAGTCATCATCTGGAAAAAAAATTTCTGCACCTCCAAAAACTTTTGATTATTTTTTCGCTCTTGCAATAAACACCGACCTGGGCATTACCGTTGCTGTACAGCACGGTTGTTACCCTTTCTAAATGTGCTAAAACTTTTCATTCTTAGGACGTCCGAAAAAGGCTACATGGAATTTAGTTTAGTCCAGATTTTATTGGCGCACCCTGTATATGTTGAATTGAAATGGCAATCACCAAAACAAAGTGCCTGGTACACTATGCCCAAAAGCAACTGAGTTTTGGTGGTATATTTACAAAAGCTTTTATGCAACGTTTTGATGAGGGATATACAGGGTGCGGCAATTTTTCGGCCGGATTTGAATTGGCTATAACTTTTTTAGTTTTTGGTCCAATGTTAAAATCCTTTTTTTCCCTGAATCCATTGAAATCCCCATTTTGTTCAATACCAAATAGTTATACCCATTTATTAGACTACAGTAAAAAATCCACACAAAGAAAAAGCTCTAATTTTCATAGCTAACAATGGAATTACCCCCAGTGCGACTCTCAGATTTTCTTTACATTTTGCACATGGGCCGGATATAGGCCACATATCAATTCCTGAGAATTTTAGCCCGCGCCTTACAGGGGCGGTCAAGATATTCAACGATCTTTGCAGCCAGGAGGGTACATGACACAGAAAAACTTTTTGGCTCCAGTTTTGATCAGAGAAAGCTGACTTTTGGTGGAAACGGTACTTTCTATGGCATGAACAAGCAAAAAAGGTCGCTTTTCTGGCAATTTTCACACACGCCGAAAAAGCTGAGAAAACGGCCGAAAGGCCAATAAATATAAATTTAAAAATATTATATTCTTAAAAATACTTTAAATTAACTAATATTGTATAATACTAGGCCCCTGTAAATATAACATATTTGTTATTAAACAAAATGGGGACGTCTGAGGATTCAGGGAAAAGAAGAATTTTAACATTTGGAAAAAAACTAAAAAAGTTATAGCCAATTCAAATCCGGCCGAAAAATTGCCGCACCCTGTATTAATTTTTTGGTTGAGTCATCACAAGCATGTATTGCATAGTGAACATTCTATACTCTATAAACGTTGCGTTTTTTAGCACAAACCAACTAACAAATAGACAGAAAGAAAGCTGGAGCTTGCTTAACATAGGGAAAAATGAGTTAGACTATAGCTCAGTTACCGTCTTTAAATTTCAGACAAGAATTCTGCCTTGGCGATATGTTTATTAAACATTCAATGCGTTAGCTACAACTGTGTTGAAAGACATATGTACGTTAGGCAGTGTATATGACTTTAAAACTTAAAATTGCACCAGGTTTTGCACCAGCTTTTGCACCAGCTCAAAAAACTTAAAATCGCACCAGGTTTTGCACCAGCTTTTACAACAGCTCAAAAAACTTAAAATCGCACCAGGTTTTGCACCAGCTTTTACACCAGCTCAAAAAACTTAAAATCGCACCAGGTTTTGCACCAGCTTTTACACCAGCTCAAAAAACTTAAAATCGCACCAGGTTTTGCACCAGCTTTTACACCAGCTCAAAAAACTTAAAATCGCACCAGGTTTTGCACCAGCTTTTACACCAGCTCAAAAAACTTAAAATTGCACCAGGTTTTGCACCAGCTTTCGCACCAGGTTTTGCACCAGGTTTTGCACCAGGTTTTGCACCAGCTCAAAAAACTTAAAATCGCACCAGGTTTTGCACCAGCTTTCGCACCAGGTTTTGCACCAGCTTTTACACCAGCTCAAAAAACTTAAAATTGCACCAGGTTTTGCACCAGCTTTCGCACCAGGTTTTGCACCAGGTTTTGCACCAGGTTTTGCACCAGCTCAAAAAACTTAAAATCGCACCAGGTTTTGCACCAGCTTTCGCACCAGGTTTTGCACCAGGTTTTGCACCAGCTTTTACACCAGCTCAAAAAACTTAAAATCGCACCAGGTTTTGCACCAGCTCAAAAAACTTAAAATCGCACCAGGTTTTGCACCAGCTTTCGCACCAGGTTTTGCACCAGCTTTTGCACCAGGTTTTGCACCAGCTTTTACACCAGCTCAAAAAACGTAAAATTGCACCAGGTTTTGCACCAGCTTTCGCACCAGGTTTTGCACCAGCTTTTACATCAGCTCAAAAAACTTAAAATTGCACCAGGTTTTGCACCAGCTTTTACACCAGCTCAAAAAACTTAAAATCGCACCAGGTTTTGCACCAGCTTTTACACCAGCTCAAAAAACTTAAAATCGCACCAGGTTTTGCACCAGCTTTTACACCAGCTCAAAAAACTTAAAATCGCACCAGGTTTTGCACCAGCTTTTACACCAGCTCAAAAAACTTAAAATCGCACCAGGTTTTGCACCAGCTTTTACACCAGCTCAAAAAACTTAAAATCGCACCAGGTTTTGCACCAGCTTTTACACCAGCTCAAAAAACTCAAAATTGCACCAGGTTTTGCACCAGCTTTTACACCAGCTCAAAAAAACTTAAAATTGCACCAGGTTTTGCACCAGCTCAAAAAACTTAAAATCGCACCAGGTTTTGCACCAGCTTTCGCACCAGGTTTTGCACCAGCTTTCGCACCAGGTTTTGCACCAGCTTTCGCACCAGGTTTTGCACCAGCTTTCGCACCAGGTTTTGCACCAGCTTTCGCACCAGGTTTTGCACCAGCTTTCGCACCAGGTTTTGAGTAGAGCCTTTTAAACCATCAACGGGGTAAGGTCTCTAAGGAGTATATTACGGGATAACGACCCGGGTGATACTCAAATAAAGCGAGGACAAGATCACTGAGGTATTTATCTGTCAAATCGCCAACAATAGGGTAGAATCACACAAAATAGCAAACAGGGTGAGGACGACGAAAAGGGTCGACCGTCCGTCTCCAAAACAACCAAAAGAGTGATCAGAATATTCCAATTGAACTGTCCCAATGACCGGTCGGTGCAGAATGCCAATTTAGCAGTCGAGTTATTCGTGGCGGGACGCAGGCAAAGGCTGGACGTTCTGGCTGAATGGCGGCGAATTGCACGGAGAATGGGTTGGTATTGCGGCTGGGGTGTGCCTGGTCCTACTTTTGCACCAGCTTTTGCACCAGCTCAAAAAACTTAAAATCGCACCAGGTTTTGCACCAGCTTTCGCACCAGGTTTTGCACCAGCTTTCGCACCAGGTTTTGCACCAGCTTTCGCACCAGGTTTTGCACCAGCTTTCGCACCAGGTTTTGCACCAGCTATCGCACCAGGTTTTGCACCAGCTTTTGCACCAGCTCAAAAAACTTAAAATCGCACCAGGTTTTGCACCAGCTTTCGCACCAGCTCAAAAAACTTAAAATCGCACCAGGTTTTGCACCAGCTTTTACACCAGCTCAAAAAACTTAAAATCGCACCAGGTTTTGCACCAGCTTTTACACCAGCTCAAAAAACTTAAAATCGCACCAGGTTTTGCACCAGCTTTTACACCAGCTCAAAAAACTTAAAATCGCACCAGGTTTTGCACCAGCTTTTACACCAGCTCAAAAAACTTAAAATTGCACCAGGTTTTGCACCAGCTTTCGCACCAGGTTTTGCACCAGGTTTTGCACCAGGTTTTGCACCAGCTCAAAAAACTTAAAATCGCACCAGGTTTTGCACCAGCTTTCGCACCAGGTTTTGCACCAGGTTTTGCACCAGCTTTTACACCAGCTCAAAAAACTTAAAATCGCACCAGGTTTTGCACCAGCTCAAAAAACTTAAAATCGCACCAGGTTTTGCACCAGCTTTCGCACCAGGTTTTGCACCAGCTTTTGCACCAGGTTTTGCACCAGCTTTTACACCAGCTCAAAAAACGTAAAATTGCACCAGGTTTTGCACCAGCTTTCGCACCAGGTTTTGCACCAGCTTTTACATCAGCTCAAAAAACTTAAAATTGCACCAGGTTTTGCACCAGCTTTTACACCAGCTCAAAAAACTTAAAATCGCACCAGGTTTTGCACCAGCTTTTGCACCAGCTCAAAAAACTTAAAATCGCACCAGGTTTTGCACCAGCTTTTACAACAGCTCAAAAAACTTAAAATCGCACCAGGTTTTGCACCAGCTTTTACACCAGCTCAAAAAACTTAAAATCGCACCAGGTTTTGCACCAGCTTTTACACCAGCTCAAAAAACTTAAAATCGCACCAGGTTTT